AAAAGAAATTAGCTTATTTCAACTTATAAAGTGCTCACCCAACATATAATTTACAAAATAAAAAATAGAAATGCAATTATTTTTAACCCACCAGCTCTGACAATAAGCTAGATTTGCAAGTGGATGTTTGGTCACAGCATGGATTATATTTCTTTAGCAGCTGTTCCAAGGTCAGCCTTAGCTTCCAGCTGTCACATTGCACAAAGATCTTGTGTTTGGGGGCTTGCACATGGCAAAGTTCAAGTCCTTTTTTATCCTTTTTCTTTAGGGGATCTATCTCCTCGGGAAAATGGCTTTTGCAGTGAGGATGATCCGCTTGTATACATGCAGATTGTAATTGCTCATGGCAAAGGACTGCACCCCCCCCACCCCGTTGCATCATGTCCTAAAGAAAGGGCAGCATGTTCCACAAGCTCAGTGCCTTTCCCAGAAGCCCATTGCTTCATTCCATTAGACTCACTTCTGACAGCCTGTGCTCTCTCACTTGGCCTATGAGCCCATTTCTTCGCAGTGCACTGAGGAAGGAAAGGTTGGGGTTTTAAAGAGCGATCATGGTCAAGTGCCACACGTGAGTGTTGCACTTCTCTCATTCCTTCCACCCCGCAGCTTCCAGTAAGCAAGACCAGAGTGCAGCTGGCGTTAAACCCTTGATTATCTTCAACCAGGGACACAACACCTCTTTTTGCCTCCCTTACGCTCTCTTTAGGGACGGCAGGTGGCGCAGTGGTTTAAACCGCTGTGTCGCTGGGCTGGTTGATCGAAAGGTCGCCAGTTCGAATCTGCACAACGGAGAGAGTTCCCGTTGCTCTGTCCCAGCTCCTGCCAACCTTGCAGTTCGAAAGTATGCAAATGCAAGTAGATAAAAAGGTGCCACTTCGGTGGGCAGGTAACAGCGTTCCGTGCACTTCCGTGTTTAGTCATGCCGGGCACATGACCACGGAGATGGTCTGTGGACAAACGCTGGCTCCTCGGCTAGGAAACGGAGATGAGCACCACCCCCTAGAGTCAGGCATGACTGGACTTAATGTCAAGGGGAAACTTTTACCTTTACCTTTATCCTCTCTTTGGAGATGCTCCTGGGGGCTGCATGGGTGACTAAGGGCAAAAGCAGGTGGGGGCAGAGGCCAAATGGGCAGGGCCAAGATACCAAAAATATCAGCAGTAAAATCCTTAACCAAAAATATGCAGAAAAGCAACCAGCTTGTAGCCTTGTGTTTAAACACAGAAGGAGACGGGCTGGATGTTGCCACAGGCTGGCAGGAAGAAGTTTCTTGCTGCCGCTGCTGCAGCTTTGGGGCACCAACAACCTTTTAGAAAGAAGCACAGCCTGTGTGGATCCGGGTCCTGTCCTGTGTTTTCAAAGAATCCATTTATCACAGATGAAGCTTTTACATTCACTCTCCTCAGAAACAGAAAAACTCACCTGTGAAAGGCCAGCCTGGAATCTTTGGCCACTTGAAAAAAAGCAAGATATGTCTGCTTTTTCAAGATCAGGGCCCCAGCATTCACCAACGGCTATGGGGGCTGGGAATGATGGGAGCTGTAGTCCAAATTCATCTAAGGGTGCCAGATTGAGGAAATCAGGCTTGTTATAGACTATATATAATGCCAATCTGACTCTTGATATCCCTAAACCTGAACCTCTATTTTTTTTAAAAAATAATCACTAAGTAATGTTGGGGTGGCTGTTGGGGGTTAAACAACAGCCTTGTTATGTAAACAGCCTTCCTGTTGTTATATAAGAATATTCATTTTCAAGGAATCTGCCTGCGCAGTTCTTCCTAACCATCTGACCCGTGAGCTTCTCTATATATGTTGACTCAGAAGTAAATTCAGTTGAGTTAAAAAGGGATTACTCCCAAGTAAGTGAATAGGATATGTCCCCTGTTAGGGAGTTCTGTTTGAAGAACTGCAAGAGGGTTTGAAAGCATCCTCTACCTGAAGGGAGGTCCAGTCTAAGTCTGGTTTAAAGGAGAAAAAGCATCAGGACTAACCACTGGGTCTGGAAGGCCCCATCAACATGTAGCATTTGGATACCAAGCTACAGGCACACTGGTTACCCTGGTTAGTCTTCTACTTTCTGATGAGATGTACTGCATTTTATTTAAATTATAAGAATGTCTGAATCATTTCTAAATTTACAGCTTAATGAAAACATGCAGATTATATGCCAATCAGGGTCCTTTTTGTCCTCTTCTTTGGTGATGCTTGTCCTCTGGATATGTTGAGTCATATGCAGGAGCCAAAGAGGAGGTGCTAAAGAAGAGAAAGTGCCAGAGCCTTTCTTCTGAATATCTTCAAATCAGGCACTTTGTATGAATGGGGAGGAGGCAGCTTTAGACCACTGACCCAGTCAAAATTAATCTTAATGAACAACCCAGAGAAATCATCATCTGAGATTTATTTTATGGAAGATTAAAGAAGGATCAACCAGGATAACTTACAAAATGGAAAAGGGATTTGTAAACAGGCTCATAAATGGATGTGTGCATGGAATTGGTCAGATGAATATGCAGCCTGAGATATTTTGCTACTTGAAGTGAAGGACAAAGTAGTGCCCATGCAACCCATTCCCCCTCTAGAAGCAGATGGGACTGCAAACTGGTTGTGGGACAACATCCTCCACTTCACTGTGGGCAGTGGGCCTGCTTTGGTGGGGGGGTGGTCACACAACAGGCTGCCTGGAGCACCTAGTTCTGCCCTTTAATTGAGTGGAAGGAGCAAGTGGTGCCACCTCATATGCCTGAAGCCACTACTTTCCTTGGTCCAATAGTAAGGCTTGTCTTGATCACGGAATCAGAATAGTAGAGTCAGAAGGGGCCATGAAGGCCATCCAGTCCAACCCCTGCTGTTGCAGGACTCCACATTACACCGTTCCAGTTTCTTTTTGCATGTCTCTAGTGTGGCAGAGCCCTCCAGCTCTCTGGGCAGCTGGTTCCACTGTCATACCACTCTGACAGTGAGGAAACTTTTCCTGGTATCTAGCCTGAATCTGGGTTGTTGCAGCTTGAAATGATTATTCCGTGACCTACACTCTGGTGTCAGCAAGAATTGATCTTGACCTTCCTCTTTGTGACAGCCTTTGAGGGACTTCGAGGGGGATCTCATGTCCCCACTCAGTCTCCTTTTCTCAAGGCTGAACATGCCCAGGTCTCTCAGTCTCCCCTCACAGGCAGTGTTTCCAAACCCTAGATCATTTGATCTTTAAAAGAAAGCCAGTGTGGTGGGTGGTTAGAGTGCTGCGCTGCAGACCAGGTTCCCGCTGAACTCCAAAGCTCACTGGATAAGTCTGAGCCAGTCACTAACTCTCAGCCTAGCCCACCTCCCAGGGTTGTTGTAAGGATAACATGGAGTAGAGGAGGAATATGTAAGCTGCTTTGAGTTCTTCACAGGAGGAAAAAAGGCAGTATATAAATGCAAAGTAAATAATAATAACAGTAATAGTAAAAGGGTAGTATGTTAAGAAGATGGTAGAATGAAAACCTCTACTATAGGAATGCAGTGCAAACTGTAGGTGCAAGGGGCTCAGTCCAGACTGTTTGCAGAGGTGAACAAGGATTAAAGCCCTTCGCCCCCCCCCCAAATGTCAGTCTGGATTGAGCTCCAAGAACCGAGTGGGGAGACCTGCACTCAAGGACAGAACTGCAGCAGTTAAAGTCAAAAGTTGCTTGGCCCTTGATATTTGTGGGAAATGTGATAGAGAGGAAATTTTTAGCACTGCAAGAGGCAATGCAAGCAAGCTAAGAGAAATTATTTCCCCATCCCAAGGTGTTATTATTTTTTAACTTTAGGAGGACACCTGACAAAGAGGCTATTCTCTTTTATTTGATTGTGGCAGCTTAAACTATTTATATACTCTTGGAAAACAAACCAGGTACTGAGACTTATAGAATGGGGTATCAGATGATGGCCTACAGGAAAACCAGAAAACAGGGGACTGGGAGGAAGCATGAAATGGAGTATTCTGGGAAAGGGCATGGCTGGCTGGACTCATTAGAAGTATACAACTCAGGAATATTTCACTACAGGTCCAATTAACTTCTTTATTTTAATAAACTGAAACTTTTCTTCCTAAAGAGTTTTAAAACTATTTTATTTCACTATAGCAAATTTTGCTAAAGGTAAAAGCGCTCCATTTTCATTTAGACTTGGATGTTTGTTTTTAAATTAAACAAGCATGGTGGTTCTTAAAATGAGCAAGATGTCCTGTTATCTAAGTTGATCCACATTGTTCTTCCTGTCTTTTTCATCAAGAAAAAGATTATACATGAACATGATCCAGTCAAAGTGGGGTTCCATTCATTTCAATGGATGTACTCACAGTTTCTTTTTCATAAAAGAGGAAAAAGCAACTAGGAGAGATCGTTAATTTTTTTGGCTGTGCTTCCGATCATCTCAGATTCATTACAGTGGACATTTTTTAAAAATCAAGCCGTACTGGAATGGCATTTTCCCATATGTTGAGCAAATCACAGGATACAGAATATCAGCTATTTCACTGATAGTTTTGCTAAGTTATCTTAAAAATTATGCTATAGAAATGTTTATAATTCATTTTATAAATGAATTATAAATCTGCCAAAATCTCATTTGCTACTCATTCGAAGAAATACAGGGACCCTTATTAGCAGAATAATTTGTTTAGAATTTGGGCATAGCCATGATGATGACCTATTTTATTCATGCAAGAAGAAATTGCTTAATAGAAAATATGTTTGTTGAAAAATGGATAACATATGTTGCACTCTGGAATGACTAATTTCAAGTTAATGGTGAGGCATTCTCTCTTTTCATTGATATGAAATTGTATGCTTCAATTTATTTCAGAAGATTTTAAAAACGTGATTTTGTCTATTTGAGAGGTCAGAATACATTTATGTTAAAATAAAAAATACATAAATACTATAATAAGCCTTTTGGCCACTGCAAACACGGCCTTCATAGACCAGTGATGTAAGACTTGTAGATCTCTCAACTACTTCTACTCTCTCATGCTGTAGGTGATAGTTGTGCCAACCCAAGGAAATAAGAACCATGACGTCTGTTCTCTACGCCCCCCGTGAGTATTTTTGGAGCCTTTGGGGAGTCGCAGATGCCAAACATTAGGTTTTGGGCCGCCTTCAGGCAAGATGCCATGAGGGGGCCTTTCCTAAGCGAGCCCCATCCTCCCATATCCACTCCCTTTCTCCTGTATTGCCCTTCACATGCTTCCTAATTTGAAGTGCTTATGCCTGTCTGCCATGCTCAGGCCTTCAGCTGGATGCGAACCTTGAACAGATGCAACAGGGGACAATGATGCGCAAGGCAAAATCCAAGAACTGGAAGAAGCAGCGGTACTTCATGCTGCAAAAGGACTGCATGACCGTCTGGTACAAGTCCAAGATGTCTGGCACTGCTAAGTCTGCCTGTGAGTCTGACTCCTTGCTCTGCACTTGTCTTTCAGCTTGCAAGTCTGTAGTACAACGCGGAAATCCTTTCCCAGGGGCTCAAGCATTTTCTGCAAGCACAAACAAATCCCAGAAATGGCAGTTGGGCAATACAGTCATTGGCAGGAATTAAAAGTGCATAACAACACAGTTCTAAACCAGGCTAAAATACTTTTTTGCTTGATATAAGGAGCTGGGCTGCAGCAGTTCTGGAAGTGCAACAGAAGGCACACTGGAGAATATAAATTTTTGCACTGTTAGTTCAGGTTTCCATTTAGACTTCAACAGAAGAAATTGTGTATTCTCTTGCCGTTTATTGCACAATCTCTTCTCATTTTGGATGCTTTCATTCTGTCATCCACGAATGACATTTTATTTCTTCGTGGGATTTCTCTAAATCCGTTTCCTTGCTGCAGTCATTCCCTAGGCAGACAAACATCCTGACATAGTTTTGTGAATTCCACCATCCTATCCTGATTTCAGTTTGTCTCAATAATAACTGTGCCAATAAAAAAGTGTTGGTTGCCCCTGCCTCACCCCTGTGGGATGGGATAGTATGGAGTGGATGAATTGATGGATGGGATGGTTTAGCTGAATGGATGGGTAGCCAGGTAATAGCCTACAGTTCCCCTGTGGCATCTAACCTGAGAAGCAAGAGTATTTTAAAATAGTATCATTTCAATGTCTGCACAAAAGCTGATATTTCCTGATTGTCTTTCTCCCAAGTCTCAGTAAGTGATGTGGAGACTGTGCGTGAAGGACACCAGTCGGAGGTTCTGCAAAGTTTAGCTGATGAGTTCCCAGCTGAGTGCTGCTTCACTGTTGTCTTCCATGGGCGCCGTAGCAACTTAGACCTAATTGCCAGCTCAGCTGAAGAAGCTCAGTGCTGGATCCAAGGCCTGCGGCGCCTTGTGGAAATTGTCACTAACATGGATCAGAAGGAGAAGTTGGATCAATATCCTCACTTTTACTTAACTGCTATCTATTTCAGTGTTCTCCCTTGAAAAAGGGGGAAGCTAGCCCTCAGGAGCTTAGCTTGGTTTAGAGGCACAATGGGATGGATCTGGACTTAACCACACTGGAAGGGCATCCACTGAAAGCAATGGGACTAAGCAATCATGGCTATGTTTGACTAGGTAAAGCATTCAGATGGGCAAGAAGTCACAGTCAGATGGACAATATGTTGAGGAACACTGGAGAACAGGCAGAACAGCTTCATTTTTAGGTACAGAGACAGAATGTAAGCAGAAAGCAAGTTGGACTAAGTCTGGATCCAGCCCATTGAATAGGAGACTCAGAACTTGCAAATGTCATATCGCCTTAGTACCTTGTAGAAGAGGCCTATAGCTCAGTTGCAGTATATGATCTTAAAATCCAGAAGGTCTCAGTTTTAATCATCTGTGTCTCCAGGAAGGACTAGGAAGGACTTGCATGAAACCCCGAAGAGTCTCATTCAGTCAAGAATAGAGGTAGATTACTTGTGGCCTTCAGATGTTTTAGCCAACAATAGTCAATCATTTCTCACCAGTGGCTGTTCCCACCAACATCTAGAAAGCCACAAGTTGCCCGCCTTTGATCTAGACAATACCCGACTAAATGGACTGATGGTCTGACCCAGAACAAGGCAGCTCCAGCCTTTCCTTGTGCCTTTCCCTTCATGTTCTGCAAATTTTGTTACCTTCCCTTACAGCTTTCTTTACCATGGGTCTTTCCTTCTACCAGCACTCCTCTCAAGCGAGCCTTCCTTTATCACCTAGCCATATCTTTCCTGAATCTCCCACACTCTCCATTATTCCATCCTCGGTCTGTTCTGGCTCTTTCCTGTTTCGGAAACAGCACTCTAAGGAACACAATACTACTGATAAGAATTCTAAATATATTTGGGGACTGTCTTTACCTACCACCGCAGAATTTATAAGAGAGAGACACAAGAGTGGGTTGATTAAATTTGGAAGAATATGACTATGTATAAATATATTCAGCATGTACAGACTTTTATATTCTGTATCATTTTTGCTATTCTTTTGCTAGGTTTTGCAGACTTAGCATACAGGTTGCAGCCTAGGAATCATAATTGGCTTATTCAATTTTTTTAGTTATCATGACTTATTACTCTGTATGTTCTTCTATTTTTAAATAAAATGACATTTCATGACCAAAAAAACAAAAAACCCAACAACAGCAATCATGTGGGGGAAGAGAAGGACTCTTTCTGCAAAGTTGATTCCATGTAGTTCTTTGTCTCATACAAATTCAACTCATGTAGCAAATTAGATCCATGTTAATGCCTCAAGATGCAGTTGACACTGGTTTTCAGAAGTTGGCAATGCCCAGTAAGCTGTGTACTATAGCAAGCTCAGTTGATACTTTGAAAGCCTAGCTCTGCTTAACCCTCGAAGTCTGATTTCCTTAACCCATGTTCTTGGGCTGCACATGGATCTGTGATTGGTTCCTAAAAGCTGATAAGAACAAAGATGGCCGCATGAACTTCAAGGAGGTACAGCACCTGCTTAGGCTGATGAACGTGGCTATGAATGAGGACCATGCCTTATGGCTCTTCCAGGTAAGTCTGCCAGCTGAAGTGAGGGACATATGGAAGTGGGTTACAAAGGGGGAGGTCCCTGTGCTTGTTCGTCTGAGGACACCCTTCCATTCACAGCCAGCCGTGATCTCCAAATCAGCTGTGCTTGCACTCCACATACAGTCCAAGCTCCACCTCCCCAACAAATTGTCCACCTAACTGGCTCCTTGTCCACCTGAATGCTTTGTTTATTCAGTCCCAATGGTATAAACCAGCCTTTCCAAATATCCAGATGTGCCAGAGTAGAATTCCCATTACCCCAGTCAATAACCTATGCAAGCTGAAGATGATGGAGACTGTATCCTGGAACATCTGGAAGGCACCAGGTTGGCATAGGCGGATATAGTCAGCTTGAGGCATTTCCACTGACAAATTTCACAGGCCAGAATTGCTCCAAAACAGTCACATCTCCACCCTTGATCCACTGTGTGCAACAACGGTAGAGGAAAGGTCTCTTCAAGGGATATATCTCCAGGTTTCCCTGTTATTCTCCCCATGGAATCAAATCTACAGAGTTTATAAAGAAATAGGTGCTGAAATTCAAAAATATATTGAAAATTCCTCACCCACAGAGAGGCAACGATTATGGCTAGGATGCAATGAGAGGCATTCCCTTCTCTTGTTTATTTGGAATTCTTGTATGCCGCCCCATTCGCATACGCCTCGGGGTGGCTTCCAACAAATAAATATCCATACAAATACATAAAAATGGAAACATCCTGGCATAATAATTTAAAACCAATAAATAAATCAGTAATTAATTAAAATAACATTTAAATAAAAAGGTCTTGGATCTTGTTGTATTAGTTCATATTCCTGGGCAGAGCATGGGTGCTCAAAACAGGTTTAGAGGGCTAAATCAACCCCAAATCTCTTATCGTTTCTATTGGATGAAAAATGAGCAATGTCCCTCTGCTGTAGCTTCAAATACTTCCACAACCAATGCTAACTATTTTTTGATTGGATTCTGCCACACATGAATGTTAAGCAAGTAGAGAGAGTTCTGAAAAGCGATTTTATGCTCCTGGTTAAATGACTGTGTGTTACTTACTCCAGCAGAGGCTTTATGCCTCTCGGTACCAGCGGCTGGGAAAAACGCTTGCTCTGTGCAGTGCCCAGTAAGCTTTGGCTAGTGGGCGGTACAGGGATGTAACAAACCAAAATGAAGGCAGAAGTGGGAGGGTGTGATTCCACTCCTGTTCTGTTTGTGGGCTTCTCATAAGAGAGCCTTTTGGCTATTGAGTGGCCTAAAACTGAAATAAATATTTGGCTGGCCACATCTGGAACAGATGATTGGCTATAGCTCTGATTCTGGCTAAGATACAGCATTGCTTCCTTTCTAATTGATTGAATGATGGGTTGCTGAATCATAAAGCAAATTTTCTGTTCTCATCTTGTCAGTTAAGGGTGATAGAAGTCCTTCAGGCAGGGATCATGGGGCACTGAGGTTCTAACCATCACCTAGCAGCATGCTGCTAGTGTTGTGGTACCAGCCGAGGTACATCTGTGAGCCCCCAGGATCTTTACCCCTTTGTTTTGATCACCTTGGTTCTGTTGCGTGCTCAAGGACTCCATTGGCCAGACCCTTCCTTTTCTTGCAGATGGCTGACAAGTCGGAGACGGGGACCCTGGAGGGGGAGGAGTTTGTGCTCTTCTACAAAGCGCTGACTCAGCGGGATGAAGTGCTTGAGCTCTTCCGCATGTACTCCGAAGATGGCAAGAAACTGACCCTGATGGAGTTTGTGGACTTCTTGCAGCAGGAGCAGATGGAGGGGAACAGCACGGATGAGCTTGCCATGGTGCTGATTGACAGATACGAGCCGTCTGAGACAGGTGGGTGGAGGGAGGAGGGAGGATGGCAGCTGGAGGTCCACAACTTGGGCAAACATTAAAGCCAGCATGGGTTGGCTCTGAGGTCCTGAAGGAGTCCTCAGCATAGCTCTATATCCCTCAAGAACAACAGGAGATTCCAGGCACTGCGGGTGGGAGGAGGCATGTATAATGCTTGTTCCAGAAGAGCACATGCCGTCACTCCCTGTAACAGTTTCATGACACCTATTGCTACTGCTGAGATGGCCACTTTCCCATGGCCATCCAAGGCTTGCTGTTTCACTGGTTTTATCCCATACACACACTTTGTCCCTTTGTGGAATGTTTGTTTCCTGAAATCATCCCTTCTGCACTTTGGGCCTCTCTTCTCACAGCCAGGGCCCGCCACGTCCTGAGCACTGATGGATTCCTCATGTACCTGTGCTCACCGGATGGCTCTATCTTCAACCCTGAGCACCAGAAGGTCTTTCAGGACATGTCTCAGCCCCTCTGCCACTACTTCATCTCCTCCTCCCACAACACATACCTGATGGAGGACCAGCTGCGAGGACAGAGCAGTGTCGAGGGATATATCAGGTATCACCATCAAAGGGAAGGTGGTCGAGTGCCCATGTCACCAGCTACTCCCTTCTGCAATAGAACCAAGCACAAGGTTCCTTTCTCTTGCTACCTATTTAAAGTATTTTCATCCCACTCAGCTAAAAGAGGCTTCTGGAGGGGCCTGTGTTGTAGGCAGTGAAATAAGACAGCTTCTCGCCATCTAAAAAAAAATCCACAACACAGAATGAATGAGGATGGGAAGGGAAGAAGGAAAGATCAGTCAGTTTTTCAGCAGGGTTGGTGGAATGGGCCTGCGGTCTCTCTCATCTCCTTCTTCCTCCAAAAATATTGCTCATGTCCTGTACCTAACAATGCAGTGTCCACTTACAAAGAAATGATAAGGCAAAGAACACAAGAATACCAGGGCTCTTGGCCCTGGCCAGATTCAAACACACCCAGGACCTTCTAAAGTCTGGGCTGAAGAGCAGCTGCCTGACCTCCCAAATTTCTATTAGAAATCATAGACCTCCTGAGCCCCAGGTAGACTTACTGGCTTTTTGCCTTGGTGCACCATACCTGGCCATGACTGTTCTTTCCCTTTCCCTATGTTAGGAATGTTATAGACAAATCAGGATGGGTTCAGGGAGGATGCAAAATGGCGAGTGCATTGGAAAAACAAGTCCTGTGAGGAAAGGGTGAAGGAATTGCACTGTTTAGCCTGGAGAAGAGAAAATAAGCGGTACTGGGGGGCTGACAGATGGATTTGCACTCTTCTGATGTCTGAAAGACTTCACACAGAAGGGGGCAAAAAGGAAAACGTAAAGCTCTCTGCTGCCCAGGGAACAGTAGTAAGTTGAAAATATTGGCCAATGCTACAGGTAGGTAGGTTTTGGTTGAACATTAGGAAGCACATCCTGGTGGTAAGGGCAACGGAGCCAAGAAAGCTGGTGGGTTGCTGCTAGAGGTTGCTAGAGGTCTTTGAGCCTCTTTGTGGATGTTCTAGCTCTGGATTTCCTGTACTTAGCTGAGGTTGAAGTAGAACGGCCTAAAAGCTCTGCATCCACATACACCCTTGAGAGGAAGCAGAAGGTATGAACTTTTCTCCTTCCTCTCAATGAACTTTGTCTGCACAATAAAGCACCAGTTCTATGAGACTCACAATCGCTACTCCTCACTCTGCTTGAGCCTCTTCTCGCTTCACTCCTTGGATATGTAAAGCCACCAATTCTGCTACCAGCCTTTCCCTGATCTGTCCAATTGTTTTAGGAGTTAACTTTTGTGGGCTGTCTCTCTCCCCAGAATTTCACCTAGCCACCTTTTAGTCAGATGCTTCAGTCTTATCATTCAATGTCATGCAGCTTTTTTCTATCCCCTCCACTCCCCACTCTGCCCCAGTGCTGCAGATAGCAATGATTTCCACACTTCTGCAAGCCAATCTCTTTATGAGAGGGAAATGCCATTTTGTAAGAGTGCCATTTTTCCTGACGGGATCTCCTACATGGTACCGGTTGCTCAGTGCTGAGAAATTTGACTAATTCCATTTTGTTTGTTCTTTCTTCTCCATTATTAGAGAAGGCAAATCTCACAACTGAGTTTCTCACCATCATGCACATATTAAAGGCACCGGTGCCTTTGCCAGAGAAAAAGGTGGCAACCCTACTCCTTAGTTGGTCACAGAAAGAAAGGCACCCACATTTTCTGGGTGCCCTTGTTGTTTATTTATTTATTTATTAAAACATTTTTATGCCGCCCCATTCGCCGAAGCCTCGGGGTGGCTCACATCAATAAATTAAAATAATTATAATATAAATTAAAATATAAATATAAAATTAAAATACAGCAACACAGTATAAAATAAGCCGCCCTGGCCAGATAAAACCAATAATGTTAACAGTTAAAATGCTGCTTGAATAAAAAGGTCTTTGCCTGGCGCCGAAAAACAAATAACGACGGCGCCAGGTGGACCTCTCTGGGGAGCGCGTTCCATAACTTAGGCGCCACCGCAGAGAATGCCCTCCTCCGAGTACCCACCCTCCTAATTTCTTTCATGGAGGGTTCCCGGAGAAGGGCCTCCCCCGCCGATCTCAAGGGGCGGCTGGGCATATATGGATGCAAGCGCTCCTTCAGGTAACCAGGGCCCAAGCCGTTTAGGGCTTTATAGGTCATCACCAACACCTTGAATTGGGCCCGGACTTCAATGGGGAGCCAGTGAAGCTGACGGAGAACTGGAGTCATGTGAACACAACGCCCAGTCCCCGTCAGCAGCCTGGCAGCTCTGTTTTGAACCAGTTGAAGTATCCGGACCGTCTTCAAGGGTAGCCCCACGTAGAGCGCGTTACAGAAGTCGAGACGGGAAGTCACCAATGCATGTGTCACTGTCGCGAGGCAGTCATACTCCAGATAGGGGCGCAGCTGGTGGATCAGCCAAAGCTGGAGGAAAGCGCTCCTCGCCACTGCGGTCACCTGAGCTTCTAGTGAAAGCTCCGGGTCGAGGAGCACTCCCAAGCTGCGAACTTTGTCCCTAAGAGGGAGTGCAACCCCATTCAGAACAAGGTTCAGTTCACCCTCTCCAAAGCCAGAACCACCAACCAACAGGACCTCCGTCTTGTCTGGATTGAGCTTCAGTTTATTGGCCCTCATCCAGCCCATTACCTCGGCCAGGCACCGGTTCAGTACAGCCACTGCCTCACCTGGATTGGTGGAAAACGAGAGGTAGAGCTGGGTGTCATCAGCGTACTGATGGTTCCGCAGCCCACACCTCCTGATGACCTCTCCCAGCGGTTTCATGTAGATGTTGAACAGCAATGGGGACAGAATGGACCCCTGCGGCACTCCATGGCATAGCTGCCATGGCGCAGAGCCATAGTCCCCCAGCACCACCTTCTGGAACCGGCCATCGAGATAGGAGCGGAACCACTGCAAAGCAGTGCCTCCAACCCCCAATCCCGCAAGTCTGTCCAGAAGGATACCATGGTCGATGGTATCGAAAGCCGCTGAGAGGTCCAGGAGAACCAACAGGGACGCACTCCCCCTGTCTTTCTCCCTGCACAGGTCATCGTACAGGGCGACCAAGGCAGATTCAGTACCGTACCTGGGTCTGAAGCCGGACTGAAATGGGTCCAGATAATCAGTTTTATCCAAGAGTGCTTGGAGTTGTCCCGCCACCACTCGCTCTAACACCTTGCCCAGAAACGGGATGTTGTTGTTGTTGTTGTTGTTGTTGTTGTTATTATTATTATTATAACATTTCTATGCCGCCCCTTGCCGAAACCTCGGGGCGGCTTACAACATGATAAAATACATTGAAATACAATAGTACATAATAAATTACCATTAAATATAAAAATACAAAAAATACATTGATTTACAAATATAAAATTAAAATTTTATGTTGGCCACTGGTCTATAATCAGTGGCCATCTCTGGATCCAGTGACACCTTCTTCAGGACCGGTCGGACTACCGCCTCCTTTAAAGGGGCAGGCACCCGACCCTCCCTCAGAGAGGCGTTAATCACTTCCAAAATCCAGGTCCCAATCCCGTGCTTGGAATTATTTATTAACCAAGACGGGCAAGGGTCCAATAAGCAAGTGGTGGGACGTACTCGTCCAAGCACCTTGTCCACATCATCGGGCCGCAATAACTGAAATTCATCCAATAATTCTGGACCAGACGGCGGCATTGGCGTCTCCCTTAAAGCCTCTGTATCAATAGTGGAATCCAGCTCGTGACGAATCTGAGCGATTTTCTCCCTGAAATGCCTGGCAAAGTCGTCACAGCGGGCCTTTGAGGGTGGAATCAGGTCTTCTTTCGGACCTGGACAAACCAGGCCATGCACCACTCGAAAAAGCTCCGCCAGACGGCATTGTGAGGAGGCAATGGAAATGGAAAAATATCTCTTTTTCGCCGCCCTCACCGCCACAGCATAGGCCCGATAGTGGGCTCTCAAGTGTGTTCGGTCAGATTCATCACGTGATTTCCTCCACCTACACTCTAGCCGTCTCCCAACCTGCTTCATCGCCCTCAATTCAGGGGTATACCAAGGGGAAGAGCGGGCTCTGCCCGGTGGGAGAGGGCGCTTAGGAGCGATCGTGTCTACAGCCCTGGTCATCTCCCCATTCCACAGTTAGACCAGAGCCTCGACAGGAGCACCCGTCTTGTCAGCCGGAAACTCCCCCAGGGCCTTCAGGAATCCTTCCGGATCCATCCGGCTCCGGGGGCGGACCCACACAATCGGGTCTGCACCCTTGCAGAGGGAGAAGTCGCTCTCGAGCACAAACCTCACGAGGAAGTGATCTGACCATGACAGGGGAGTCAGACATAAATTCCTCACCCTCAGACCACCCTCTTCCTGTCCCGTCGAGAAAACCACTTCCTGTCTTCCTGTCTTTATGGTTGGAGACAGATGCAATGGGTACCAACTGGCATGGCTAAGCTCAAAACACTGTCTATTCTTCTCCAGGATCAAACTTAGACAAATCTCCTAAAATGTCATTGCAAAGCTAGACAAAAGCTGTGAATGAGATGCTTCCTGCAAGCTCTTTTTTTAATAATACCTCAGTCTTCATCCTTCACCCTTAGTGCACCAGACTGATAGCTGAGAACACTGCCATTTGGCAATGACCTCCTCCCAAAAGGTAAAGAAAAATGGATGCAATTGTTGCTGGCTTCAGTTTGGCACAGTGGAGGCCTTTTTGCCTCAAAAGATTTGGCAATGTCCAGATGAAGCTGAGGTGTTTCCCCTGTGTGATGATGGGAGCAGCATAAAAAGCCGCCCAAACACTGCATGGCGCCATACTCCTTCAGGAATCCATCATCCACCCAGGATGACTGCTCAAGCAAGGAGGCTTGGTGAAGTCAGATGGCTGGGTCAAATCTGGAGCTTTGGTTCCATTTCAGGACCTTGGTCAGTAACCCTGGAGCTAGAGAATGAACAAGTTACTCCAGCAAAGTTTGGGAGCAACTTGCACATTTTATAGTCAGGCCAGGGGAGTCTCTCTGGAAACACCCCCTTTCAGGTGCTGCATCGGGCCATTAAAGGCCAACAGCCTTTGCCCGCAGGCATTGGATTCTCCTAGGGAGTGAAGGTTGGAGAAGGGGGCAACCAGTTGGGAAAGTCCTAAGTCAGAGTCAGAAGGCAGTGCAACCTCCTGGGAGCTGTATGCATAAGGTATGGCATCCAAGGTAATGGGACCCATTCCAGAGTAGCCCGGAACTGGCTCTGATACCTGCCCATGCCACTGTCACCACAGGCTTCACTTTCTGAGGGGTGCCAGTCCTCACCGTGACAGGTAGGAGAAAGGGCTCATGAATTAACCTCTTCCCCCTGCAGGGCTCTGAAGCGTGGCTGCCGGTGCCTAGAGGTAGACTGTTGGGATGGATCCAATGGGGAGCCCATTGTCTATCATGGTCATACCTTCACCTCTAAGATCCCCTTCCGAGAAGTTGTGACGACGCTTGAGAAATATGCATTCCGGGTAGGTTGAAAATCTGGCCGTAGGGCATGGTTGCTTTCCTCAGCTAGAGGAGGAGGAGACACTAGGATGGAAGGTATACATATGGTGAGTGGGGAAGCCAGGCACAGCCACTGAACAAGGGATGGGGGTGTACAGTAGGTGCCGGGGGGGGGGGGGGCCCAGCTGTTCTGATTTTAGTGCTGTCGTGTGCCTTGGAGGATCTAAGGTACAATGGTGGAAGATTCGCAGGGGGTGCTCCCATTGTTCCATTAGTGCTGATGCCCACTAATGCAGCCAACAATGAGGTTCCAATAAAATATAATGAATACTATTGTGATTCATTATGTATTAGGTATCTATGCCACTCAGTAGCCATAGCTCTAAAATATTATTCCAGGGTTTTGCCACATCCCAGCAATGTCTTCATCCCACTCTCCAGCCTCCAAGCCAAAATTCCTCTCCCTGCTGAACGTTCCACATCCTTGTGCTCCACGTCGAAGCCCATATATGTGATGCACAGAGATCACAAAGAACATTACACATCCCAAGTCATGAAAGCTCAAGTAAAGTTCCAGGTGACCTCAGTCATATACCTCTCTGAAATTTGACTTGGGCACACCACCTCTTGTTCCAGATGGCTGTGATTCCATGGCCTTGTTCCAACCCTGCCACCCTTAATTCTTGTTCTGCTCCTCCAGGATCAACATATCCTAGGTAAAAGGTAGCTCACTTTCCTTCTAGGAGATTTTTAAAATTCCCAGTGGTTTTTTGCAGCAGCCCTACCCCCTTCTTTCTGTTCATCTTCTGTTCCATCTTTAGTTTCTCAAACATTTGGTTCACCAATGAATGCCTCATTTAACATCCTGTGTCTCTTTGGCCATCCAGGCTTCCGATTATCCGATTATTCTGTCTATTGAGAACCACTGCAGCATAGAGCAGCAGGATATCATGGCAGAACAGCTGAAAGGAATTCTGGGGGAGAAGCTGCTCACCACCACTATTGATGGGTGTGTCCCTGTGCAGTTGCCTTCACCTGAGGTAGGCGACCTGGAGTGGCTAATGGGTCTTGCTCACAGTGGGTTTACAGAGCTTGATTGTACTCACAGGAGAAGCCTTCTAATGGCACTCACCCACTCTAGTTTCTTTTCTCAGTCTGAACCACTTAAAATGTGGTCCTAGGAGAGGGAGATGCCAAAGGTGGTATGTATGAGGAGCAAAGATCCAGCCGGAGCAAGAGCCTGGGGTGGGTGCCAAAGAGTTAAAGGGTGGTGGCGGTGGTTGTTTTGGGCAAATCCACCAAGGCCAGTGCCAAATGCAACTTAGAAAGAGTAGAGCAGTGGCTACAGTGGAGGCCACAAAGCATGAAATAGGTTGAGGGGGTATGTAGAAGGCTTTCTAGGTAAAGCCTTGGTGAAAAAAATGAGTGAACTGTATTATGGCACCAGTGAGCTAGGAGGAATATTTGCTGGAAACACAAGAGACATGGGCATTTCTCTGAAGAAAGGTGGGATTTTGTAATCTGCCTTGCCAGATTGAGCTGTACTTGCCAGAGGCAGAGGAATCCCCCTCCCTATTCCCTGAAGCGCCGCCCCGTTGTGACCTACTTGTCTCCTCGTGCAGGAACTGAAGGGGAAGATCCTTCTGAAGGGGAAGAAGATTGGACACTTGGAGGATTCTCTGAATGGACACCCTGACAGCCCACCTGAGCAGGAGGAGGAGGAGGAGGAGGAGGGGCCAGATGGAGAAGAAGACTCTCTACGCAATGAGGAAAAAAGGAAGGACAAGGTATGTATAGGCAGCTTGGGCAAATGGCTTCTTTAGAAATAGGATCAGCCCAGAAGCAGTGACTGATGGCAACAGCTACTGATATACTAGAGGTAGTCAAATATGTCTGTGTTGGTTTCCCTGAGTTCCTCATATTTCCAGCATTAAGTTCTGTTCCTCATCAGTTTGAAAAAAAATTAAAAGGTTTGCATGAAAACTCATATGCCTTCTACAGTACCTTTCTCCTAATATCAGATACTTTCGATAAAGGCAATATTTTTGCAAAACATTTCTCCTAATATAATGCATTTTAATGTTGTTTTCCCTGATATACACTTTTTATTGGAGAACTCCATTATAAAGATCCAAAGGGTAATTAACTGACTTTTGATTTGCTATAGGTTCCAAAGTGCAAATTAGGTAAGTTCACATTAAAAGCCACCCAAACTAATTTCTCCCTATCCCAATTATGTAAGGCTTTTTGGAAGAAGGGGAACTATGTTGATTCTGTTATGAAGCTTGGAGAGACCCCCATGTGAAGGGAAGACAAAGCTGCACAGACCAGGAGTTAGGAGTTTTACCCAGGAAGCCAAAAGGGTCTCTCTTCCTACCATATCAACATAATAAGATTCCTTCTTACAGGAGTCAGACCACTGGTCCAGCTATCCCAGTTTTCCCCAACCCAGTGTCTCCAGATGGCTTGTATTACAACTCCCATCATCAGTGACCATGTGCAATGAGGATGATGGGTATTGCCATGCAACACACCAGGTTGGAGAAGGCCAATTCAATTTGTAGTGTTCTAGCAAGAACCAGCCCCATGGGTGTCTTATTTTAGGGCTACTACTCTAAAACAACCAGCTGTAGGAAAGCCAGAAATCAGCAATGAAACGTTTGCTGTCACAGCTTCTCCCTGCTCAGAAACCCCTGTCGCTGAACTTTCACCTTCCCTGGAGCAGTTCAAGACGGAAAAGCCCTGTCAGACTCCCTCCACCCCCAGATAAAAGGAGAGCAAGCCTACATTTTTATTTCATCTTTTGAACAGATGTGAAAAGGTCATGGCTGCATGCAAAGACATAATCTGCAAATTGCTACTGTATTCCTCGCAGAAAGGCAAGCAGTCCCTCTCCCAGGAGCTGTCCGATTGCATTATCTACTGCAAGAGCGTTCCCTTCCACAGCTTCCAGCATTCCCATAGCCACTACAAGCCTTATGAGATGTCCTCCTTTGCTGAATCCAAGGCCCGCAAGCTCATCCGAGAGGCTGGTGAGAAATGGGGCGGGGAGGGGGGAGAGCAGACAGAAAGCTGCATTCTGTGGGGCACAAGACCTTGCCCCCAGATATCGTGCCTATCTTGAGCCCCAGCTTTGGGCAAGAGATTTTTAGTGATCCCCGGGACATAATAAGCCAGATCCAGGTTTCCTTACAAGGAGGCATCTATTGTTGCAACCATCAACTCACTAGCTAAGTTTCCACGCATTTAGCAGCAAGTCACTTGCACTGCACAACGGGAACCCCTGCAAGGTAGGCTCCGATCAGCTGGAGCTGATAGGGTCAGCAGAGCCCCCCCAAAAGTGTAAAGAGCACAAAGAAAATGACTTGCTTATATAGGTTACCTATTTCTAGCATGGCGCACGTACACAAGCATCCTATATCAGCCTTCCCCAGTCTGGTGGCCTTCAGAAGCATTTGACCCCAAACTCCAGAATTCCCATCCAGCAGGGCCATTGACTAGGAATTGTGGGTGTTGCAGTCCAATGTGTCTGGAAGGTACAAGGTTGGGGAAGGCTGTCCTACATCAAAGCATAATTAGGAGATAGGATTACACTGATGGATGGGGTAGCACAGACACTGATTGTTTACACAGGTGTTAAGAACAAGTAGGGTCTGTAATCTAGTGAAGAGTATCCCGGTCTAGCTTGCCAAGCTCCCTACACTGCGTGTCTCATTCGTGCTAAGGGTGCCAAGATGATAGCATGTAGCACAAGGCTTAGGCTCATAACTGCCTTATGCGTGAAGGCACAACTGCACTCGCGGGGCTGATAAGGAATGTGGCCAAGGAGGCGCCTGCAGCTGTGTGCACATCCCGGGATCCATTTCTCATGCCGGGGAAACCTCCCTTGTAGGAAAGGCATGCAGTTGTGGCCAGGGAGAAGGATAACTAAGGCTCTGTTGTTTAATTAATATAAACAAGGTGGAGAGAGTTCACTCATGACAAGCAAGGCCTGCATTTTGGGGAGCCAGAGACCCAGGCATGGCTTTTTGGAGTTCAAGGCCTGACACATGGCCTTGTTCAATTGTCACTTCTGTAAACAGTGGGAGGTCCCAGTGGCAGCATTACCAGATCTAGCGTTCTTTGGATAAGAGATCTTTCCTATCTGCTTTATTTACAAGCAGAGCAGAGGGGAAGCAAGCAAACCCATACGCGCAAGCATCAAGTCCACTAACTCCGCATCCAGTTATTGGCAAGCAACTCGTATAGCCATCACCCACCCTCCTCAGGTGCCCTGTCCCCTAGTTTCAGCTAACTTCAGGAACAAATTCTTAATCTTCCCCTTTAGCTGGGCACTGCCACCTTCTAAAGACTGGAGAGGGAACCCCCCACATCCTTTTGTTTATTGAAATCCCAGATCCACTGAGTTCCAGACACCGTGTGGAATAACACAATGGGCCAACCTGCTTAAAGCAAACAGATTTAATTCTCAACAGTCTCTCAGCCGTCATTCCACATACTGGACTTATACATGCCTCCATTTTCAGCCCCGGTTGGAGGAGGCAGCATCGCTATAGTGAGTTTGACAATGTCATGATGGCCCTGCAGCTGACAAGGCCAGTTCTTAACAAGGCCTTGAAAACAGTCAGGTTTCCATAGAGTCCTCACCTTGCACAATAGGTGCTTTCCACTGCTTGCTTCCTTAGCACTCTGTCTCTACAGGGAAGAAGCAGTTGTCTCTTCCTCAGGCTCTCCTGGAGCATGGCATTCATCCATTCCAGCCCCCTTTAGGAATCGATCTCACAGTGAAGAAATCCTGAATGAGTGCTCTAGTACAACAGTCTCCCAGCCCAAATGCCTTCCCACTTGGTGGACTGCGCGAAGTATCAGTCGTTGCCCTAATCATGTGTGTGCTGTTTCTTGCAGGGAATGATTTTGTTCGCCATAATGCCTGGCAGCTGACACGTATCTTCCCCAGTGGGATGCGGACTGACTCATCTAATTACAACCCCCAAGAGATGTGGAATGCGGGATGTCACATGGGTAGGAATGACGTGCGGGCGACAGGAAGGGGAAGGACATCCCTTGCTGCAGTTTTTTCCTGAGCTCTTTATGGACTTGACAAAAATCTGCAGAGCAGACGCGGCTCAGCCCTTGATGCCGGGCTCTGTTTCTGTCCAGGCATCTAAACTCATGTGCCAATCTGCACTTTCACGTGGACTGGCCATTTACGCTTCATGAAAAAAGAGGGGGAAGTATCACCAAAACAAGGACAAAGGAGGACACCATTTGGCATATTTGCATACGTATATCTATAGGTAGAGATTTAGAGATCCTAACTATGATTTAAACAGAAGTGCAATGCATTGCATCATAGTCGGGAAGAATGTGCCCAGGTGAGCTGTGGGCCTGTAGAAGGGCCAACATGGATGGGCAACTTCAAGGCCTTTCCTCTCTTGTTAAGGTCTTTTGGCTTTAAACCAGACTTGGACACATCTTCAAACAAGAGATGGAAGGAGCTAGCAGACATCAGTGTTCTAAGAAAGCTCCTTGGAATCCATCCCTCTGTGCTTTTGTACTTCCTTTTGCATTCAGCCTGGTCTTAGAAAGTGAGTCAGGTGGAGGGGAAGCCTACAAGAATTCGTGGAATGAAGGTTGCACAACCAGCAACCTTTGCTTGAATCACATGCAGCAGCCCGAACAAAGGCTGGTACTGTTGGTGCTTGATCGACGCTGAGCGCCACAGGCATCCTGGGCATGCTTGGCAGGACCTGAGATGCACAGCCGCAACAAGGTGGAGCAGAGCCCAGGGAGCTGAGCCCAGCGAACCTGTCAGATTTCCACCCCCAGTACAGCTTTCCCCACACCTCTAGCAGACTTCCCCAGCCTTACCTTGTCTCTGTTGCTGCTGGTCTGAAATATACTGCTATGTTCTCCTCCTTTCAGTGGCCCTGAATTTTCAAACAGCTGGAGCAGAAATGGACTTATATGATGGGCTCTTCAGTCAAAATGGCTGCTGCGGCTACACATTGAAGCCAAGCTTCATGAGGGATTATGAGACAACCTTCAGTCCTGAAAACCCCCAAAGCAGGGGTGAAGGCAACCCCCTGAACTTAACCATCAAGGTACTGCAGATGCTTGTCACCTGTGCCACTATCTAGTGATGCTCCAGTGAGCTTAGGGAAGGGTTTTTGAAATAGGATGTTTCCTTACATTCAGTCAGACCTTCTTGCTCTGCAATGCCCTCTCAGGTCACGGGCAGATGCCTCTCCCAGTCTTGCTATTTTGAGATGCCTGAGATTGAACCTGCAAATGCAAACACATGCAGACTTGGCCATTGAGTCTGAGCTCCCCTCATATGGAAAAAAATAGAATCATTTTTCATTTCTGCTTTCTACAGCTCAGCATAAGCTATGGAACCAAAATGTTAATCTTTAGGAGAAAAAGCCTATCTGTGATGGGAAATTCTGCCCTCTTGTGGAGTAACCCCTTCCTATCGTTTTTCCTTGTTCTTGTGAAGAACATGTGTTTAATTCCTAGGGGTGTTTTCAGTGGACGTGATGTTAATTGAGGACCCGGAGAAAGAGACTGCCACCTTTACCCTGCCATCTTTCAGTAGCCCTGCAGCTGTCTCTGCCCAGTGGAATGAAGATGAGCTGCTGTTTAGTAAACTGACTTGAAGGTGTTGGGTAGGCAAGTGCAGTGTTGTTCCAAGCCCTTTGGCCTTGTGGGCTGGTGCAACATGGGTGGGCATCATTGGACCTCTGTGCAGGGCCCACTGACTGTACCCTCTGGACTGGTTCCTCTTCTTGTCTGCTGCAAACTGCTTTTCATGGCCCCTCACTCTGGCCCAAACAAAGGTGTGGTGAGCAGGAGCAGGAGGTGCCAGGGCCTGGGTGCTCATTGGCTTCCTACCTGTCCAGCAAGCAGGTGGTCGCAATAATGAGAAAGAGGATGGGAGCAGCTGGTGAGAATGATAGTGAGAAGGTAGACTTGGCAAGAGATGGGCTCCACAGATGGGGCTTTCTGAAAGGCCCTCAAAAACCTGGGGCCAGCACATACCATTTGGAGTACCATAGGCTGCAGGAGATGGCAGGGGCCAGGGTTCAGTGCAGCTTTTTCACATGTCCCATGCCCCTGTGATCTTCTCTTCCAGGTCATCAGTGGGCAACAGCTCCCCAAGATGCCCAACAGCAAACTTGGTTCCATTGTGGATCCACTTGTGCGGGTGGAGATTCATGGGGTCCCTGCCGACTGTGCCAAGTATGAGACAAAATACGTTGATAACAATGGTGAGCCAATGCTATTGGTCATTATAAGGTAAAGCTGGGCAAGGATTATGGATGCGGTTCGTGCAGGTATCAACAAAGGTGCAAACCAACAGAGAGGCTACTGGGGGAGGCTTTGGAAGGTAGCCCCCCCTCCAGCTGTAGGGAGGAAGATCTGCAAAATGCTGTGACTCCTCAGAGATGTCTCCAGGGACATAGGACTGTGCCCAACAGTATTTCAATGTGGTTTAGCCACGCCAAGCTGTTACTCGATTGCCCTTTGCTGATTCCATTTTCAAACTGTTCTCTGCCACTTTAAAGACTGGAATAGGGCAGGGTTGTTTTGAAAATAAAGTTAGAACTGTGAAAGAGGATACATTTCTGCCAAGTCCCAGCCCCTGTGGAATGCATAAAGGCTGGTTTTCAGGCACTTTCTCCTTTTGCCCTTTGTGGCACTCAGAAGAGTAGCAGCAAGGGTAAATTATTGATGGCACAAAGGGATGCAAAGGTGGAGGGTAGCTTTGAGGTTAGAAGAATATGAGCAGAAGGAGTCAGTTTGGTATCATGGAAGTAGTACTGAAGAGGTAAACTGTGTAAGGTATTGTAGAAGAGGATCCCTGGAGAGGCTGAGGGGAAGCAGAGGGAGACACTGAGTTTCTCTGTCATGACAATGTGGTCCTTTTACTTCTATATTCCTGGACAGGTTTTAACCCACAGTGGAATGAAACATTTCAGTTTCAGGTGTGGGTTCCAGAGCTGGCACTTCTGCGCTTTGTGGTAGAGGATTATGACAAAGCATCTCGGAATGACTTCGTTGGGCAGTACACGTTACCTCTCCCTAGTGTCAAAACAGGTGAGTGTCTCCTCTCAGACCCATGGGCATGGGGCAGGCTGCAAAGATCTGGGGTGAAAGCAGGCCTGGGCCCTTGGTAAAACAGACAACACAACACAAAGACACTTTCTGTATATGGAAGGAAGGTAATCTAAGCCACATGCTCCACAGCAGAGAATGTAGTTGCTCCACCATACAAAATGGCAGCACACAGACGGGGTGTTAACAGTGCAACACACACAGATGAGATATAGCTAAACACGCAGGCTGCCTGGCAAACTGGTGCGCCTACTCAGACAGTTTGTTTTTACTTGCAAACCCAAGACAGATGCACCCTTCACACAACCCACAGGATGACCCTCTGCCATGAAGTGATCCATCATTTAGCAAGACAGGAGGAAATTGTGTGTGATTCTTGCTTCACAGCACACTGGCAAGCTGTTTCCCCACGTAGTATTTGAACTGCTTATTCCACTCTTCTGATGCTCTCTGGTGCTGTTCCTGGCTGGAGCAACAGAGACAGTGTCTCTGTTCTTGGCCAAGGCAGGAAGTGCATGTTGCCTCCATCTTTGGAGAAGACACCGATTACCCATGTAGCATTGGCAGAGTCACACAGTTTTGAAAGAACCTCAGAGAGCTACTGTGGTATAGTGCTTAGAGTCTGCTTCTGGGTGTGTCATAGCAGAAGATCCACAAGACAAGCAGAAGTCTATTTGTAAGTAAATATTCTCACATTCAAGGCCTAGCATGACCACTGCCACCACTATTAATATAGATTTTGGGTAGTAAGGCTGGGAAAACCTTGGAGTACTGTGCATAAACAGTCGTACGATAGATGGGTCACTGGTCCGATTGAATTCAGGGCCAGCCGTAACAGGCTGAGGCAGCAGATGCTGGTCGTTAGGGAGCAAAGCAGCAGTGAGGTCTTGGAGGACCAAGCTGTGTGTTGCCCCAAGCCTCCTTAACCAGCCTGCTGACCTTAACTGGGGTGGCCGATGCCAGTCTTGAAGCAAAGTTCACCCACCAGGTTTTGTGCATAGGAGAACGGAGGAGTCACCATCTTGTCCCTTGCCCTGGAGGCAGCAAAATGGTCTGGGTCAACCCTACGGAATACAAGGCACCTTCATTTGTTGTTCATTTCTATTTTCCATACAGGATACCGCCACATTCACCTTCTTTCCAAGGATGGCACAGGTATCCCACCAGCATCCTTATTTGTCCACATCCAGATTGTGGAATTTTCACCAGAAAACGACTAAATGATACTGCCACATCTCAAGGCACACCTTTTCCTTATCTGACCTAATATAGTTTGGAAAATGTGGGTGAGTGAAGAAAGCCGGAAGCTTATGGAAGGATGCCACTCCATCTGGCTGCCTCTGTCTCTCTTGGACAGAAATGCTACTTTGCACTATGTTATTTATTTTTTTACAAAAACTATTTTGTATTATTTTGCTATTTTATTTTTATTATCTAAATTATTGTGATTTGCACAGTTCCCAGACCCTTTGAGCAGGCTCCAACTAAATCACCCTATTTCTCAGGTTCCATTATGATAAAATCTACCTCCGTTATGCCTCCTGTGGGCTGCTGTAACAAGAAATGGAACCTGCTGCAAGGCAGAGAGAGTTTCCTTCCACAACCTTGCCCCCCAGTCATCCATTTCCAGAAAAGCCTTTCTCCTGCACCTCCCTTCTAGGTCAACCCTCTTCATCTGAGCATGGAAGTAGGTCCATCGCTAAAGTAGGAGCAAACTGTTCCTGGAAGCTCCTGCCTAGATTTGGCAACACCTGTTTTGGGGTGAGTGGGGAGAGAGCCCATGTGCAGCTGATGTAGCAGCATCTTTTCCCTGGGGAATTGGTCCCTGCCCTCTGCAAAGCAAGACAGGCGGGAAAACATGCAATGTTGGGCCACTCGCGCTTTTACTTTGTGAGTGACACAAAAGAGGAGAATTGTCTCTGTTCCTTGTCTTCCCAATACTGATCTGAGAGGTTAGAGAAAAGTACCGGATTTCCCATTCCACCTAGAACAGCTGTACATTTCTCCTGCCACTGCCACCTAAGTAGAAGCTAACAGCTCGTTCAGGCATGCATATTAATCACAATGATACGCATGTGTGAAACAGACATTGCATAGTGAATATTATACACAAAGCTGCTGACAGTGTGCTTCTATAAGCCACACTGGTCTGGCTGAGCCCTCAGGCAAGGAGAAGCAGAAAGGGATTCCATTCATTTCTTGAAGACTGTCATGGGTGGAAGGGGTATCAACTCTGCTTCTCTGTTTTCTATCAGGCATTGATTGACAAAGAAGTGCTGACAGCCAACAGCCTAACTCTATTTTTAGACAGAAAGATTTGGGCTAGGGCTCTATTTCAACTCCAGGTAGGAAGAGTAAAAGTACATATAAATGAGCCTGTCTTTTTCTACCTGCAACACACAATATTTAGACAAGTGAGTCCTGAGTAAGAACACTTCCACATTAGGAATACCTTAATAGTCTACAAACCCTCCAAAAACCACTTTTTCCTGATGTATTCCACATACTATATTTGATTTTCTGCAGCTAGAGAAGCTCGTCCACTGGTTTAGTCCCAGGGCTCAACCACTTACTCTTAGCCTGATCTCATAATAGGTGGACTCTCCTGCTTGTAGGCCCTTCCTGCTTCTGTTGACTAAAGGTATCCAGTCAAGCCAAACAGAGCATACCAATCTTTCATGTAGGGGGAAACGCACTTGTTGCTAAGTGGCAGCAAGTATATAGGAGATCTCTCTCTCCTCCTATATAGGATATAAGTGACAGAATAGGACAGTAGAATGACAGGTGCCCGTTAGTTCAAACATCTAAAACGAAATTAGCACAGCTCAGATGTACCAGGACCTGAGCAGCCTTGTTGGATCTTACCCAGAGGCCCATCTAGCCCAGCATTCTGTTCACACAGTGGCCAGGCATATGCCTGTGGGAATCCCACAAGCAAGAGAGGAGTACACCTCCGCCTCCTCTCTGTATTCCAAGTGAATGATATACAGAGGTAGCTAAGAGGAAAAGAAGGCATTTAGTACTAGAGAAGCTGCATTCGTCTTAGGGCTAGATGAGCTAGAGGCCCATGTTGCACAGAGCCTCCTGAAACCGAACCTCAGTGGAAAAGCACTGTGGCTAGAAAGGATGCTGTAAAGTCACCTCAAAACTACCTTGCATGGTTCCACCGTGCATACGAACAGAAGGTGCAACCGCCTTGCCCTATTCCCTAACTTGGCCAAAGAACTGCAACCCTCCTGCTCTTCCAAGACCTCTTTGCTTAACTCAGGTATCGTTTAGAGATGCAATATATATACACACACACACACACACTTACAGCAATGCATGGAATGCTATTTTTTCTGTATACTGCCTTCTTTGTAAGGGGTCAAGACCCTATATATACAGACTGGTTTATCAAAATAAAGATACCAATAAAAAGGATGGTCCAAACTACTTCCAGACAAGGTAGGGGATGCCTATGGGTCATCTCAGAATTGCAATTACTTCTTTAACATTCTAGCATGAGATGGGAAAGTTATATGAGGACTTTGCAGGAGGGGCTGATTCACATCCAACCCTGTTGACCAACCCATCCTTGGTAAGACTTTCAGGATGCAATCCCATGCATGTTTAGATGGGAACAAGTCTTACAACACCCGGCCATGCAGGCTGGGGCAGGCTGGAAATGGCAGGGCTTTTTCTGTCTGAATGTGTGTAGGCATGCACTCCCAGCTGATTAACATGGCTGGTTACAGAATCTGCATTACAGCAGGTGTTTATACAGGCAAAAACTCCTCCTTTGGAAAGTAGTCATGGGATAGTAGAGAACAGATGTCAGCCATGGCATCATCATCATCATCTTCATCCTGCCTGCATAGCTGTGCATCGAGCTAGCCTGTGCAGTCATCTTTGCTAAGCTGGGAAGGTAAAGGCCTGCAGCTGGATGGATGACCACCTGTGGAAGCGAAGCAGGGAATTGGACTCAGTGGCCTCTGCTACTATTCTATCTGCCACACCGTTAGAGGCGGCTTTGTAATACTTTTTAATCCATGCTCTATAATGCTGAAATGCCTATCAGATGACTAGATCTACTTCAGTGTAACTGTGAAGCCTTCCAGATACTTTACTGGTTGTATAATATGCACAGAACAAAGCTTTTCTTTGACCTTTAACCCTCCCTTGCTCTCACAGCTCTCCAAGCAACTTATTTGTTCCTCAAGAAAAGGAAGAGAAGCATTTGCCTGTGTGCTTTCTCCTCTTGTATCTCTTTCTTTTTTGTTCACTTGAAGCCCCAATCCCTGAGCATGTCGGGTGTGCACCATGCTTCGGTATGGGCTGTTATCCCACCCCCTTCCCAGTTTGCACTGTGTGCTGCAAGGGCACAAAACTTTGGTCCAAGTTCTGAAATCTGGCATGCCCCGGCTGGCTCCACTTTCCCCCCAGGCACCAATCACTGGTGGCTCTCCAGCGTTTCTGCATATTCCAGTGTTCTGAAAGGTTGAAATACCTCTCCTAAGGCTTAGTTACTGGCAGGAAGAGCTTTTAGCTAAACTATGCTGGTATTTTGGTTCCACTGCATTTGCTTTCAGCACTGCCCTGAAATGCAGCCCTGTAACGCTTCTATAAAAAGGATTTCTGCCCTTGGGCTGAAAGAGGTTAAAAACCCACCATACTGGCATACTGAAGTGCTCAAACCTTCCTCTCAGTTTTAGGATCATTGCCTTTTTCCTCTGCCAGGGTTCTTGTGCTATTAGCGGCTGCACAACCAGAAGCAATTCAACCAACTTTTTTCCAGCATTGTCGGAGAAAGCTGCATCGACCAAGCTCTTCTTAATACAAAAGGAGTCCTGCTGCCCCCCCACCCCATGAAAAAGGAAAAAATACCAGAAATTAAAGCTAAATGACTATGCAGACCAGCAGTGTTGTCTATATCAGATGCTTCAGCTTTCTGAAAAAGCTTGTGTAACTCTAGCCTCTGGCTGCTTTGCTGGTACAACAATGTTGTCCTGATGTGCTAGTCTGCAACTCCACTAACTCCCAGCCAGAAAAGCTATCAACTTACGCTGTCTGGGAATTGTGAGAGCTGTGTTCCAGCCCACCAGGACACAAGGTCAGGAAAAGGCAGAGGTGCAAGATAAATGCCTCCCTTCTCTTTCCTGCTGGCCTTATTTCTAGTGTGTTTTGGTAGAAGTTCTTCTCCTACCAATGAACAGCAGCTACAAGTTTGTGTCTCACTAACAGGTATGTGCAACTCTAGAAATCTGTCATGGTTACACTTTGAATACAGAGATATTCTCATCAAGCACAGCACCTTGGCAGAAGAGGATGACTTTCCTTTTTTTTAAAGCAAGTTTTAATTTTCTATGAGCCATGTGTGCTAAAGGCCCAGAAAGGAGACGTGGCAGGAAGGCCAAAACATTTAAAAACTCAAGGTATTTCTCTATTTTGTGGCTACAAGGTTTCAAGTCCCTTATAGCACAATTTAGTATTTCTCCACTTACCCTAACTCATTCGACTTAGTCCCAGGTAATAGCATGGAGAATTACAGCCTTACATTGGAAATCCTAAAACTGCTTACCTGGGAGTAAGCCACACTCAATTCTGAATAGAAATGTATAGGATTCTGCAGTTTGTGTAATAATCTAGAGGGCCCTGCTCTCAGTGACCACAGGGGTAAAACAAGGCTGCTGTGTGATATAGTAGCAAAGAGATTGGGCTAACTGGAGGACAGGATTAGAACAGAAGGTAAGAACAGCAAGCTGAAGCAGGGAAGAGCTACAGCTCCACAGAACAAAAGTCACACATTCTGGTGTGTGCATGAAAATGGAAGGGCAATTCCCAAACGGATAATGTATGCAGATTTTCATTAGCCTTAACTGCCTGGTTTGTTCTGGTTACTTAAGTTGGATTTCTTTTGCTACTAAGGACTGGGAATAAAGATCAAAACGCCAAAGAAAAGCTAAGGGCAATAGAGAAGCTGAAGTGAAAACAGATGTATAAATCCTGAATCACTACTCAAACTTCTTTGCCCCCAGCCCTGCCAAAGGGTTTCTGTGTGAATTGGAGACCTGTATGCTGTGCCATAATCATGGCTGGAAGTCGTTTGTACTACAGAACCAAGGGGCTCATCACAAAATGAGGGGGGCTGTGCTTATCTCAGTTTTCACAGAAGCAAACAGCTTTCAGTCACAACCACCATACAACAGTGAGGGTTTTCTTCCTGTGTGCAGTGCACACAGCTATCTTGTTTTTGCACAATGCCACGCAGGCTAGCGGGAGTACCAAAGACCTAGGAGACAATCTCAGGTCTGATCTTAACTCTTTGTTCAGACAAGGCATTCTTTGACCAGCACCAGCCACCCTAAGATATCATGCCTGGAAAAATAAATACAGGACAGGCAAGTGTCTAATGATCTGTGCACAGTTCAGTCCACACTAACTTTAGTATGCAGATATGTGGATTCTTTAAAAGTTGACAGGACGAAGCCTCTGCACCACGTGGTTTGAAGCTTTTGCAAGTTGCAGACTGGTGCACAGGACACTGCAGGAAAGCTGTTTGAACTTGAAAGACATGGGCATAGTTTAGATAAGTAAAGTTTTGGAGGGAAGCTTGTAGGCCAAAGATGCTGATGATCCATTAAGCACAGCTCTGAGGCCCTACAGCCTTGAGCAGCTTCAGCCTAATAAGCACTCCTTGCTTTCAAGTGGCTTTATCAAATGCTCCAATCATTTAAGAGCTGGAACAAATGGATTTCTTCAAAGCCTGTACAACGGACATGCTTCCCAGTTCTTCCCAGGTAGGAGGGAGGGCCAGCTTCTTCCTCCAATCCCATTTCTTACCAGTGCATCAATCATTTTAAAATCCCTATCAACAGAAGCAGGTCATTTTGAAATCCCTATCAACAGAAAGTGGGCCAAAGAAATTCGTGTTTTCTGATTCACCAATCTTTTCCACACACTAACACATTAAGGAGCTGCTCTGCTTAAAATACACCAAGCAGAAGGATGATGCTAGGAAATTTCATTCTGTGTGTACAGAGCTCAATCCAGAGATCTCTGGGCACAGCAGTCATTGTTCAGAAAGTTTCCTGATATTACAGGCTGACCAGAACTGTCCTGAAGGAAAGGCAGGTAGAATTGTCCCCTTGGGCAAAACCCACCATCAGCCCCAGCAACCTCCCAGGTTATATGATTCACTCCTCCTCCACTGTTGCCCTACTATGCAGACCACTGGATCTGATCTCATCAAAATCACAAACAAGCCTGGAGACCCTTTTCATACAGTCAGATATTTTACATCACATATACAGATATCATTACAAACACAAGCAAATGCATTCACTCAACTTGGAGCGGGCTGCATTTCCCCCGTGGGCTTGAAACAGGGTGAACAGGACCTCCATGTGGTGCCAGGTCTAAGCCTTCAATCCATCACAGAAGCCAAAGTAAAGTAGCCTCAGGTCTTAAGTCCATTTCCCCCCACTTTGCTTTAGCCATGCGGTGACACCTGAGTCTCACCTTCCCCTGGGTGTTTGGAGGAGGAATTCTCAAGCTGAACATCATGCAGGTGGACAGTCAGGGTACAAGGGTCCTTGCCCACCCCTTTGCTGAGGTCCCCCTCTGTTCCCCCCTGCTCAGGGTGGTGCCTCTGCAAATGCTTGATCACTTGGAACTTCTGCTTGGCCTTGTAGCTGCAGTAGCGGCAGAAGAAGGGGTGCTCGTTGGTGTGGGTCAGATAGTGATGCCGCAAGCCGGCTGCCCACCGGAAGCCTCGGAAGCACACATTGCAAACATAAGGCTTCTCTTCGCTGTGCTTCTTCAGATGCGTCTTGAGGAGGAAGCGGGTCTTAAAGGCCTTTCCACACTGCTCGCAGATGAAAGAGCGGGCCTCACGATGCCGCGTCTCCTTGTGGATGCGCAAGGCGTCGGCACGGTTGGTGCAGTAGTCGCACTCATCACACTGGTATGGTTTGAGCCCTGGGTGAAGTGTGATACAACAGAAATGGCCATGAGTGGCATATCACCAGATAATCAAAGCCATGCTGCCCTTCCACATGAGTTGTGTGCTTCTCCGAGTGGCCGCAACATTGCTGCTTCGCGTACTGTGGGATGTTCACACGCCTCAGGGAAAGGAATTCTCTCCACACACCACGCCCCTGCCCTGAGCTTCGGCTTCACATATTAACCACGAATCTCAGCCCCAACAAGCCAATGAAACACATCCAGGAACCCAACCCCACCTTTAGGAACGTTCTCTGACAGAAAGAAAAGTAACTGGCCCTTAATTCTCATCAGTATAGATTTCAGTGCATTACTACTAACCAGAAGTGTGGAAAGGGGGACACCTTTCCCGTTGCCACGACAGAAGTGTTGTTCAGGTGCTGTTCACCAGCCCAAGCGCAGCTCCCAAGCATATGCAAAAAACCGGTACAGGCTAAAAATACTGGCCTGCTTAGAAAGTCAAGTGTCAGATGCACACTTCAACATGGTTTTCTACCAGCATTGCCAGAAGTGCCGTGTGGCTCTTCACATCATCTGCCTCTGCACGCAGCCTTTGAAAGGTCCCGAGGGACCCTCTTCTTGACCTCACATCAATAAGAGGCATAGCCCGGCAAGGTTACCCCGCACGAGAGGCCAAGGCCGCATCCCCTAGCCCAGGTACCATGCGCTCCTCATGATGGTGAAGCACCATACCTGTATGCTTCGTCATGTGGTACTTCAGCTGGTTCACCCACTTGCACTTGTAGCCGCATTCTGGGCAAAGGTACTTCCTTTCCTCCTTGTGGATACGCATGTGATACTGGGCAGAAAGACAAAAGGACAGGCTGGGTCACACATGAGATGGTCCCCTCACAAATGGCTTTCGCAATTGCACAGTTTATGAGCAATGTGATTCAAGCTTAGGGATTGAGCAGGCTGGCCTACTAAACAAGAGCCCACTCATCCAATTGATCCGCAATCACTTTCTAGAAACCAACAGGAAAGATGGTCCTTTTGCATGAGATCCAAGAAATGAATACAAGGCAAGCAGGGCATTTGGAAGTCACAGTAGCAAAGCCAAGACTTATACACAGCACCTGGGGTACCCCTTAGCTTTGCTGGGTCAGGACTTGTCTATTGCATCTGAAATGTTTGTTCCTGGGCATAGACCAACACAGCAATTACTCCAGAGGTCACCTTTTAAAATGTACTCAGGAAATGCACTCAGGAAAGGGGGAAATTTGCTGGTGTATAAAGGAAAGGTGTAAGATTTTAAGAGCAGCATTTCATGCTGAAAAAGATATGCATCTGGGTCTTCATAATTGTTTGCCACTGTAAGGGACTACACTAGATTATGTTTTGAAACCCTCTGCTTCCTCAAAAGTCAGTTCAACCCTAAAGAAGTCAGAAGCAGGTCAGATATTTTGGAGGTTAAAGTCAAAGCCCCTGCAAAAAGAAAAACAAATCTTTAACCAAGTATTAAACCACAAAGGCTGTCCAAATATGTATTGAGCAATGAGTGGTGGTGGGGAGCGGCTGAGGGAGGGGACAGGCCATAGTATCCTTCATCCAGAGCTTTCAGATCACAGAAACATGATCTGACAATAAGTGAAGTGTCATGGATACAATAATGGAGGAACAGATTCCAGATCACAGAACTTTTAGATCACACAAGGTGGGTGCTGCCTCATAAACCATGTTCAAATCAAGGCAGGACACCACATGGCAAAAGGCCATTTTAATCAGACAGCTGGACTTAAGAGGAAATCATTCCTTAACCCAAGTGAGACACCAGGGAGAAGTTCTCCTTGCCACAGAATCTCAGTGTTACCTTCTGGCCTAAAAGGCATTTGCCCCTTTAGACCTGGCAACTGACAGCAGAGCTGAAGCTCTCCAGAAGTTGTGGACTTCAGCTCCCATCAGCCACCACAACCACGGCCCATCCCCAGGAATGTTGGGAGGCATCATTTAGACCATTTGGAGGGCACCAGGCTGGGGAATGCTGTATAGCCTTTCAGGCAGAAAAGGCAAATATCCTGGAACATCTGAAATGTCCCCTAGAGATGTTCTCCCACCAACCCAGCAACAAAGCGGCAAAACACTCACCTTGAGGCGGGAAGGGTCAGCACAGGCGTACTGGCACTGGTGGCATTTGTAAGGCTTCTCGCCCGTGTGGATACGGCTGTGCCACGTGATCTTCTGCTTGTTCTTGGTGGTGTACTTGCAGTCGGAGCACTTGTAGATGCGGGTGCCGCCATGGCCCTTCATGTGGTGGTCAAACACCAGCTGGTGATGGCAGCCAAAGTCACAGAAGGAGCACCTGAGAGGGCGTTCATCTGCCACGGAGGGCTCGTGGGCCTCCACGTAGTGGCTCACCAGCTGCTGCCGCTCCTTGGCTGCGAAGCTGCAGATGTGGCAGCGATGGCTGAAGTGCAGCTTCTTATGCTCCTCCAGTTCCTCCCGAGTCGCCAGCGTCTCCTTGCAGGCAGCGCACTCCAGGTGAGGATGCTGCTTCTGGGCATGGCATCTGAGGGTGGCCTCGCTGTGGCAGACGAAGGCACAGCGGGGGCAGCAGTAGGAGACCTTCTCCTCATGCTGCCGCAGCGCGTGCTGCTTGAGGGCCGTTTCGGAGCTGAAGCGGGCCTCACAGTGGGAGCAGGTGAAGTTCAGCTCCCCTTGGTGGCAACTGTTGACATGGCGGGTGATGTCATTCTGGATGTAGCCACTGTAGTCGCAAAGTGGGCAGAAGTGGGTGGGCTTCTTCTCGTGGGCCCGCAAGCGGTGAATGCGCAACTTGGAGTTGGTGCCAAAGGTTTGGCCACAGGTGGGGCAGGCAATGCGCCCCACGCCCGTGTGCAAGGACTGGTGGGCATCCAGCCGGTAGCGCCGGGTAGTGCTAAACTCACAATAAGGGCACTTGTGGGGCTTCACACCCTCGTGCTTGATGCGGATGTGCTGGTGCAGGCAACGCACCTGCTTGCAGGTGAAGTCGCACTGGTGGCAGGCCAGCTGGGGCCGGGCACCGTAGTACTTGCGGTGCAGCTTGCGGTGGAGCCGGAGGGCCACGGCAGCCTTGGATGTGAAGGAGCAGAGCGTGCAGCGAAACTCACCCAGCTTCAAGCAGCCCCGCTTCTTGTGCGTCTTCAGGGCACGTTCCTGGTGGCAGGTGAAAGGGCAGGTGGGGCAGGAGAAGTGCCGCCTCTTGCGTGGGGGGAGGGACACTTCGCTTGCGGGCTCATCGGATGGGCCCACGTCCTCGAGACTGACGCGCCCCTCCCTCTCCTCTGGAGCTGGGCTGAGGCTGGACCCTTCAAGCAGCCTAATGGGAGGGCCTTCCGCATGCCCCTCCAGCTGGTGGATCTTGAGGGCCCTCTTAGAGCGGAAGGGCCTTGAGCACCTGGGGCACCAGAGCTGTTCCAGGCCTCGGCAGCCGTCTTCCACGTGGGACTGGATGGTGGACACACGTGAGCAGACAAAGGAGCAGGATTTACAGTGGAACTTGTCCTGTTCCCGATAGTATCGCTCCGAGTGGTGGGCGGCAGGACCTGCAGCTACTTCCGGCAACTGTTCTCCCATCACAGTTGTGGCGGCATCCTGAGATGGCTTATTGTTTAGATGGATGGCCAAGCATGGTGTCAGTTCTGCCCCCCAAGAAGTCTCTTGCATCGTGCCTGCCTCTGCCTCGTTTAAGGCTCCGTTCTTCTCCACCTCCACCATTTCCAGGCTCGTGTGTCTGGGTGGCACAGCAGCCACCTGGTCTACACAGGCTGCTTTTGCACCATTCTTCTTCATGAGAACGGGACACTTCTTCAGGAGATGGGTATTCAGGCCTCTCTGCTGCTTGAAGACGGCCCCACACTCCTGGCACACTAAGGGGCACTTCTTAGTCTGGCAGCCCACTTTGCAGTGCATCACCATTGACTTCTCCTTCCTTGTGATGTAGGAGCACTTCTCACACTTGAAGACCCGGCTCTCAGACTGAACTACTAACATCTGCACCCTCCCTTCCAGAACGAGGGTTTCTGCTTGCTCCTTGTCCTGCCTCCTGAGAGCTTTAAGCACCGATTCAGATTGGGACCCCTCCTCAGAGGGGAGCAGTGCATCTTCTGGGGCAAAGGAAGCCTCATGGCTAGGATCAGGCTGGAAGGAACTGGGCTTTACCACATCTGGCCAAGCTTCCTGTACATTTGGCTCTCTGCAACCCTCTCCTTGCTCCAGGCTGGGTGGCACCTGCAAAATCTCCAAGTCCTCCCCATCAGCCTTCCTATCCCCTCCATCCTGCAGGGCATCTTTTTCGCTGCCTGCACCAGTACCAGAATCAGTGTCTTTTCCCAGCTCCAGCTCCCCATCCCCAGCAACCTCAGCCTCCTCCTCAAAGTCAGGGATATCCTCAAGGGCAGGCTCACTCTCTTCAACAATGGAATCTCTGGAGCTGGACCCTTCACAGGCTGCCTCCACCTCCCCATCTTCTGGCAGAGCTGTGGACATGTCCTTGGCCAGCTGCTCCAGAGCTGGCTCTGGGTCACACAGAGGCTCTAAGAGGAGGGTGCAAGTCTGAACCGGCTTGCTGGCACCACCGGGTTCCCCCAAGCTCTCTGAAGTTGTTTTCATAGTGAGCTCTTCTGAAGGGGCCCTGTCTGCCTTGCTGGGATCATGCCCTCCCACAACTTCCCCACCCACCCTGGCAATGTGGCCTTCATCCCCAAAAAGAGGCACGATGACGGCCTCCTGGCGGCAGCCATCCTCCTGGGCCTCGGAAGGAAGGGCCTTCACTTTGTCACGCCAGGACTCCCTCCCTGGGAGGGAAGAGCCCGGCTCGGCGTGCAGAGCCATGGCAAGGTTATAGCTGAGCAGCATCTCGGTAGAGCTGACCTCCAGCTCCCTGGTGGCATAGTTCTCCTGCCAGCCCTTGTCACCAGGGACGTAGCCATGGACCTTGCGCTTGTGGAAGAAGAGGCTGGTATTGCTAAAGGTGCGGTATGGGCACAGGGCACAGCGGAACTCCCTCTGCTTGGTGTGCTTGCAGTTCTCATGGTTGACCAGGGCTTGCTTGTATTTGGTTTGGTAGCTGCAGTACTGACACTGGAAAATGGGTGTCTGGTAGTCCTGGGAATGCTTGGCCTGCATGTGCTTCTGCAGCTCATACTTGCGCTTGCAGGCAAAGCCGCACACCTCACAGATCAGGGACTTGCCCTGGTGGCGCAGCTTGTGGCTACTCAGTTGGTCAGCCCGATGGCAGCGGTAGGGACACTGGTTGCACTGGTACCTGGCACAAGGACGAAAATGGGTCAGAACAAGGCTGGAGAAGAGCATCAGCACAGGACTGCTTTCCACACCTCTTTGGGCAAACAGAGCATCTCTTTGTAATCACCACCACCCAATAGCCCTGAAAAGTCCATTATCAAATCTCATTTTGCAAAGTGGGGGAAAGAAGGTTGAACGAAAACACTTATGCAAGACTGCCAACAGAAGACACAGCTGAGGTGGACCTGAATCGGGGTCTCTCCAGGTCTATACCTTGTAGCTTCCACATCAGTTTGTAGGCTCTAGCAGAGCCCAGTTCTATACCCAGGGATGGGCATCCATGTCTAAGCTGGAAAGTGAGGGCTTAGAGAGACAGTCTTTTTTGCTGCTGAATAATAGGACTGGCCTCTCCATTAGCTCTACTCTTGCACTGTTGCAAAACAGGAAGACTATTCACTCATCTTTAAAAAAACAAACACACACTTGATTTGCATTCCAGTACAGCAGATGGGAAGTGCACAATTTTAAAGAAAACAGATCTTAAAGAAAAATGAAGGATTTTGAAGTGATAGGGAATTGATACAGGAAAATATAGCCTGGCACTGTTTCTAGAGTGCCACATTAATATCTTCACCAAACCAAAAGGAGTGGTTGGGAGAGGGAGTCAGAGGGACAGCAACTTAGACCATTTCCATGTTCCCGGAAATCTGGCACCAGATGAGACCTAAAACTAGATCAACAAAATCTGAACAACATATTGCTCCCTTCACCATTTTTGGCATTCTTTCACTTTTAACTTTTAACTCCTAGTGATTCAGTCCACCAAATGGCAAATGCATCTTTCTAAATTGGGTCCTTCATCAGTCCTGGACCTCTGGGAGATAATCCATGTTGCCCCAGTACTTAAAATTTGCTTAGGTTATTCCTTACTAATCCTGCTTTCATCTAGTCTGAACAGATGCCTCAGCTATTAGCTTCTGATACTAATTCACACAGATTGCCTATTTCAGCTGCCACATGGCAAACCAAAATAGATCACAGGGTTAATATCATTCACAGGGCTAGGTTCTCATCTTGCAGTACTCAAGAGTTAATGAGCTGCAGTGATTGTGGTAGATCTGGTTATACAGACTGACATGGAAATCTGTGCCTTGGTAACTTATGAAACCTGGGTTGAACCATAATATTACCATATGCTTAATATCATTAAGTACCACAGATGTGTCAACTGATCAATGCCCATCCCCAAATAATTATGCATTAATTATTACATTTATATACTGCCTTTCTTTTCCTCCAGCAAGGAGGGAGTTTAAGGTACTTTTTTTTTTTAAAGGAGCTTTCTCCTGCTTTTCATTTTGCCCGGCTAACATTATCCAATTTACCCCTGTGAGGCAAGTTAAGCTGAGAGTCAGTGCCTGGCCCAAAGTCACCCAGTGAGCTCAATGGCCAAGTGGGGACTAGAACCCAGGTTTCTCAAGTCCAAGTCCAGCACTCTTACCATTATACTATACTCTTAGCATTTGAAGGCTTTGGGTCAGTCAAGTCTATCCAGATGCCAGCAGCTTTACACAATCATGTTTATGAATCAATAAATGCAGTTCATCATCCATTCATGAAATGCAGGTGTGGGTTACACTTAGTTGCCCCCATGGGCTACATTTCTGCTGCCACAGCAGCAATAAACACAGCAGGACAAATATTGGATTGTTGTCAAGTCAAATGTGTCCCTTTTAAGCTTCGGTTGAGGTTTGCTGGCAAAGTACCACTTATTTATTGATTTATTTATTTTGCTGCCGCACCACCAAATTTTGTCAGTGCAGGATCCACACGAGAAGTCAGGAGGCTGTGTGCAAGTCACATGTTTATCCAGCCTTCATGTAATATATCAACTTAACTAGTTCTTTTGCCCAGCCCTTGAAACTGCCATTAGATGGGACACCTAGTGTGCATCAGCAGCCATGGCCATTTCCACGGACCAGACAACCCCAGCTTGGATGGAACAACCAGGTTGTCCCACTCTGTTCCAGCACAATTCAGGTGAGGAAATCAACTAGGAAGGACGATGGTGGTCTCTCTGTACCTGAGATCTCCTGTGTGCTTCCGCATATGAACGTTCAGGTAATGCTTCCACTTTGTCACATAGCCACACTCCGTGCACATGTAGTTCTTATCGTCAGAGTGGGTCAGCATATGTTTAGAAAGGTAGCTCACATCTCGGCATGTGAAGTCGCACAGCTGGCATTTGTGAGGCTTCTCTCCTAAAGTCACAGAGCAAGCCAGAAGCTGTGGATCGGCGGCCCCAACCATCACTCCCCGAGGTCAGCAGATGACATTTAAAATGAGGCCCTACTCGGTCCCACCCCCAAACAAAACAAGTGGCAACGTTTCCACACACAGCATCCTGCTGTACTGCACAATGCTCCGCCACGAAGTATGGATGACAGCCGGGCTTCCACCATTATGCTCGCCTGCCCTCTCTCAAGTGTGGCAGACGCTCAGCCAGTCTTCCTCCCAGCTCTGAAGCACAGGGACGGTGAGCAATGCCCCCTGCGCTCCTGCAGAGGAGCCTTGCCTTCTTGTTTTAAAGCTGGAAGGGAGGCTGGACATTGTTTGTTCATGACACGGCCAAGGCATCAGGGTGCCTTCACCAGGCAGGGCTTACCTGGAACGTCCCGCCCCTCCTGCTTTGGCCCAAGCCAGCATGCTCCCTCCTCCCTGAGCAGCACTGCCAGAGGCAGGGGCAGTCATTTCTGCATCATTGCCCAAAGGGTGTTTGGGGCACCTGCGTTAGACCCCTGAGGAGATGGGCCTGGGCAGCAAGCCTGTCTGCAAGCTAAAGGATGCCAACCTTTATAAGTGAAATTCTGCTGTCAGCATACGCTTTGAAAATCTGACCCATTCGGCTATGTTTTAGGGAGGTTCCTCCACTCTTTTCCTGTGCAAAATCTAAATGGAAGAGGCTAGCGCCAGTATCAAAAAATGCTCATACCACCTTGTTGGGTGGGGGCAGAACAGACATCCTGGCCTCTGGGCATCCAAACTACCTCTAGTTTTTACTTTTCCCTCTCAGCAAAGCCCCGAATAGCTCTGAATGAATGAGAAAAGTCCCATTTCCACCCCCTCCTCTAAAAGTATGCAAAGAAGAATACAAAGCTGTATACAAATGAAATGGCTGACTGATCAACCCTGTAATGGGAAAGGGCTGAAGGATCTCTCCAAGCTCCACCCCATTCACAGGGTATAAAAAAGAAGGAAATGGACTGGACTGGACTGGCAGCTTCAGTTGTCTGCTCAAAACTACAGATTTACCTTTCAGAATAATGGGAGAAAATAAATCCAAGGCACAAGATACACTTGCAAGCGTTTCTCTAGAGATCACCAGGAGGAGGCAAACACTGACCTGTGTGGAGCAGCATGTGGCGGATAAGGACTCTTTTGTGCGCAGTGGCAAAGTTGCATTCAGTGCACTTGTGAATCTTCTCACTGGCGTGCATCTTGCCAACATGGTCATGAAATTCTACTGAGTTGAACGTGGTGAACGGGCAGAAGCTGCACTGAAGCTGTTCACTTCCTGGGTGGCCTTGCTTCTTATGCTTACGGAAGATGTGCTTGTTGGAGCAGACAAAGTCACACTGCTGGCAGTGGAAGGCATAGTGCGTTTTGCGATGTGCCTCCATCACCTCAGTGCTAGGGAAGAGCAGGGAGCAGGCATAGTATTTGCACTCTACGGCTTTAATGCCATGTGCCTCTCTGACATGCCGCAGGAACTCCTTGCGGTCCTCAGTGCAGAAGCCACAGCCCTCCTGGAAACAGCTCAGCTGCTTGGGCTCCTCTTTGTGACTCTTCAGATGATCCTTGAGGGCATGACTGAGCTTAAACTTCTCCTTGCACACAGGACAGGAGTAAATATCTGAATAGAAGTTGGAGATGTCCTCATGCATGCTGGCCATGTGCCTGTTGAGCGCGTTCTTTTCAACAGAACTGTAGTGGCAGAGCGGACAGCGATGGGTCTTCTCCCCAGTTTCGCGCATCATGTGGATCTTCAGCTTGCTCTTGCTGGTGAAGAATTTCTGACAGTTTGGGCACTGCAGCCTGGGGTCTGGGAAGTGTAGGTGAAGGTGTTCCACCAGGTGAGTCCGCTTCTTGAAGCAACGCTTGCACTCTGGACACATGTGGGTCTTGAACAGGTATTTGGAGTCCTCAGCCACATCTACAATGAGAAAAAGAAACCTGCAGTTCAGTGTGGAGGAATGAACACAGGAGAGCCTTGGAAATGCTTCACGAATCTGCCTGTCTCCCATCTCCAGGAACAAAGAAAGGAGAGCAGAGGAAGGCATCACTAGCTAGATTCTGAGCAGCGGCAGGAGCTATTGTGTGAACTCGTGTCTAAGGCAGACTGGTTCAGGCATCTTTCCTTCAGCTTCAGGGCACTCTGCCAAATGCCCAGATGCTCTGGCTACATGGCATAGCTTCCTTCAAAGAAAAGTCAGAAACTGTACACTCCCCAGTGAATTCAAATCTTTACCTTTGAGTGCCTGGGCCTTTGTTGGTTTGGCAGAGACTTCCTTGCCATTGCTCTCCTCCTCTTCCTCCTCCTCTTCCTCCTCCAATAATTCATCCTCTTCATTGGCAGGGTTGTCATCTTTGACCAATGTGCCTGGGTCTTCTGTAAGCACAGCGCTGCTACCAGTGTGTATTTCCAGGCCAGGCCCTATTTCTGTCACCTTCCAGCCACTCTGAACTTTGTGAGAGCTCTCTGCTTTGCTCAGCACTTCCGTCCCTCCTTGGAACAAAAATGAAACATACACTAGAGTCTTGGCTTGTTCTGAGCCAGTGCTAACATGCAAATAACTCTGTTTTGTGACTAAGGGTGTTTCCAGGCAAGGCTTTTATCATGCAGCCAACAAGCCTTATTTACAGGGAATGCAGATGATGATGATTTCCATTTGTAACACTCCCATGTTTCCCCACTGCTTCTTCCATCTTTCTCTTTTACCACAGAAAATCTGTTGCAAAGGAAAAGATAGAATAGTTCCACAATGTTTTTATTTATTTATTTTTCAATTTATATCCTGCCTTTTTCCTACAAAGGGCTCAAGGCAGCTTACATCTGCTTCTCCATCTTATCCCCACAACAACAACCCTGTGAGGTAGGTTGGGCTGAGAGTCTGGGACTGGCCCAAAGTCACCCAGTTGGCTCCATGGCTGAGTGGGGACTAGAACCCAGATCGTCTGAGTCCCAGTCCCATGCTCTTAACCACTACACCAGGAGTGATCTGACTCAAAGCATCCCATGAGTGACTCCTCAGTCAGTCACAGAACTAACACCAAAAGGGGGGTTAAAATGGAACAAAGTGGACATTAGACCCCTGTTTTTCTACGGGAGGAAAGGTACAGAAATCCACTGGGGGGGGGGGGGATGAAACTGCCTCCCACCAGGCTTTCTGTGGGTCAGAAGCCACCATTTTCTCCCACCCATTTCGCCTCTCTTCATGCTGGGAGAGTTCTGTGGAAAGACTTCTCCCAACATCAACTGAGTTCCTAGCTTTGCACAATGTGTGCCATTCTAATGGACATGCACTGCCCCCATAGAGGTGGCAACTGGTGCATAGAAAGATGTGACAGGCACTGGTTAAAACTGACAATCCTCACCACACTGCCCACATCCCTGCAGTTATCTGTGAACTCCAAAAATGAGAATTCCTTTGGAGCAGGCCGAGCTGCACCCAATGCAGAAACCCAAGGAGGCTGCATGGGCTGGGTGCACAACCTGCACAGGCAGGATTTGGCCAGCAGGAAAGAGGTTCCACAGGGGTTGCTGGGATACAGCTGTGCTGTTCCATACAGCACTGCTCTGGCCTTGCTCACAATTGCCCCAGCTGGTTCAGATCACATTCCCCAGCACTGGCTTCCATTCATAACGTCCTGCCACTTTTCTGAGTTACATTTTTGCCTTCGTGCCACAAGAGGCTACATTCTGTCAAGCCTACTGGCCAATACAGCATTGTCTTAAACGCAGCTGACAGAAAACACGTATTTTAAAATATTTCTGGGCTCCCTTTAAAGGAACAAGAAAGTGACCTCCATATTAACCCCCCCCCCCCAATAAATCCAAGAATTCCAGGATCCAAAACTATGGGACATTAGGTGACTTGTGCCACTTCACAGCATTCTTTACCACTCAGCACAATCTCTCTCTCAGCCCTAAAGCATCATGTCTTGAGTACCTGTTTTCAGAAGGGGGTGCTCAGTGCTTCCAGCAACTGCTCCTGCCTGCAGTGCTGCCTGCTGCTGCGCAGCCTCCTGCGCATGGCTGCGCCTGTGCTGCCCAAACTGCTTGGTGTTGGCACTGACGAAGTCGCAATGGCCACAGTGGAAGGGAAAGTGGCTCCTGTGGTGAAGCTCCATGTCCTCTCGGCTTCGGAACAAGACTGGGCAGCCACGATAGGTACAGCCTACCGGAGACACCTGGTGGACACGACGCAAATGGCCCCGGAGCTGCTTGCAATCCCCTGAGCTGAAATGACAGCCCTCCTCAGGGCAGACCTGGGCGCCCTGGGGTCTGTGGTGGTCCTTAAAGTGCTCCTTCAGCTCAGTGGGCAGTGCGAACTCTACCTGGCAAATGGGGCACAGGAGCAGCTCAGTGCCCAATTCGGGGACCTGCCTGCTTCCATCCGGCAAGTTCTGCACTGGTGCCTCCTGGACAATTGGTTGCTCTCCTGAGACAGCCAAGTCCTGGCTAGTAAGGCCGAGTGATAACTCTTGGAGCTGAGGGAGGCTTGCAAGCTGTCCTCTGGAAAGTTCCACACAATGATGCTCAGAAAGCAGGCTGGAGTCAGAGAAGCTCTGCCCACATCGTTCACAGAAATACAGTTCCACAACTTTGACCAAGACCTCTGCAAGCAAGAATGAGAGCATTTTGTTTCTCTTAAATCTACTTATTAATCCAAAACATCCACCACACACAAGTGCCTCATTTCTCCAGATCACAGGTTCAAATCTAGTGCATGGTATAAATTACTAGAGAGAAATTACAGACAGCAACATCTCAATGCAGCAGTGACCACAGACAGTCCCCAATAAGAACTGTACCAGTAAATGATACTTGAGGCCTTATCATCTCCATAATGAGTTGGAGAAACAAATTCCCTGTGCAACAGATGATCCAACTCACCCAGAGATGGTCACAGAAATACTGGAAGGAAAGCAGTGGCAGGACCTGCAGTTAATTGTTAAAAGTGCCCTTTGCTATGTAGTCCCACTGTACACTATTGTTCTATATTTCACTTCTCAAATTCCTTCACCTGCCCATTGCCATCGATCACCACCATCTAGCCCCATGTCTGAAACTTCTTTGCCCCCTTCTCATATGCCACCACCAAAACAACCTCTCAAGGCCACTCCATTCTCAACCTACCATCTTTGGCTGCGATCTGCAAATTCTAGGCGCTGCGTCAGCTCCAGTGCACTAGATCACACTGAGTATTGGCTACTGCTGAATCAGATCCTTTGCGCCAATTGCTTTGCAGCCCTAGAGGAAACTTCATGATTTGTGTGGGTCTGGTAGAGGCAATGGGGTCCAAATTATCACGACCCAAAGAACCTCTGACTCTCACTGTGGCAAAGAGTTGCTCCTGCAGACAGTCACAGGAAGATGCAACAAGCAGATCCACACGGAGCTTTATGTCTATTCAAAGCTATACTATTTCTGATTGGGTACAATGAAAGAAAAACCAAATCAGATGCACACACTTGGCCAGTTTCCTGCTGCAGCCACCTAAATACCTTCAGCAGGCTTTGCCACAGGCGTAGCTCTTGGCCTCTTGCTGGACAACTGAAAGCAATGGGGCCACTGCACAGTCAGCATGCGGTTTCCATGCCCGCCTCTCAAAAAGCTGAAACTGGCCAAGATTCCTGTTCCCAACTAACTGATGAAAAGGTCTCAGGTGCAGAAACTCCAGGCTGCTCTTTGGGAAATTCCTCTGTGTCCTGCCCAAAAACCCCAAGGCTGCCCTTTACTGCTCCTGATTTAGAATATGATTGCTACAGGACACAATCCACTCACATTTTACAAGAGTGAATAGCTCTATGGGTAGTCTTTTGTGCCAGAGTGCGATGACATGTCAGAACACAACCTACCTGCAGTGTTGCCAGGATTGCCAAGGGACATGCTGCTAGCCATGGTTCCTACAAATATTTCAACGCCGGCTGTTTCTGTTCCTACCACAGATGCCTCTGTTAAGAGCAAGCTCTGCCCCACTGCTAGGTTATTGCTGGGGACGCTGTGGTTGTCCTCATGCCCCGCAACTGCTGCACTCGGCAGCAACAGCTCCTGGCAAAGAGCATTCATCTTGTCTTCTCCTGCAGGCTCTGTTGCTACTGCTCCTCTGCTCATTGCCTCTTGCGCCTCAGCATGGCTTTACACCATGACACAAAGCAGGTACAGCTCCTGTTAAAAGAATGCATCAAGAAAAATGTACCGTTGTCTTCTGAAAGAAAGCAAGCAACGATTAAACCTATTATTCTTCAGAAGGAATGAGTGTGGTGAAATGGAAATAGCCTGATATTCACTGTTCAGTTTTAATAAGCAGCAGGAACCACAGCTCCACTGATTGTGAGGTGTGCTCAGCAAAAAGTACAACAAGAGAATGTCCAGTACCGGATGGAAACTTCAAAACCTTCACTATTTTATTCTCTGTAAGCACAGAAGAAAGAGGAATGCTTTGTGATCATAACACTGGTGTTTTTTTTAATAATTAAGGCATAATTTATAGGTTGTGCCATGGATGATCATAAGCCCCCAAATTCCGAGGCTTAAAAGTATCTTACACAGGGCAGAAGAAGCAATAGAGGCAACCAGAGGAAAGGGCCTCCTACCCTTGGTGGACATTTTTCCTGTCTAGCTGAGGCACATCAGAGGGAAGAAAGGGACCCAGAATGGCCTCAGGCTAGTCTCTTTCCTGGCCTCTCTAGTCTCTTTCTTTCCCTACCTACCAAAATGCCCCCTTCTCTAAGATTGAGTTGCTGAACTCAGAGTAGCCAGTGCCATTCTTTCCATGCCAACTGAGAGGGAGATGTGTTAAAGCAGAATAAATAGGCTCTTTGGAAGGGTTAGAGTGGAAAAAGCACGGAATAACAAGAATGTAAGATTTTACAGAAGAGGTTTTGATCACATTTACCAAGCTGGTGAAAAACTGAAAGGATCAAAACCTCCCCCTTAAAAATAGGTTCAAATTAGGAATGGAATATACTGGCATATTGATAGAGACTCTTGATGGATACAGACAGCCATACACAACACATAATGTGAAGTATGGTAACATTTACTTAATTGCATTGCAGGATGATACAGGAAAATGAGCTAACCTAAGCTGAGAAAGCTCACCTCAGAATAGCCTGGACATCAGTTTGGGTTAAATGTTAAAGAAAGATCTACACATGATGACATGTTATCTAGTAAAAGTACAGGCTTACTATATAGAATATTCTCAGCAATATTGGAATAGCCAACTGACTGTTAGATACATTAACGGTTGGATTACAAATAGGAATAATTAAACCCCAATAAGACCCAGAAAGTACATTTGGATAAAAAAACCATGAAGTTATTCTCTTGAATAACATCAGAAAAGAAAAATGAATGCAAGTTGGCACTTAAGTTATAGGAGCTCAAAGGAGATGCATGGGTTAAAATATGCAGTTCCTGGAGAATGAGAGTTGAAGACATTGTGTTAGGCTGAGTTTATCAGATTCCAGTTTGTTATTATTATTCATTAGTATTAGTAGTTTGTTAGATCAATTCTTACTGGGTTTTAATAAACTATCATTACATTCTTTGGTGCTTTCTTGGGATATTCACATACCATTGCTAGACACATTTATACAGAAATTCTACTTAATTCAGTGTGCCTTATCCACAGGTTAAGTGTGCATAAGATCACTTTGGGTACAATCCAATCAAGAAGCCCATAAGCCCAAATTTGGAGGTTTATAGGCATCTAATGCAGAGCAGGACAAGCAGCAGAAACAATTCTCACCTCCACACTCCTCACCATCTCCATTTTTGCTAGACAGACAATTTTGGCCTTCTAACTAGAAAGCTTCACGGGAGGAACAAAGGAGGCAGTCAGGATGCCTTGTACCTTAGCTGCTCCAGTCTCCTGCCACCTCCACCTCACAAGCCTATCCATTTAAGGTTTTTCAATCTGAGAGAGAAGCAAGTATGATTTGAATGATCCTGTGCCCTCCCCAATAATATCTATAGGCCACGGGGTCATTCCTTTAAAAGGTTTTACCAATCACTGGCTTATTTGACTGGCTACAAATAACAGTCTATTAATCTTCTATCAACTCAGAAGCATTTCTATTGCTGCAGAAGGCTTCTGCGCCTAAGAGCTAACTGGCAGAGTTCTGATGTAGCAACATAACACATGCTGACACCATACACCATGCAGGCTTCTCTCTGCACTTGAGATTACACAGAGCATCTCAAACTTGCCCAACCCCCACTGTGGTAGAGAGCACACTGATACCCTCTTCTAATTCCTCCTATATATATGCATCACAATCCTACTGAAACCTAGTCCTTGCATTAGCTGAGCTCACACTTTCCAGAATTGCTAATGGTATCTTATACAGTGGAACTTTTATTCCACTATATTCATTCTAGATAAGCCTGGCTCACAGAATATCAGTCATATTGAAAGTAAAACACTGAAGTGCATACACTTCATAGATCTGAATTAGCTGCTCATAAGAACACCTGCCCAGCTGCCTACAGACACACAGTAAAGCCCAACAGATCTTATCTAATAATTAATTTGCATCCAGATCAAATTAATATAAGTAACTACAGGCAAGGCATGCAACTATTGCATTAATGATGATGCATTATTATGTCCACTATTACTATAATAAGGAAAGGATCAGCCCATTTACAGTTAGGGTGTTTCCAGCAGAGGCTTTTATCACTGTATTGCCCTGAATATTTATGAGGTTCAGAAGTAATTGGAAAAGATTGGAAAAGATTCAGAGGAGGGTGACAAAGATGATCAATGGCCTGGAAACAAAGCATTGTTAGAACAGACTGAAAGAATTGGGCATTTTTAGTCTTCAGATGAGAAGAATGAAAGGAGATATGATAACATTCTTCAAGTACTTGAACATTGTCACACAAAGGAGGGCCAGGATAAGCCCAGTGTGCACAACACAAAATAACTGGCTTAGGTTACAGGAAGGTGGATTCTGACTGGACATCAGGAAAAAATTCCTATTAGAGCAATAGGACAATTGAACCAATTACCTAGGGAGGCCATGGGTTCTCCCACACTGGAGGCATTCAAGATACAGCTGGACAACTATATATCTGTTAGGGATGCTTTACTTGGAGTTTACCAGGGGTTGGACCTAATGCTCTTATTGGCCCCTTCCAACTCTACTACTCTATGATAAGTCACAGTTTTTCACATACAGCTTTCCTGTATTTTCCCAGACCTGCTTTTAGAAACATAGAAACAGAGCGAGTCAGAAGGGGCCTCTCGGGCCATCTAGTCTGACCTCCGGAACCAGCCGGCTCCGCTTTTGTCTTACAACAGAAAACCTGTTAAGAAGAAAAAGATGTAAATGCTGCACAATACCTTCAGATTCATAGCATTAGGAGCCCTCCATGTGGAACCACCCTTACAGTTTCTGCCAAGAGAATATTTCATTGTATATTCACCCCTTCTTAAAATTTCCCTTCCTGGACATAGGTTTCCACCATAGAGCCTCTCCTGCATGCTTTTAAATAACAGCTGGCATGTAATCCAAAATAGTTGAGGCTAGCTCTCTGCAGAATCCAGCCACCTAACAAGGTGGCAAGGTGGTTTTAAAAGGTCCAAGTTGAACTTACATTCCAAGCTTCCTCTTCTTTTCCTGGTGGGCTTCTTCTATGCTTTGAGGACCAGGCATGAGCCATCATCATTGGCTTCTGAAGTACAAAAGAAGAGAAAGAGACCCACCAAATTAAAACGGAGCACAAAGCCTGTCAGGAACCAACTCCCACGATGCCGGCCGGGCTCAGTGTGGCCCTGGAGCACTTCCTCGTGCAGCCATGGCCCAGATCCCTCCCCTCAAAGCGCGCACATACAAGACCCTTAAATCCATAAGAGGCCCCGAGTCTCTGAAGCAGCACAGCTCTCCTACCCTCTGCCTCTGTAGCCTTCCTCCTGGAAGCCCCAAGTCTTCCCAAGCCTCTTACCTTTTCCTCTCCAGCTACCAATATCTAAGGAAGAGGCCCACTGCCCATCCCCAAACAAAGGTCTTGCTTCCGCGCGTCTCCATCCTACCTTACATCTTCTCACGCTCTGCACATCCTCTCGATGATTCCCTTTCGGCCCAGACTGCCAAGGAACATCTCTCACTTTCTCGGCCGTTCTCTCCCTTCCTCTTTGTGCTGCTCAGTCCACTCTCTCCCCCAAGCAACTCTATGATAGATGCAGGCCGACGGCTTCGGCCGTCTGGGACGATAGAGGAAAGTTTCTAGAGCGCCTTCCCCTTATTTCCACCAGAAACTTTAAAGTAGAGCGTGGCTGAAGGACTGATCTCACAAGCCTGGAGAACCCAACGTTAAAAGTTGGGGGGCGGGCGGGAAAAAGGTTGTGTTGGTGTTACAGCCGAGAAGGGCTCTAGAGACACTTCCGACTCCTTCAGTTGCCATAGAGCGCAGGAAGTAGAGTTAAGAGGTCACGCTCACGTAATGAGCATAGGAAAATTCAGCCTCAGTGTCTGAGGGTAGGAATGATAATAGAGATACGAAAAATAGAACCGCGTGGATCACAGTATTTCTCTCTTCCGACTTAAAAGTTGAGATTGTTTTCTACGGTAATTCCAGCAACCTAGCCATATAGGGTTGTTATTATATTAGAATCCCGGAGGGACATGAGAGTGATGCCTCCCTGCTCCTATGCTGACGATTGGAAGCTTTCATTCCAGTTCAGGTCTAAGTTATGGGTAAGGGCAGATTTCCTATCTCTAGGGGAATGATAGAGTTGTAGAAACATGTTCCGGTCTGGTTCACAAGCATAGAGTGAAATAAAGTTAGAGCGCGGCTTCTTGGAGGTGAGGGTGAGATGTAAAGCTCGTAGAGCACGGAGCTTAGCAAAATTATTTGTCTGTGTCGATCTATTAGAAGGGAAGGGTATGCTGGCGATGATACGCTGTGAGACGTGTCTCCTAACTTCGCGTTTTCCAGATAGGTTAGCTGCCCGGTGGTAGTTAGGCGTCTTGGCTGGGAATGATAAGAATGGTAGTCTAACATATTTGAAGAATGGTAAGTTGTGGGAGAGTAGTGTTGGACGGGGGGCAACATTTGGTCCTCCCAAAATTGTTGGACTACAGCTCCCATCATTTTTCGCAATTGGCTGGGCTAGCTGGAGCTGATGGGAGGTGCCGCCCAACTATACCTGGAGATCCATGTTTTCCTTACTGAAGGAGGAAAGGAAGGCAAGACCAGATCGGCTTCCTTTTGGATTGGGAAACTAAGGTGGTTTCTTCCTTCCCCCATTAGTTTTAGGCGGGGAAAAAAACTTTAGAGATCTGTAAAAACCTAGTTGCTGACAAGTAATCCATATTTAGCATGTGTATGATTCTCTTCCTGCTGCCCCTCCCCTACTTCCAAATGCATTGAAGATATTTGGAGATCATCTTTCAGAAATATTGGACATTAATATCATGCTAATATATTTGATGGATGGCCAGTCTTAGAAGTTCCATAGTTATAGGATTTGCATGTATGTATACTTTGTAGCATGATAGTGTAGTAATTTTACAATGTGAAAGAAAAATCTGACCTCTCTCTCTCTTTAAAGTAGTAGATGGATAGAAGGTGAGAGCAACAGCTTATGAATATTCTATCAAATGTAAGTTCCAGTTTGTTCATTGGAGCTTGCTTGTAAATAATTTGCCATATATTTGTATATCAGGATTTTTGTTGTTGCTTATTTAAAGATATGGCAAGTCTTATATCTAACTCAAATTTGAAAGAATTCTTACAGCTGATAATATGAATTTACTGGATATTATAGGGAAGTGGCATAGTCTTAGTAGTAGCTGTTGTAATTAGATTTTGTCCACTGTATTCAAAGCAGTTTGGAGCATCTCTTATTTTCTTCATGCAAGCAAGCTAAAAGAGTCTCAGTCCTTCACATTATTACAGAAATGGAAAACCACCTAATGTGTAAGACTATATCTTGTATCTATATCAATAATTACTTGTGCTTTAGCTTTCTAGTGGGAAGGGCTATGCATTTATCCTATTTTGCTTAAATCAGTGAGTGGAGGAGTCACTAATGGGAAGTGGATTAATATATCACCTCTAGATGAAATTAAGCAGTCATGCAACTAAGACATTTGCTGAGTTTATTAGAGAGTGTTCATAGTTTGTTTGCTTTTTCTTTTGCTGCTCAGGGTTTGGTATGGTATTCAACACAAAAGCCGCTGGGAACAGTTGTTTAATGCTGGAGTTCTTGCCTTACACCACTCACAAACATGCCCTTTTCGGACTTTCTATTGACCCTCAAAGACAATCCATACTTTGGGGCAGGCTTTGGCTTAGTAGGTGTAGGTACAGCACTGGCTCTGGCCCGTAAGGGGGCCCAGGTTGGCATGGTAGCTTTCAGGCGGCATTGCATGATCACTTTGGAAGTGCCAAGCAAGGACAAGAGCTACCACTGGCTGCTGAGCTGGATTTCTCATCATGCAAAGCACACCCAGCACCTGAGTGTGGAGACGTCATACCTGCAGCATGAGAGTGGCCGTGTCAGCACCAAGTTTGACTTTATCCCCAGCCCTGGGAACCACTTCATTTGGTAAGAGAGGCCATGTGATGTCTTTAGAAGGCTATTGTGGTGCAGGAAGGAATAAGATATGCAGGGCACTTCTTATATTAGCTCACAAATGCTTCTGCTGGTCCAGTGAGGAAGATCAGCAGAATAAAAGGAATGGCTACTTATGTGTCACTGTGAAATGTTTTATTTTGTACAATGTACAATTTCTACATTGATAAATATGCAAAGATCAAGTATGAGCTCAATAATAAATCATATATGTAAGAAAAATCACAAATATGCTTATGAACATGGACCCAGAATAAGTTGCCTATTATACAAAAAGATATTGGTTATGCTGGCTGGGAATGAGGGGAGTCATATGTAGCCAGACATATCTGGAAGGCACTGGGGTGGGAAAAGCTGCCTTAACTAAATAAGCAAATTCTGTGCAGGGTCAGTTTAGATGGCCTTTGTCTATCCCCTAATCCTTATAATAATGTGGATTGGATTTCTGAACAGAAGGAAGTTCACACAACTAATTTTCCCTTTCCTCTCTTCCTGTAAAACTCCTTTTATCTCCTAACAAATCTGTTCATACAGTTGGATGGATATATGGGACTGTATGGGCTGTGGTGGTAAATATGAAAGAGGCTTGCTTCCATTACGACATGTGACTTGATTGTGCTCTACTGGCCACCACGAAGCCTGATTAAGTACTTGCCCCAGCCTTTGTGGACTCATGTCCATCCACTAGCATAGAGGAGGTTTTTTCAAGAAGTGTAACCTTGTCAAATAGCTTAATAAGATCCAGGTGGCTGGTATGTTGCTGAAAGAGTTCTAGTAGGTTGAGTGCTGTTTATTATTTTCTTGTGCTTTTACTTTTTGCTTTTCCTTTATTGGTTTTTATGATGGGTTTAATTACATTTTTAAGCTTGGTTTTATTACTTTCATTGCCTTGAGTGCCTTTTTTTGCTGGAAAAGTGGAATAAAAAATAAATAAAGTTGCATCTGAGGTTGTGCAAATGTCTTTCCTCCTCTAGTTTATGTTCAGGTGCTCCTTGTTTTGCTTCTCAGGTATCAAAGAAAGTGGATCCGCATAGAACGGAACCGGGAGAAACAAATGATTGACCTGCACACAGGGACCCCCTGGGAATCTGTCACCTTCACAGCCTTTGGCAACAAACGAGAAATTTTCTTCAACATCTTGCAGGAAGGTACAATAGCACCCCCTGGCTGTAAATCTTCTTAGAGTACAATCAGAAACCCAGGAGCTTTGGGTACCTGTGTCCAAGCGGTCACACTCTATTCTGTACCATTTCTCCTTTCTTTGTTGTTTCCTAATGAAGATTTTTTCCCCTTCTCCTCGTCTTCCTATTGCCTATCTGTGACTCATTATTGCAGGGCAAATTGTTTTTCACATCTTTGCGCTTTTCTCTCCAGCCAAAGAATTGGCTTTGAGGCAGCAAGAAGGAAAGACAGTCATGTACACAGCCATGGGCGCTGAATGGCGACCATTTGGTTTCCCACGACGCCAGCGCCCACTTACCTCCGTGGTGCTTGAGAAAGGAGTGTCCGAGAGGATTGTGCAGGATGTGAAAGAGTTCATCGGTAACCCCAAGTGGTATATTGAGCGAGGTATGTGCATTTTTTCGGGAGGTGATAGTCAGATGCCCTTCCAGCTCAAGGTTTCTGAATTGGGCCCACTTCTCCCAAAATACAGCATTCCGAAGTAAAAATTTCAGACTCTGAATCTGAATTAGAAAAAGAGCTGGGCCCAAGTGGGTGACTTTGGGCCAGTCACAGACACTCAGCCCAACCTACCCCACAGGGTTGTTGTTGTGGGGATAAGATGGAGGAGGAGAATAATGTAAGCTGCCTTGAGCCCTTTGTAGGAAAAAGGCAGGATATAAATCAAATAAATAAATAAATAAATAAGATTTAGCTGAAATGCCTAGGTACGTGAGCTGCAAGATAAGCCAGACAACTGGGGAGCACTGGGCTGCCTCTGATTTGTGAGGAGAGAATACTGTAGAGCAGGAAGGGTCAGAGGGGGAAGGGTGTGAATCTATCATTAACTTGATAGATTATTTTTATTAATTTTATATTATTCACCCTTTACTACAAAGCCAGTCCAGATGTTCCATCCGAAATCAACAAAGGACTGTAGATAGAATCCTTTTGCCTTATTAAAGGTGAAGGGAAAGGGGGACAGACCTGCTCACAGAACCAGCCTTCCTTTCTGGACTAAATCAGGGCATATGGTGGTAGCAAGCCTGTAGCCAGCTGATCCCATTCTTCCTCACAAAAGCATTGCTCTTTGCATTCCCTAATGCTGTAGTGTCTCATCTGAGGGCTTCCCTGCATCTTGTCAGTGCCCGGTTCCTCACCTGTGCTCCTGTAATCCCATCCATGCTTTGTTCTTATCTGTACTCTGGTCAAATCTCCTTGCTGTCAGTATGTAACCCCTCAAGTCCCAGTCACTGGGAATTATTCCATAATTAACCTCCCATAGTTTCTCATCGCAGAGGCTGTTCCAGTTAGCCTCTACACAGCTAATTACTGGTACACATCAGCATCCATCAAATGTGGCATTTATTTACTACTATATTGTACAGTATCTCTTTGCCAGGCTGATTAAAAACTGCATTCTTGTTCATCCAGGATGTCCCTAAACCTTAAAACCCATAGAAGAAGATGCCTAGGAAGAGGCTGCTATCCCATAACACTCTATTGTCTCGTCTGTTTCTGTCATAATACAGTGGTACCTTGGCTCACGAACTTAATCTGTTCCAGGACTCTGGTCGTGACCCAAATTGGTCATGAGCCAAGTTAAATTTCCCCATAAGGTTCAATATAAATAAGTTTAATCCATTTTATAACCATTTTTTAAATCAGAAAAATGTGTAGCAGAGTGACAAAGGAAAACAAAGATTGTGGCCATCTCCCCACCACCACCCCGAGCACAAGCGTGGCCATCTCTCCGCCCATCCCAGCACAACCGTGACCGCACCTGTCATCCCTGCACGTGCCCGTCATCCTGGTGTGCTGGGGGGAGGGGGGAGAGAGATGGGCTCAATCGCGGGTGCACTGCAGAGGGGGAGAGACGGCGTGCTGGGGGGAGGGGGAGACGGGCACGATCTCAGCCATCTCCCCCACCCCCAGCATAATCACGATCGTACTGCTTGGGGGGGAGATGACCGAGATCGCACCCATCTTTTCTGCAGGAGCGCGCCCATGATCACGCACGTCTTCCCTGCACGAACACAACTGCGATTGTGGCCATCTCCCCACTCGGGTGGCGGGGGCGGAGATGGCTGCAATCTTGGTCATCTCCCCATGCAGAGTTCACGACCCAAGTCAAAATGTTCATGAAATTTTTGTTTGCGACCCGATTTGGTCGTGAACTGAGGTGCTCGTGATCTGAGGTACCACTGTATCTGGAAAGAGCCATTATCAGAGACTGGGCTCAAGGGATCATTGGTCAGAACTATTGAGGCAGCCTTCTCTAGTCTGATGGCCTCCAGATGTTCTGGGCTATAACTTCCATCAGCCCTAGGCAGCATGGCTGATGGGAATTGTAGTCAAAAACATCTGGAGGGCATCAGGTCAAGGAAGCCCGCATTAAGTCCATTCCGATGCAGCAATGATAGCTCAGATAATGTAGGAAGGTGGGGCAAGCCGAGCATGCTGCCTTCTGATTGTTGCCTCTATCCAAAGGAATTCCCTATCGGAGAGGATACCTGCTGTATGGGCCTCCAGGCTGTGGCAAGAGCAGCTTCATGTGAGTATGCCTTCAACTTTCCCATCAGGAAACCAGCTCCCAACACATCCTCCCAGATCCGAACCTACTTGTGCAAGTGCTCAGGAAGACCCTGTGCCAGTGTATAAGGATGTGGGGGGCAGGAGTCATTTGATTTTAAAAAATCACAAAAGTTTCCACACTTTCTCAGACCACACTGATTTAGAATTTCTTGGATTGTCAGATCAGAGGTTAGAGACAGTACTCCTACCTCAGAGCTGGGAATCAGAAGTCTGCCCTCATTTCTCTGCCCCCTTGCAGCCAGCACAGAAATAACTGTACAAGCTGCTGCCCAAAGTTGGGAAAGTACCCTTGGAGAGGGGTAAAACAGGTGTTTTAGGGAGAGGAGAAAAGAGGCCAGGATGTTAGTTACCCCACAGTTGCTTCAGCCTACTTTGCTCCCCACCTGGGAGGCTCCGGCTAGTCGGGTGGAAAAACTTGTCTAGTGGAAAATGTAGAGCTGAAAGACAGGGAGGCAAAGATGGCCTCTGCTGCTCCCCCCACTCTCCTTTGGATGTCTGTAAGCCTCTGAGTTGCACCTTTAGTCCATTGACTTTTCTTGTTATTGAGGCTCTGAGTGACATTGATCTTGCTATCCCAAGGCCCCTGGCCTAGTCACAGACAAGGGCCAGACTCAGTATGATGGTGGCAGCGCCTCCTGTTTAAATACAGAACTACCCTCTTTGCCCTGTGCATCCAGGGTGTGAGTCCTGTTTTATCATTAAAAGCGGGGTACATGTGAGGGGCACTGAATGCTCCTCATGGTCCATCCGCCCAAGTTCTTTTCACCCAGCTGAAATTCCTTCCTGTATCTGTCCAGCTGAGAAGAAAAGGAAGAAGACACTCCAGGTATAGGTGAGCTGCAGATGAGGAAGGGTTCTGCACACCTCACTCTTGCATTCTTCCTGCTGTTGTCTTCTATCCCATCTCCTTCACTTCTTGCTTGGTCCTTTGTCCTCACCTGCTTTGCAGCCAAGCTGAAATTACAGCGCTCTCTGTTGCTCTCAGCAGTGTTCATGGGTGCACTGTGGGAGCAGAAGCTGAACACAGATGTACTTTGTGGGCCTACCTTTCTGAGCAGCTTGGGTAGTTCCCTGTTATCCGGGATAGGAGAAACGTCCTCTGCCATTAGCCTGTTTCTCTTAACACAAGCTCTCTGCCTCCTTTGCTGAAAATACGGTTCTCTGTCTGACACAGCACAGCTCTGGCTGGAGAATTGCAGTACAGCATCTGCCTCCTGAGCCTGAGTGACCGCAGCCTCTCAGATGATCGCCTCAACCACCTGCTGAGCGTAGCACCTCAACAGAGCATCATCCTGCTGGAAGATGTGGATGCTGCCTTTGTCAGTCGGGATCTTGCTGCTGAAAGTAAGTGACAGGCAAGCAACTCCTTCCCACTCTGCAGTTCCAGGCTTCTCTTTTCTGCCACTCTGATGGGAGCTTGGCCTTAAGGGTTCCTCATGGCCAGCAATCCATGCTGGTCGGTGCTCCAGAGCAACCTTTTTCCTAGCTCGGGTGAGCAACCTGCAGTTTAGCTTCACCTGACCTAATTCCCAAAACACTCTGCAAATGATCACTTCAGATCTTGGCAAAAGTGACCAGTCTCTTCACCAGCCCACAGAAAAGAAGATAAGGTTGTTGGTGAGAAGACTGAAATCCTGGGGGTACTCTTTCTGCTAGCATGTGTTGATGGGGCATAGGTAATATCTTCTGCTTTGCTTTGATTTTCCTGTGTCTGCCCCCTGGCATGATTTTCTGTGACCATAAATGATCCACAGTACTATCATTTTGACAGCATTATGTCTCGTTAGTCTTTTGCAGGCCATTGTACGTCAGGCAGGGAGCACAAAGCAGGTAGTAAAACTTGAGCCAGCTGTAGTTGAGTTGGGTTGGTACCTTTTCTCCCCTGGAAGCCTGTACACTTACCCAAGGTTTGAGCAGTCCTTGGCCATGTCTTTACTTACACTATATCCCTATCTCCAAACTGCCTCTGCCTTACTGTGTTTTCCTTTCAGACCCCAGTGCGTACCAAGGCATGGGACGCTTGACCTTCAGTGGCCTTCTCAATGCACTAGATGGCGTTGCTTCCGCTGAAGCCAGGATTGTGTTTATGACCACCAACTATGTGGACAGGTAGGAACAGTAGTGTACAAAATGTGGTAGGCAGAGGTTGTTAGCTGAAATGTTTTGGAAAAGTCAGTTGTTTTGGAAAAGACCCAACCAATTCCTCTTAGGCTGGAATGGCGTAGCATCCCATCCCCAACACAATCGCAGCAGCAGGAAGACATTGCATCCCACCTCCTGGCTTCAACTTTTCAGGTCTACAGCAACCACCAAGGAACCCCAATATACTCTCACCATCAATCAGAAGCATACACCTCTGACAAGTTTCAGGCTCTGCAAAGGGATGCAGCTCCCCCAGTGGCATGATGCAGAAGGCAGACTGGTCTGCTTGCAGGATTAGTATCAGATCTGTAGGCTTTTGCAAGAGGAGGACCAGTGCAATCATGAAGGCTATCTGGGAGCAACAGGGGGTTTTATAAAAGGCTTCTCAGTCCTGCCCAGTGTTGGCACAGCTGCATAATTCTCTGTGGTGACTGCTTAGAGTTCCCAATTAGGTTTCTGTCTCCAATTCTGTGGTGTCTTGACTCCTTCCTGTTCCTGACGCTGCCTTTGCCTTTGGTCCTGCCATGCCTTGTTGGTATCTAACCCTCATGCACACATACATCTACCACTAGAGATTTGCAGAACCCCAGGAAAGGTTGGGGCTCCTGTCATAGTGGGACTGCGCTCCTTCTAGTTTAGAGAGAATAGCACGGTACAATACTGCCCTGTGAACAGATGAGAACAACATTTCCCAATGGAAGATTTGCTCAGCTGCCTTACTCATCTTCCTCTCATTCCTTGCAGGTTGGATCCAGCCTTGATTCGCCCTGGCCGGGTAGATTTAAAGCAGTATGTGGGACACTGCTCACAGTGGCAGCTTAAACGCATGTTCCAGAGGTTCTACCCAGACAAGGCAGCAGCAGTAGCTGAGCGGTTTGCTGAAGAAGCCCTGTCTGTCTCTGATCAGATCAGTGCTGCACAAGTGCAAGGCCATTTCATGCTACACAAGGAGGATCCAGATGGGGCTATTGAGAATGTGCAGTCGCTTGTGTCTTGACACTGAAACAAGCACTGAGGAAACCTTTACACAGGGCAATACTGAGAGAGGTGGTTGTGTAAGGAAATGGTTGCATGGGCTATTTCCGTGGGGCATGGTAACTGTGAGGATCCTGCTTTCTGCATATCTACCTCAGTGAGGTTGTTTTTTGTAAAAATAAAAAATGAAGAGTAAACCAGAGTGGCAACTCTGATACACTTCTCGAAGAGAACCCCCACCCTGATGTTCAGATTGAGCTGCTTCTCCCCAACAGCCCTTTTTGTGAGAGAGTGCCACTCTCCTTCCTTAACTTGTCTACATCTAGAATCAGTATTTGACTTCCTAACTTACATAAGGAATCCTAAGTAAAAGCAATGCTTTTTTTTCTCCCTCTGACAGGCATCCTGTGTGTATAAAAGCTGTATGAAACAGGAAGGCATTTAACAGGTAGGGTTTTTAGCCTCAGACAGTGACACAATCATGAGCACAACAGGCTGAAGTTAATAAAACAGTGCAGAGTGAACATTTATATTCCGCATGCTGTCTCATTGCTGATGAAACTTTCCAAGTCAGAGACTGTGGTTTGGAATGTGAGTTAGCTCAGGGGAGATTTTCCAGGATCCTGACCTCTGTTTTTGTCTTGGCAGCAGACATGGTCTACAAGTCAGGCAATTCAAGAACCAAGAGCATATGCATTCCACTGAAGGTTCATCCTAGAAAGTTTTTGAAATAGCCTCCATAAAAACTAGCCAGGGGTGGTGGGTGATTAATGAACCCTGCTTTGTGGGGGCAGAGCACTTAACAAGTTTGCTGAGCCAGTACCTTCTAGGAAGAGATGTAAGAGGACCACTGATCCTTCTTTTATCCCAGCTCTAGATCCTGGCCCAACTTCAGTGCAGGCACATCCATTTCCATTAGGAGTGATGTGCTAGCAATACCAGTCATGGCAAGACACAGATGTGTTAATGAAGTAAAGTTACACTCTTAGATACTTAATTCCCCTTTTGTAGCATTCAAAGACCTTTTCTAGCCCATTAAGAGACTGGCAGAAATCTGGACTGGGCAGCCATTTCCTGGCAATGTTTTGCTTATTACAAGGCTGTAAGCTACCTAATTGTGTTATGCAACATTAGACAGACAAAACCCCAGGGAAAACCATAAGTTTCATTTTAATTGCACGAAGAATCTGGAAGCAGAAGTACAGTGGGTTAAAAGCCTCACATAGAGAAGATTTGCTGTCATAATGGGTGGGTTTTATGCCACATGTCTACATCCTCACATACATTCACATGACTACTCTGTTTATCTGCCATCAATGCTCCTGCTTTTTATTTAGACATTCATAAAAGCATTTGGCAGGAGATGAGTTGAACACAAGCCTGGCTTTTCACTCTGTATTGCGGAATGGAATAACGGCATTCTGAGTGTTCTCGCTGGCCACACTCCGTCTTTCTGTCTGAGGCTTGGATTTGATAATTCCATCGTAAGTGACCAGGTAGCCATCATTATACATGTATAACTTGTGATCATTGGGGTTGTAGCTCACACTCTGAAATGTTTCTGCAAGTTTTTCTATCATGATGTCTGTGGTGCCTTCCATGCCTGTATTGGTGTCATACGTATAAAATATCTTTTCTTTGTGTGCACTCACTCTCTTGAGGGCGTACAGCACCCCACAGATCATGAATGTGTTGGTCGCATTAGGCTTGAATAGTGAGGTTTGCCATTTCTGGATCATGTTCATAGTATTAGGATCTAGCTTCCCAATGATTATTTTTCCCTTGCTACTTTCTGTGGAATAAATGATCCACAGGCCTTTCTCATCCCCAGCAAAATCAAAGTCTTGCCAGTTGACTCCAGCATAGGAGAACCAGTTGTTGAAAGCAGCACCTTCCAATGTTACCCGTTGGAGCTCATGGGTTGCAATGTTCAGCTTACACAGGTTTCTAGAGTTGTGGCAGTTGTAGTAAAAGCTGCCATTGAACAAGATTGGGCCGCTTCCCTGGCCACAGTTGACATAGTTCCAGGTGAGCCCAATGTATTGAGAAAGGCTTTTTTCTATCTGATTCTTGTACAAAAGCAAGTCAGAATAGCTGTTGTAGAGACGGTAGGTCTCCATTAAACGCTCATCAGTGTTCAGTGGAGCGACCCAGTACATGTCTGGAGTTGGGTTTCCAAAAGCAAAATCCTTACCCCAAGCTCCATATCTGTAGCTGAAACCTCGCCAGTTAAGTTTGACTATGAATGGTTTGCTAACGTTCACCAAAAATTTGTTTTCACATTTACCTGTTAAGGAATAATAAAGGAAAATTACACTTCTGCTGCAATTGATGGCTTGTCTTGATTAGATTTTTTTTTCCTTTTGTAACGGTGCTAGGCATTCTGCTGGTTTAAAATTCCTACCAGATAAGTCAAGATGGACCCCATTTCTTTTATATCTACCAACTTATGCATGGCTCAGCCTGAACTCTTCTATTCCTGCTATGTTTTTTCTGTATAAGGCTTCCCAAAGCTTCCTCCATGCTATCATTGACATGCTTATTCATCATCTGTTTCCTTTCCAAAAGCCTACTTATAGAAGTATAACTTGAAATGACCCCATTGTTCAGGGCCAAAGGCAAGAGTAAGGCATGGCTGAGCACCTGCTCAGAGCCTGCACCTTAGCAGGTCACACCTCAGCTGCTTACAATGATAGTGAAAACACAGACTCACCGAGGGAGGGGGCCCATGCAGTGTGTCTTGCTCAAAAGCCCTCCAAAACCTGGAGCAGTTACCTTGATTACCAAAATCCACCTATGCTCATTGAAAAGCAAAAATTCTCAGAGGTGCCAAAGTATCATTTGTTTAATTCAAGCCCAATGGGTTTTGGAGACTGTGACTCCATCAGGGATAATCTCAAGAAGATAGCCGTTAAACCAAGTAAGTGACTTCACACATACATTGCAATTAATAAATCACTGTAAAATACTGATTTTTAAAGCAGCAGATTTCTAGCACTGATATTTGTGTGTGAAGTTATTTACTTCATTTAATTGCTACTTACTATAAGAGCCAGTTTCTGAAATAAACCAATTACACCTAGGCAGTCCAGAGAGTCCATTTCCCCCTGCCTTTTTTTTTTTTTTTTTTTATTTTTTTTTTTGCTCCTGTATTAATTGCCATCAACATGGACTGGGGATGAACTGGTTCAGTGAGAAAGAGGTATCAATAGATCAGGATTTAGGTGATCATAAAAGCTCCCCTGGTCAAATGCCCCCATATTTGTACACTTACAGGATTAACTACTACTGAGGAGAAGAAATTGGGTTAAATGAGTGAGGTGCTTGGCCATCAGTGCAATGGAACTTGCAGGCAAATCTATGTACAGAGCCTTGGTTCCAGCCCATATTAGCAAGTTCCCCAAAACTACTCTGCCCTATGAGGAGAGACTGAGGGAACTGGGCATGTTCAGCCTTGAGAAGACTGAGGGGGGACATGATATCCCTCTCGAAATCCATCAAAGGCTGTCACAAAGAGGAAGGTCAAGATCTCTTCTTGCTGATGCCAGAGTGTAGGACACGGAATAATCAATTCAAGTTGCAGCAACCCAGATTCAGGCTGGACATCAGGAAAAGCTTCCTCACGGTCAGAGCAATACAACAGTGGAACCAACTGCCTAGAGGGGTGGTGGGCTCTCCCACACTAGAGACATTCAAAAAGAAACTGGACAGCCATCTGAGCAGGATGGCGTAATGTGGTGTCCTGCAACAGCAGGGCTTTGGACTCAATGGCCTTCATGGCCCCTTCCAACTCTAATATTCTCTGATTCTACTCACCATACTCAGGACCCGTAAGGCCAGCTGAAGGTAGACCAAAGCTGGGGTTCACAGCAGCTTCTTCACAATCAGCTAGCTGTTTCCGAAGTATAGCCATTTCCCTACGGGTTGCGAGCACATTGTTCTTGTCAAAAGTTTCTAGCTGCCACACCATACTGGAGACATTGTTGACCTGAATGAAACACAAGTTGTTGACCTGAACAAAACATGTATGTTCAAACAACACCCCCTCCCTTGCTCTGACTTTGCCTTTACTTCTGGAAGCAAGCTTTCGATTCTCACAGCAATGTCTACAGAATCTACAGGATGAGACTAGGAATCTGGCTAGGAGAGGCTGGTCAATGGAGCCAGAGCCATTGCTTCAGGCTCCTTCATAGTTCCAGCAAAGGTGACAAGCGGCTCTTTTCTTAGGGTGGCTGCTTGGATTCCTGGAGAACAGCTCTCCTCCTAGGCAATGGGGTCCAGGATATCTTTGCTATCCCACCTGTGACGTTCAGTCAATATTTGTATTGCTATCCTGAAAATTTTGCACCTATCTGTAGAGAGGTGGCCGATTTTTCATTCACTACAGGCTGCTCAGATCGATTAATTTGATTCTGAGAAGGAAGTGGAGGAGGAGGGAGGAAGAAGGTGCTGACTGATTCAAGGCAACCCAGTGAGGTTTCTCAGGCAGAGCATGACTCCACCCTGACAACAGAGTCACATGCTCTACTGAAACTATCATATTAATATATAATTAAGGGAGAGTCGGGGGGGGGGGGTTCCACTTGAATTCAACTCTACAAGGGCAGTTGTTTATCACACCCCTCTAAGCAGAAGACATCTTTGATTTATACTGTTATGTAACCAAAGAAGTTTTAACATAGGACTATGCTTCTAAGGTTTTGTTCTGAGTTTGAAAGAAGAGGAAAAGAAAGAAGGTTCTTGCTCATGACACTACCTTGTTGAGTAAATCTTCAATGTCCAAATCAGTTCCATTTAGGAGATTACTCAGAGTATCAGCCCTTTTCTTCATATCTTGGATTGTTTGTGTCACTGCTAGAAATTCCTTTTCATCTTTGATGCCATCTGTTTCCATCAGAATTACAGAATGGGTCACGTTTTCCAACTTTTTATTATATCCGTCTATCTCATTATGGAGTTGGGCAAACTAGGGAAATGAAGGACACATTTGCAGTATGTACACTTTTGTACTCCTATGTACAAGAGAAGCACACACACAGGCATGGACATACATGGATGGAGGACCAGTGCAACAAGAACCTCCATCTGCAATCCCAAGTAGTACAGACGCGACACAAATTTGCTATCTCTGTGAAAGCTCGGCCACTGCATCTGGCCAAGCAGAAAGGGAATGTTAGTGGGAGGGGACCCACCATTTTCTTTTAATGTTACTATATTTAACTGTTCAAAACCAATGTCACCATCTGCACTCAGGGAAATGGCATGCTGGACATGACATGGTATGGTGCCCTAGCGCTTGTGCAAGTGCATTTGGCAAGCATGCACAGGGTGGTTGCAATCTGCTCTCCATGCAGAGAATTAGCTTCTAGAGACGGGGGAACTGCCCATCGCCCAAAGAATAGCAACTCTGATATGCCCAAGGACTCACAAAGTAATAACATCCAAAGAAGGCATCTCCATATTCTCCACAACAGGAAGATAAGGACTGCTCCATTTTAGGAACCATAAGGAAGGATACTGGAATGTACCACTTTATAGGATATTCATAGAATCATAGAACAGTAGAGTTGGAAGGGGTCAGAAGGACATCAGGTCCCTGCTCAGTGCAGGACTCCAAATTAAACCATCCCTTCCAGATGACTGTCAGGTGGCATCTCGGATGCCTCTAGTGAGACAGAGCCCATAGCCTTCCTAGGTAATTGGTTCCATTGTCATACTGCTCTAACACTCAGGAAGTTCTTCCTGATGTCCAGCTGGAACCCGTCACCCTGTAACTTGCGCCTGTTATTCCTTGTTCTGCATTCCGGGTTCATCAAGAAGAGATCTTGTCCTTCTTCTTTGTGACAGCCTTTGAGGTACTTGTATAGTACTATCATATCTCCCCATGCCCGGTTCTTTCAATCATTCCTCATAGGGCTTTGTCTCCAGTACCTGGAGCATCTTTGTTGCCCTCCTCTGAAACCTGCCCAGCTTGACTGCATCTTTCTTAAACTCTGGTGCCCAGCACTGAACACAGAGACCAAATGAGGTCAAATGAGATGAGGCCAAACCAGTGCTGAGTAAAGGGAAACTAGTACTTCATGTGATTTGGTAGTGATACTTCTATTAATGCAGCCTAAACTAGCATTTGCCCTTTTTGCAGCCACATAACATCATTGACTAGTATTCAGCTTTGAAGCTACAACAGTTCCAAGATCTTTCTCACTTTCAGTTTTGTTGAGCCAAGTATTCCCCATCTTATAATGATGTATTTGTTTTCCGCATGCCCCACCAGGTGTGGCGAGGCAGGTGTCTACTAAGGAGAAGGACATTTCACTGGTGGCACTCAGGCTGTGAAATGTCTTCCCCAGAGGCTTGCCTGGGCCTTTATCATGCTCCTGTTCTTATTTTTGAATATTTATTTAGCCCTGGGATAAACAGGACATGGGGCTCCACTAGCTTGAGAGATCTGCAAGTGCAGGTTGCCCACCACCCGCTCTGTGGCATCAGAGGTTGCTGAAATATGCAGAATAAGGCAGCATTCAGATGACGATCGTTTTAGCTTGGTTTCTCCTGATGCCTAGGAGTGGCCCCTTACCTTCTCTGTCTCTTTATCAATGAGAACGGTCAGGTTCTTGTAGATGTCTTCCAGATAATCGATCATATGTCCTGGGAAGGTAGTTTCAGGGAGTTCTACGCTGCAGATACACTCATCATTGTCCTCTCCGTGCCTTGGAACTGGCGCATCATGGAAGATTACATAATCTGCAGTGACCTAGGAAGATACCGAGACACACGTGGAGATCAGCACTGAGACATTTCTGTTAAGTGTTCTTTCTCACACATTCGGAACTGACATAAAACCTTTACGGCCAGGATGGTTTCCTGAGTTTCCACCCCAACCTCCTTTAAGCCTCTTTTCCTCATGTAACACTGGACTGAGTCTTCTAACTTCTCTTCTGATAAGATGCCTATTTTAGATCTGGGTGCTGTTAACTGATGAAAGATTACTCTGCATGAACAGGCTTTCCTAGTAGCCCCTCACTTGTGTTAGAGATCTCTAACAGTGGGTTGTCCTGCCTTTTTATTAAAAATTGCCTTATGAACTTCAACTCTACAGTGGTTTATCCTTTCTCCCTCCCCTTAAAAAACAGCAGGCTGTCTTTGAAGTTGAACATCTGCTCCAGGGAGGAGGGAGAAAGCCAGCATGGTGATTTCACCACTTCCCAGCCAATTTGTGCTGTTCTGAGCAGATTCCAGATGGAAACAAGCAGCACACATTTTTCCAAACTCATCCTGGGGAAGAAGACTGCATATCCAGTAGTTAATCTAGTGGTAGATCTTGGGACAAAGTTCAGGGCCTGGCAGCCTTCAAATGACCATCCAGACGGCAGAAAGTGATGAGGGCAATCTGGATTCATGATGGTGTTCTGGCTTAAGCCTGAGAGCTTTAGCTATAGGGCAGTATACAAATGCACTAAACGAGCTTAAAATGCAAAACTGTATATGCTCAGAGTATTATTATTTTTAAATCAGGGATGTCATGCAGTTGTGTTCTTGTTCTAAGGGGCACAGAAGCAGCATGCAATTTTGGCGGGCAGGGAGTGAGAAGGGAAATGTTCATTCTGTGCTTCACAATGGAAGTAATATACATGGTCATCATCATTTTTAACTATTATACTTATTATATGATTATATGAGATCGGCAGCAGGGGCTCTCCTCCGGGAGCCTTCCGTAAGAGATATCAGGAAGCAAAGTACCCGGAGGAGGGCCTGCTCTGCGGTGGCGCCCCATCTGTGGAATGCGCTCCCCAGAGAGGTCCATCTGGCGCCATCATTACTTGTTTTTCGGCGCCAGGCCAAGACCTTTTTATTCAAACAGTATTTTAATAATCTTTAATATTTATAGTTTTAATTATGCAGCCGGAGTGTTTCCAAGTTTTAATTGTAATTATATTTGTTTTATTTATTTGTGTTGTGAGCCGTCCTGAGGCTGTGTAGCAATGGGGACGGCATATAAACACTTTAAATAAATAAATAAATAAATAAATACTTATATATTATATCTTTTTCATCTTGGAAAAAGGCAGCTTCCATAGTCCTCCTCCGTGGTGTTTTTTCCTCACAGCAAGAACCCTGTTAGACAGGTTAGGCTGAGAGTCTGCAACTGGTCCAAAGTCACCCATGAACTTCATGGATGGGTGGGAACTAGAACCCAGACCTCCTGGGTCCCAGTCCAGCACTCTAAACACTGCGCCATGTTGACTCTCATTATACCCTAGTTCTAATATTTCCGAGCTGCATAACTGTGCATGTGTGAGCAGTAAGTGTGCTTCTGTAGTAGGCGCACCACTCCAGTTGTACGCATCTGGACAAAATGCTGTTTTGAGGGGCAGGAGGGTAGACAGAAAGGCATGAAAAAAGATGCTTCTAGAGGTTCGAGGCACGGAAAGCAAAGGCAGGCAGGCAGCAAAGACATAGCAAAAGCAATCCAGGTAGGATGTTTAGGGCAAGCAGGAAGAGATGGACTGGAGCAGAAGCAAACGCAAGGCAGCGTGTCTGATAGGTCCCCAACGGCAAGGCTGAGCAGCAAATAGGCTTCAGGCACCCTCCCATCCCAGGTCCCCCTGCTGCCACAACCACTGCTGTGGCTGCCAAATTTGTCACTGTAGAAATGGCTGGAAAGGCAGGAATCTCGCAGGAAATAAGGCATGTGGGAACACTTTACAGTCTTGCCATGCCCGCCCGCCTTCCTTCCTTCCTTCCTTCCTTCCTTCCTTCCTTCCTTCCTTCCTTCCTTGGATTTTTAACTTGCCCCATTAGCCACCCGGCTCCCTTTGTCCTACAAATCTTTTTGTGACAACATACTCTTTATGCTACTGGGTGTAGAGATAAAATATTCTTGCTTTTTTTTTAAATGGGTTTTCTGAATCAAGGTCAGAAGGCAAAATCATCCCATTTTTCACAGAACCGCACTTTCAGTTAAAGTTCCTTTTACCTGAGTCAGCAGATCAACATTCCCTCTCCAAGTGAAATACTCACCAAAGAAGTCATAGTGAGACATAGCTGCAACCAAGACATGGTAATTGTTTGTGGAATGTATGGTAAGCCAGGTCAGGGAGTTCTCTGAACCCTCTTTATAACAGAGAAAGTACTGGAGGAAGGAGCAGAATGATCTAGAGTGGAATTTCTTAAGGAATAGGGTTGGACTGGATGTTTCGAACTTTCAAGATTAAGTTTGTTTGCATGATCCTATGCCCTTCTGAGGAGGTGTTAATGTGTGATCAGATAAAATACAGTGGCACGTGTGTAGGCCATCAGAAGTCTTCTTGTGCTTTGTGCCTCCTCCTCTGCCTCCTCCTCGCCTGGCTAAGACCCCATTTTGGATTGATTACTCAAGTGGCAGGTAGAACAAACAGGATTATTTTTGAATATCGAATTTAGGCTGATCCTGTCATTGCTTCTAGGCTCTGAAGCACAAATCCCTGAACAATGAATGAATGAACCTCACACCAGTGATTCTCCCAAATACTCTGTAAAGTAGAGCTCAGCAGCATGAATTCTCCAGCATGGAGTTCTGTAAGGATTAGGTTTGCCACCCTGCTATATTTCAAATCTTCAGGGAGGGCTGTGAATGTGTTAGATTGGTGACTGGGTTAACACAGTTCAGACAAGACTGAGATTCTTTTCTTGGGCGCCTCTTCTGACCAGCTGAGGGGTTTCACCTCATGGGGCTGAGGCTGCAATGCCCTTGCAGGAGCAGATTGTACCTTGGTGGGAAAGGGGAAAGCAAAGAGAGAGAAAGAGGAGACAAAAGGAAAGAGAGGAAAGGGGAAAGCAAGAGAGTGAAATGGATGGAGGGAGGTTTATTTATTTTATTTATTTATTTAAAACATTTCTATGCCGCCCCCATCGCAACAAAGCCTCAGGGCGGCTCACAACAAAAACAAAAACAAACAAAATCATAGAAAAATTTATACACTAAAAATATTAAAACCCGGTGCATCTCGGCTAAATTTTTTTTTAAATCCTCCATAATAAATTAACACTTAAAATAAGTTTTAAATAAAAAGGTTGAGTGAGTGTGTGCGGGAGGGGCCTGGGCAGCTCTGACACTGCCTAATTTTGGCCCCAGCCCTGCTCACCTAGGGCATGTGGGCACTCCCAGAGGTCACCAGAGGGGAATGAAGCTAGTGGAGCAGGTTTCCCCATTCCCTAAATCAGGGATAATGTTCTGCATTTGTTATTTTATCATCCACTTTCTTGTCCTTTGATGAAAGAATTCACCGCACATTATACAGGTAGGGTATTTTGAGAATGTCTCTCTGCTTGTTCTGCTCCCTGTGTCAAGAAGTACCCATGGCAGCGTATATTGCTCCCCATGAAAACATGGACAGTATGTACTACACCAGCATGGCTCTTCTTACTGGAACTGTTCACCAACTTCAAAAGCACTAAGAAGCTTTTCATCATGGCTTGGAGGCTACCCTGTGCTCATATTCATTTGATGAAAGGTATGTTTTGTAAGATACAAAACATCCCCCAGGATTTTCTGTCTTTCATGCCTGATTTTCTGACTCAGCACAAGTCCAAATTACCACCCATAGTTTTTACTGGTTCTTTTATGAAGAGAAGAGAAGAGTTAAGAGAGCATCCCACATTTAAGGTGCTTGAGAAGTACATTCAAAACATGTTTTAAAAATACAGATATGATGTAGGAGCACAATTGCCAGCAATCGTGCCACATTCCATTCACTTTCTCATCTTGCTGCTTGCCTAGAGAGAGGTGACCCATTGCTGGGAAGGAACCTGCAGCTACAGAACCAGCAGAGAGAACACATTTCTCTAATGCTGATGGGCTTTGCAAGTAGAAACGTGTTCCCACCAGCACCCCATAAACATGGGGCCATCACAGAAGAAGCCCATTCCCTGACTGCTGCTCCCATCCCCAAGCTTCTCTCCATCCCATTTATGAAGAAATTCATGAGTAACAAGAGTGCTTTCACTCTGGCTCTTTTCGTGATCTGCAAAGCTGGACCAGCATTTCACCAAGTGTGAAAATCCACTGGTAGGCAATTAAAATACAGTAGTATGGAGAACTATGATTCCCACCTCTGAAGCCAGCTGATGCCTGATCGTACATTTTGGATTTACATCATCGGCCATCTCTTTATATGTGCTTCTTATGGTGTAGTTCTTGGCAACATTCCCTTTTGCCCCACCACCAAGCCGCCCAACAAAGAGTGCTTGTGCGCTCGCTCCCTGTCGCAGCAGCAGCATCCGTTTTGCCCACTGTGCCACTGAGAGTCCCCTCGTAGCTCCTAGTCGCTCACGTTCCCCTCACGAGGCTTTCTCTCTGCTCCCTTCCCCGGCCAACGGAGTGCTCACTCGGATTCGTCACTTACAGCAGCCCACCTCTTCCCCTTGGGGCTTTTCAAGCTAGCCCAGAGTGGAGGGGTGTGAGGGGGAAGCTTAGGAGAGCCATTGCATGGGCTGGGCATGTAGGCACTCCCAAAGCATAATGCACATAGCCAGGGGGGACCTCTCTGCCCAGGTCTGAGCTTACTGCTAGGCATGGCAGGGCCTTTGTGCCTTGAGACACGTATAGGGTGTATGCCACCGTGGCCAAAGCAGCTTGCCGTTTATCATAGTGGTGAGCCCCAGAGAGCCGGAAAGCAGTCCTTGGACTGCAAGCCATCTTCTACTGTACCGGTGTACCACACAGCATGAAAGCTTGTCACAGGCTCCTGATAAAAGAGCCTCATGATGAATTTTCAGAGTCTCCCAACCATCCCAGTGAAGTGTCTGAAGCATTTTGTGTGAGGCTTGTGTCCATCTAACACATAATATACAAGGGCTAAGTGACATCCACAAAAGTGCTGATGAAATCCATGTGCAAATTGTGCGAAGCTACTGTTTTTCCCAGGTAATCACATTTAAAGTTTCTTTAAGGGTGGCAGTGACTACATGAACAGCTGCTTGGTATACACCCTAGTTGGTTTCCCTGTCCCACTGACATACTTGAGATTAAGGAAGCAGGCACCATTAGCAATTAGGAAACTGGAGGGAACATGTTCTTTGCCTGCAGCAAGTCCCCATTGTTTTGTACTCAGCGGAGAGTGCTGCATTAAGGGTGGTTCCCCCATCCAGAGCAGCTCCAAGGGGGAAGCTGCTCCTGTCTCTCCAGGCAAGCGAGGGGCCGCCCCAAGGGGCACCCGTGTGGCCACCATCCTTCTCTTTCAGCCTCCTTCCAGTCCAGCTTGTGGGGGAGCGATGAGGCACCAGGGGGTGTAAGCTTTGACCTTCCAGGCTTTGCTGCCTGTCTCCTCACCCCTTCTCTTTCTGTATCATTCAGTTAGTTACTTAGTTATTTCTGTACTGCCCCACAGCCAAAGCTCCTTGCAGGGAGCTAGATTGCAAGCTGCAAGAGGGACGGGCTGCCAGCGCTTCCTTCAGCTCAAAGTGATGGCGCAGCTCCCCACGTGCCTCCTGAATCCGAGGAGCACGAGCAGGTGAGTGTGGGCCTCTTGCCAAGCGATACACACAACCCTCATGAGGAACTGTAGCAGGCGATCTCTGCCCTCTACAGAAAGGCCTCCAGCATGGGAGTGACCGACCTCTCTCACACCCTGAGCTGAAAGGCGCACAAATCTGCTTGCACCAGAATGCTGCCACTCAGGGAGACCGTCGTGATAAAAGGAAAGAGTCCAACCGCTCTGTGCCTCAGCAGGCACTCCTGCTCCTTTAAAGAGCCGGGATGTTGCCCTGATGGTAACGGTTCAGGTATTCCAGGCACGGCCCAAATAGACGCCCATGGTGTCTTCCCTTCCCTTCTTGCCTCAGTGGCCTCAGTGGCCAGATTTTCAGATTCTGCTCTGTCTTGATTATACCACCGAATGCAACCAGTTCTGTAATATGCCCACTGTCATCTTGCTTTAGTCTGGAGGACTGCTGTGCCGGCATGAGAGGCATGTGTGTGGGCCATGTGGGACTTCGCTGTGCTGCACTTGCTTGAACCGAGTTTGACAAATATGATTCACATATTCCCACTTCTGGCTAATAAAGCTGAAGCAGACATCGAAAGTCAGCATCAGGTTCTGCTACAAGCATAACGTCAGGACGTCTATGTATACATCCACAAGCATGAATTCAGAATTGCCAGCAAACATGATTTGTCTCCCATCTTGCCTTCTTCCACAGAACATGTACATGACATTACGGCATCTTTTTGACATGGGCAGAAAAACAAGCCTCTAAAGTTTTGTGTCACAACATAGGGAAGATGAAGCAGACATCCATGAAACTGATAATGAGTTTTTTAAAAGCTGCAGCCATAGTGGAAATACTTAGTTTTTCAGGGACAGTTTTTGAACAAATCTAATTTCAATCACAGGATGAGTACAAAAGATAAAGAGCAGAAGCAGGTTGAGTTGCAAAAGGAAAACTATTGGTTTAAATAGTAGTTAAAAGCCTTTTACTTGCACGATGTTCAGACATCGTGCCCAATTTCCAAATGAGACTGAGGAACCCCCACCACTGAAAGATTTTATTTTTCTGAGAGTGCACTTGTGGAACAGATGGGAAGATGGGGGTTATTTCAGTGGGGAGACCCCACTGAAATGGCCGTATTGCTCTGTATTGGCTAAACTTTTGCAGAAATAGCTAATAAAACTGATGCAAGGGCTTTGGATGCATATTGAATAAATCTGCATGTGCAATATATTGCATTTATTTTTATAGGCTGGGGGAAACAGCCATGCTTTTAGATAAATCTACCTATAAGCACTTTATTTACAAACATTTCTCAATGTAGGTTTTTCTGATTTATTCACTAGACCTGCTTTCCCTCACAAAATATTTCCGTATCACTCACTAGCAATAGTATGGCTGCCTGCCCGCACAGCTTCTTGTCTTCCTATGCTAAGAGTAATAGGGCTTTCTTCCTGATTAGAACTGTCTCCTCCTGTGCTTCCTGAGCCTTGTTGCTGGTTACTAGTGGGACTTGGCTTTTCCTTGCTTCCTTCCCTGTTCACCACACTCTGGAGTCCCTCAGTGCCAGGATCCTTCTGCTGCTCAGAAAGAATAGCCTGCCTTGCCATGCCCTTTGGCTCTTTTGAGAACATGAGATTGTAATACACCAGGTAGGCATCATTGAACATGTAGAGCTTTTGGTCATTGGGATTGTAACTCATACTCTGCACTGTAGGAAGAGGTTTCTCCATATAAATTTGGATATTGCGTTCCTGAGATGTGTTAGTGTCATATACGTAATAGATCTCCTCATGAGTTGAATTCTTCCGCCTGGTGGCATACAACATGCCACAGATCATGAAGCTATTGCTCAGTTTTTCCTTTGGCTGGGAGGTAATCCATGGTGTTCCTGTTTTCAAGGTTTCTGGGTCCACCTTCCTAATGACCATATTCCCATTGGCCAAGGTAGAGCCATGAACCATCCATAGGCCCTTCTCATCCCCAGCCATGTCCATATCCTGGTACTTGACCCCTTTATAGGAGAACCAATTATTGAAAGAAGCAGGATCCTGATCTTCTAACTCCATCTGTGTAACACGCATGCTAAATGGATCTGCCTTGCACAGAGACCTGCTGTCAAAGCAGTTATAGAAAAAGGAACCATTGAAGAAAATCACTCCACCCCCTTGTCCACAGTTTTCACATGTTGGTTTGGAATTAATGTTGAGGGTATACTCTCGGATGGGAGAATAAAGCAACAATTTCTTGTATGATGAGTATAGACGGTAGGTCTCCAATGTCCGCTCATCTTTGTTGGCTGGAAAAACCCAATAATGGTCTGGAAATTTAGTTCCCATGGCAAAATCTTTCCCCCACGATCCAGCTTTAAACTCAGAACCTTTCCAGTTGAGCTTCACCAGCACTGGAGCACTGACCTTAATTAGCATACCACGATCACATGTACCTGTAGGAAAATAAAGGGAACATTTTTCAGTTTTACTATGTCTAAAGAACTGTTTTCTGCTTCTCCACAAACTCAAGGGGGATGAAGAGGAAGAATTACAGCTCTCATCCTGCAATGGCAGTTTGAAACGTTCCTGGGCTTTCTGAGCTAAGGCTAGTCCTTCCTGGGCCCATCCTGCGAAGCCTGACAGCCCCTTTAGAGAGCTGCAGAGTTGCCCCATTTCTCTTCTGTCAGAGTGGGATTCCTTCCCACCTGGATATGTCAGGGCAGGTTGGCGGGCACCCTGAAGCCCTCCTTTCTGGCCCTGCCAGCCCTGCTTCGAGGCCTGTGCACGGCTCCACAAAGCCACTCAGCGGAAGCCGTCCGTGCTGTCCCCACAGCAAGCAGGTCCTCATAGCTGCGCTGCGGAGCTCTGCTCTGCGCATGGTGGCGCATGTGCTGCATGTGCTGCACGTGAGCACTGTTGCTGCACCCTCCAGGGCGATCCAGGACAGACATGCTTTGCTGGCACGCCTTTTGCACTGGGCCCTGCTAGGCCGCACGAGGGGTTCGGCCCCCCGGGGGAAAGGGTGGGCCTTGAGGAGGAACCAGCCTGCCCATGCCCCACAACTCCAAGTTGCTTTCCTCATTTCCCAAACCGCTGGGAAGGGAAGGGAAGGGAAGGGAAGGGAAGGGAAGGGAAGGCCTGGCACGGCACGGCACGGCACGGCACGGCACGGCACGGCACGGCTCTTGCATGCCAGAACGGTGGAGACCAGGCAAGGCAGGCAGGAATGACTGCTCACTTGTCTGCTGAGGAGCTGCAACCTCCCGATAGCCAGAGATGGCAAAGCCCACAGGGCACCTTGTGCGTCTGCCCAGGCACAAGCCAGCCCCCAGCCGCACCCCCCAGCCTCCCCAAGAAACACCCCCTGCAGGTCATAGCCCGATCGCCTGCCATTTGCTTTGCTTCTTCCCGCTTCTGCTCTCAGAGAGGTGTGCAGAAGGTGTAGCAGCTTTGGGGTATCTTCCCTGTCTGCACTGCTCTCAAAAACCCAGGCTGGAGGAGGGGGATACTGATCCTATCTGAAAGAAGTATATGAAGGTTTGGATGGCTCCTGGAAACAACATTCATGACTATGGGAAGTGTTTGTCCATCTCTGTGCGCATATGTTAAATTTGTTTCATGAGGGGAATAATTTAAAAGATATCAGTGATGGGGGGAGATACCAGTATAATATGCATTTCATTATTTTGTTGAGACAGTTTTATATTTCTTTCCTTTACAAAAAGTTCAGAATAATGTATTTATAGTCCAGGTATTAAAAAACACTTTAAAATCTCACTCACATAAATATATTTTGTATGCTAAGGAGAAAGCAAAACCAAATACCTCCCTTAAATGTAAAGCATTCACATACTTCCTAAACCAAACTAACATTAGTCATGGCTTCCTGGGAAAGGCCTCTTTCCAGAGAAGGACAAGTATAGACATCATGGGGGAAACTGCTCCATGTAAATAAACTATTCTCCATGATTTACATTGGAATTTCTCTCATAATTGGAAAGCTGTAAGGGTAGAACTCTGAGCAAGGCCTTCCTCCAGCAGAGATTAAAAGGGCAGCCATCATCTTATGTAGGTTGGTCACAAGCTATAATTAAAGCTGAAAACCAGCACTTTGTGGTGGGCCTTGAAGGTGATAAGCCACTAATCAGTTTTTATAAATGTGCTAGCATATGATCCCGCTGATTCAGCTTGATCAAAATGCACTGACTTCTGGACAGTCCTCAAGGCCAGCCTATTGCAGAACACTGAAGTCTGACAAGCTAGGAAGAGATTTCCAAAAGCATGGATGGTGGTTTCCAAATCCCATATCCCCAAATAAGCTGTTTGCGGTTGGTGGAAGATGAAACTTGTTTCATTCCTTTATCTGCACATCCATTACTAAGCTATGCAAGCATCTGGAACCTCATTTCTAGCCAAAAATAACATGTTTGACAACACTCACCAATGGGTGATGGCCCTGCCACAGGGCCAGCACTGCTGTCATCAAGGTTAAGCATTTCCTCACAGTCCTCCAGCTTTTTCCGAAGGGTAGTGACCTCACGTTGTGCTGTTATTATGTTGTTCCGGTCATATTTTTCCATTTTTGTGACCAGGGTGTCAATAGTATTGATCTAAAGCATTAAAAAGTATGGATGCAGATGTTAGTTCCTGGACACAATGGGCTCTATCCAATCGTGTTATCCATCAACAGGGTAGCAATACTGGCAGAATCATTTCTTCCTTCCCATTACAACTCTCCTGTATACTCTCTAAATCTGTTCCAAAGGACTAGAGGACTCTCTGCAGCAGATCTGAAGATGGGGTATTTGCAGGAGGGTGCAGGGGGAGGAAAGCAAAAGGAAGTCCCATTGTGTGAGTGAAAGTTTGTTTGTGTAACCTCAGATGAAGCCCAATACACTCTCAGATAGAGGGAAGCAAGACGGACTCTTCCCAGATATGGAATGAGGACTAGAAAATGAATAAATAAATATCCCTCATATTTTGTTTTACTGTTTTTTCTTCTTTATTGTTATGTGTTTAAATTGATTGTTTTCATTGTAGTAGTGTGCTTTTATTCTATTGTAATCCTCTTAGAGAGCCCTTGGGCCAATTATAGCGGAATATATGTTTAATAATAAAGAAATCATCTGATTCCAAGAAAAAACAAATTCACTAACAGCAAGATGAAGATGCTGTTGGCTCCATTGCTCTAAAGCAGAATTTAGCAACTTGAGGCCTTCCAGATGTTTCACTCTATAACTCCCATCAATTCTAGCCAGCATAGTCAATGGAGAAGAGAGCTGTGGGAGCTGTGGGCCAAAGCATCTGGAGAAACACAAGCTGCCCAGACCTGCTCTAAAGGAAGCAGAGGAAGCATGCAGTCATCAGTCAAGAAAGCTAATGTCAAAGCCAAAGACCAATAGCACCAGTACATTTATCTCTACTGGGCCAAGTGCCATGAAATCAGCTGCCTTATGGCAGGTCAGACTGCTTCGTCTCTCTCGCGCAGCCTTGACTAATTTGCCTGGCAACAGCAGCAGCTCTGCAGAATCTTAGGCAGTCTTCCACATCATCTGCTACTTCTCCCTTTTAAATGGAGATGCCAGGTCTGAAATTTGGACATTCAGCATGCAAAGCATGTATGCTGTCCTGAGCTACACTGCTTCCAATGCCACAGGATTTGATCTGCCGCTGAGAGACATCGTATAGGAAACGGCACTATTTCAAATGATGCTTTACGAACAGGAGCCAAATACTGAAAACTGAGTGCAAGGCTAAATTTATCCTCAGCAGACTACTCTAGAGCTCAAGTGTCCATTCCTCAGGCTGCCTGCCAGTGTGGATCAAGATCAAGTTCAAGCAAATGCATTACACTAAGAAAGCTGCAATGAACCTCCCACTGGTTTGTTTCTGTGTCACCAAATTCAACCAGGGAACATTTGTGCTAGTTTAGGATGCAGGCACCTGCATTTCCCCCTTCTCTCCAGCAAAGTAAACAGCAGATTGAGGGAGAGTTAAGTGGGAAATTGTATTCAATTAATTTTCTGTGCCCTTACTCCCATGGCTCCTCTTCAGATCTATGTAGACAGCCCTTCCTCATGCAGCTTTACTTAATTTTTTTAAACTGGGGGATCAGTCACAGATCCCTTAGTCTAAATCAGGGGCCCCCTGATAAATGGCATAAAATGTCTGCCATTGGGGCAGGGCTGGTCACAAAACACTCACTTCACAGAAGCCAGACTGCTAACACTAAAAGAAAAGTACCTTGTCAAGGAACCTAAAATAAAAGCATAGGAAACTCACTATTTTGAACTCAAAGAGAGCATGGGAAGGCAAGACTTCATTTTGTAATATGCCAGACTCTCAGTTTTTTAAAGTGTTTTTATTTTAAAAACTTCAGAAACAAATAAAAAAAATTAGGAGGGGCATGGTGCCTGGTGGGAGACAAGTTCGGTGTCTCTGTGGGCACAATGACACCAAGAGGCACCTTGCTGGAGACTGCAAAGAGCAGTTTTGCAATGAAGTGAATCCAAGTTCTTCTGTAGAACTGTTACTATAGAACTGTATAGACTGAGGTCAGTTTAATCTTATTAGCCTGTTTTCTCCTTGAAACTTCTGCCACTGCTTGATTTATGTACCTATTCTATGCAGTCTTTGTGAACAGAGCTCTGATGGAACTCTAATGATGGAGCTCTAATGAAAGAGACAGAGAGGCAGAGATCAACCAAAATGGAGAAGACTGCATAAGCTTACCCTGGCTTTCCCCAACCAGTAACTATCTTACCAAAATGCCTTTCTATTTTTAATGATGTATTATTTTTCAACATGTTGTGAACATGTTCAGGAGTTTTAAAAGGAAAAACAGTCTATGAATAGTCCATAATAAATAAAGTATTGTTAGCCATAATACTTTGGTTACCTCTGAAATCAAATTGTTGATCATGGCTCGGCTAGAAGGTGTGGTTGCATTCTTCTTCATATATTCAGCCATGGACACCACTGTGTGAATGTCATTGATAAGCTTTCTGAAGTCCAAATCAACATGGGTTCCAAAGGCCTTTGCATATCTTAAGCGTTTGTCCAGGTCAGTTAAGTTGGATGTACTAGAAGTCATCATTGCCTGCTTATTATAAATCTAGAAGCCAAGGAGACAAAAGCTAAGACCACTATAGGAGAAGGGTTCCTTCCTATTGCTGTTTTTGTCAACCAAAGCATAAGGTTGAATCTGTGAGGACAGCTAGGTCTATGCATAGTGCAGCTATTTAAATTTAGTATTAAGTTAATTCTGATAAATTGCATATCCATATGGAGAAGTGGAATACCAACAAGGGAGGTTGGTGACTCCTGGGTTAGTGGAGCTCTTGATCCATTGCAGCCTTTATTTTGAGCTTTATAGGTGCTATTTAGAATAGGTTCAACATCATGGATAACTCCTATAGAGGTCAGAGTAAAAACTGCAATGGATAAGGAGCCCTACTGACATAGGAGTCACCAGCCTTCCTTGTATTTTTGGTAGAAAGCCAGACTATAAGTATCTGAGCCAAGGATGGTATATTTCAGGCCTGTGGGCCAAATCTGGGACACCTAAAGTTCTAATCTGGCCTTTCGCACCTTCTTCCTTGCCCCCACCCCCCAGCTCCTTTTTCTGGCTACCAAAAGTTTGGTGATTCCCTAGCTTTTGTGAACATTTCTGTACAACTTCAGAAGCAAATAGGATTCTCCTGAGAAGAAAAATTATCTTTTGCATTCCCTCCCTTATGCTGTGGGACAAATAGGCACAATGTAGGGGGGATATGTTGTTAAACATCTTATTCTTAGAAGTAGCTGCAGGAGGCTGAAAATTAGCTAGAAAAGCTGCACTGATCCTTCAGTTTGCATTGCATCAGGCCTGGATTAGGTGGGCTCAGGCAGTAGAGTTAGAAGAGTGGTGAACTGAACCATTCCCCACCCCCGCAACAAGCTCTCCAGTAGTTAGCAGACTATAATGCCTGTCACCCTGACCATTGCCAGGGAGGCTGGGGCTGATAGGAATTCAGCAACATCATATCCTCACTCTTGAGTTAGATTTTTCATGCATCATCATCATCATCGCTCCTGCCCATGCTGATCACTCAGGTATGTTTATGGGGTGGGGGGCAACCTTATTAGGGCTGTACTGAACCCTGACTCAGCTGGGGGTAGGGCAGGAGCAGCACCATGTACTTAGAGCAAACTGCTACCTTTGTGTATCTAAAATAACACCATCCACACAGACAGAAATTACAGTCAGATTTGCAGGAAACTCAAGATTTGTGGAAGTACAAAACTGCCAGGGGAGAAAAAACCCATGGGGACCCAAAACACAGCACAGTTGAGAGATAAGCACATCCAGTGGCCGCAGAACATTGAGCTGCTTGGAAATGAAATGGAGGCACTAGAGAACACTGTTATTCACAGGTTTACTCTTTTGAAGGTTCAAGGACAGCATGCTGAGAGAGAGAGTATGAGAAGTTTGTAGGAGCCCTTTAATGTAGCCATCTATAGCAGAGATATGCTACAAGATTTGACAAAGGTTGTCCAATGTATACAAAGGTATTAAGTACCATTAGGGCTATATTGGGATCTAGGAATGAACATAATTTTCCCAATTTTTATTTAGAGCTGCAAAAAGTTAATTTCAGAACAAAGTGAAGTTCTGAATGCATCCATTAAGATAGTCTGGTTGGGGGAAAGGGATAGGACATGGAATAATCAATTCAACTTGCAACAACCCAGATTCAGGCTCAGTATCAGGAAAAATTTTCTCATTGCCAGCGTAATACAACAGTGGAACCAGTTGTCTAGAGGGGACATGGGCTCTCCGCCACTAGAGACATTCAAGGCAAAACTGGACAGCCATCTGAGTGGGATGATGTAAATTGGTGTCCTCCAACAGCAGGGAGTTGGACCTGATGGCCTTCATAGCCCCTTCCAACTATTCTATGATAATAGGAGCTTCCCATTATGAAAAACTAATAGCTGTACTAGATGGATGAGGAGCCAGGGAAGGGAAATTGACCATTGCAGGTGGATTGTAGGCGCTCTTCCCACATATGGACGCTTGCTAACTGTAGGAGTCAAAAGGACCACTGCATGCACCAGCCGAGGATCGGCAGCTTTCAGGGACTGGCTGTTCTAAACTCTCCTGTATCTCGGCAAAGGCTGATGCTGCCCCTTACCTTGTTCAGATTGTTTTGTAGATGGTTTGTCAGGTTGTAGAAGTCACTCTCCAGTTGCTCCACCTTGCGTGCAGGGAAGATAACATGGGCCAGCTCCATGCTGCAAATACACTGGCCACTTGCATCCTTCACTCCCAATACTTTCTGGATGTGGCCACTTTCAACGATGACCTGGTAAGACAGACAGAAAATAGCAAGGGGAGATGACAATGGAAGTCCTCTTGGTCAACCTTGCCTGCCTTATTTGATGACTAATATCAATAGTATCTGGGTAAATTTTACTGGCCTGAATCTGGAAATTTATCCATAGTGCTAGAACAAGTCTCATCATTTGGTGCAACTTGAGTCTTCTTGAATCAACACTTGCATCACACGCTTTTTATTTAGTGCATGGGTGGGGAATTTCAGGTCTTGGGGCCAAATCCATCCTGCCCCCAGGCTTTCCCAGATGGCCCTTCCCCCTTCCCTCAACCACTTGGTGGTTTCCAGTTTTTCTGCCACACCTTCTCCCCACTGCTGCTGCACATGCATATACTAGAAGGTCAAAATACCTCTCCAAAACCTAGGACCTAGGTACTCGCAGCAGCAACTGAAGCAACAACTTGCTGGTATTACTGCATTTTTGCCACTGTAAAGACATCTTGGTCTTGGCCCTGCCCAGCACTGCAGTGTGGGACCCAAGAGCTTCTCCATGCCTCACTGTGCTGGGAAGCAGACACTTGCATCAATCATGATTCTTGTCCTACCATCCGTGTACATGATGCATACAAAGCATGGCAGGACAGGTACCCACAGGGCTTTCCATCCAGAATAGACCCAAAGGAGATGAATGAGAAGTTAAACAAGGGAAGAATAATCTGTTACATAGCACATACCTACACGCTTAGTTGGCATAAGTCGGGGGCATGGGGGGCATGCAGGCTTGAGTGTGGCCCCCTAATTAGTGCCCTGACCCCCATGCCATTGCCCCCTGCATTCTAGTTAAAACTATAGACTAGCAAGGATTAGGCATAGTGTCAGCAGGGCTAACTTTGTGCACCACTGTTTGATGTGCCCAGAGCAGAAGCTACTTCTGCAAGTGGCCCATAAACAGTAGTGCGTCAGAGAGACAAAAAACAGGTGCAACTGAAAGGGGCATGCTGTCCTGAGATGCATGCTCCATAGCTTTCAGTTTCCTACATTTGCTGGTTGTTGAGTGTGAAAAAGACAACTGTCTAGTTAGAAGCATTGAGTGTATCTCCATGGACAGTCCCAGCGTTCCTCATACAAACTCCTTTTTCACCATGGTGAGAAGAGTCTTTATCAGGATCACTGTAGTGTGTGTGTGCATGCACGTGCAGCCTCCAAACCATCAAATAATAAAATAATACATATAAAATAAGAAATGAGAGCTGTTTTCATGGATAGATTCTGTGAAGCTGGGATCTAAAGACTGCAATCCTAATTGACCTTACTAGAGAGCAAGTCCCATTTGTGCCAGCTCGATACAATCCGGTTGCAAGGGTCACGCATGAATCTAATCCATTTTCTGTTAGGCAGTCATATTAGGGCTTCCTCAGTGAAAGGCTGCCTATTCTCTTGCCATTCTTGATTAATATCTGAGGAAGCCTCCTAGTTAGTTCTATGCTCCAGTCACTGTTAACCTTCCCATCCTTGTAACCTGTCCAAATCTGGCAATAGTTCTATCTTGTTTCAAACAGTCCGCTCTTGCCACAACTCATGTCGTGTTCTTACCTTTCAGCTTATGAGCAGCAAAGCAGTCCATAACGTAGCAGATACCTAAAGAAATGCCTAAGCCAGAATAAGCAGCCTCTCAGAGTGAAGGCCTTGTGGGGCAGGCCTAGGGAAGACTTCAGCACCCTAGAAGCTGAAGCTGACTTCAGCTGAAGCTGTGCATTGCTGTAAGCCGCCCCGAGGCTTTGGCAAATGGAGCGGCATAAAAATGTTTTAATAAATAAATAAATAAATAAATAAATAAGCTTTTGCTTTGAATTAGATACTCACAAAGAAAGCCTGAAAGATCAGTTGTAGCAGAATAGTCTTCTTCCTCACTGGAGTATGCAGAATGCACCCTGTGATCTTCATCCTCACTGGAGTATGTAGAATTTGCACTGTGCATAATTTGTACATACTTTATAGAAGAGAAGTTGTTGGGAGGAGGAACAGTGTGGTCCAGCTTGGAATTTCATCAGGGTGAATTGGACAAAATGTTATCTTTCATCTTGCTTGCATATGTAACTTTCATCTTCTTTTCATAGGTATATGCCCTCCTCCGTGAGTAATTAGGGTTGATCAGATAAAGCATGAAAGCTTAGGGCTGTATGTGGGCTATGGCTGGCCATTTCAGAAACTACATTCCTACTGGCATTTTCAAGCTGGGAGGAGCACAGGGAGGAGTAAATTCAAAGGACAATGGTTACCCTATTTTTGAACAGGCATACTTCTCCTAGGATGAAAAACATTGATCAACAAAGAAGCAGTTAGTTCTATTGCAGTGATCTTTGCATTGATGCTAATGATCTTATATTAGAGACAGGCAATTTGGTGCTCTCCAGATGTTTAGGACTGCAACTCCAAGAAACCCCAGTTAGCATGGGCAACCATCAAGGATTCTGGGGATTTTAGTCTGAAACATGTGGAAGGAACCAGGTTTCCTATCTCTATTTGATTAGATACTTTACCAGAGAGCAGGCAGAATGCATTGGGGCATTTTCCCCCTCACTGTAATCCAGGGTCAGTTCTTTCTCCTGGAAACCATCCCTTAATGCCTGTTCTCCTCTATACACTATCAGTCTGAGCTCAGAAAAATCTGACAAGCCCCATGCAGCAAACAAAACTGGAATGTACCATCATAGCTTCAGCATTGCTGGAAACAACCACACCATGAAAGAAAAGTAGCAACATGGTCAGAGGACTGAGGAAGATATGAATTGTCCCCCATATCTGAAGACTTAACAGGAAGAAGCTTTGTAACTGTATAAAATTGCAGCTGAACAAACTCATGGCAAACATGACCCAAAGGCTACAATTGTGGGGCGGAAGTCATGAAAGAAACTAGATGTACTGCAGACAAATGCTTGTTTTGCACTCCAAAATAAAAACAAAACAAAGGAAAAAAAGATAAACTAATTGACATGAATGGAAATAAACTGCAAAGGGGATTGGGAAGGGAATTCGGCTCCCCAGAAAAATGTGGCAATAAAGATAATGAGACTACTCATGAAGAATAGCTCTGGTACAGCTGAAAGCCACGACATTCAAAGGGAGTGACTGGATCAGATCAAAGACCTTTCTGGTCTAGTATTCTTTTCCCACAGTGGCCAACCAGTTCCCTGTGGAAAGACCGCAGAGTAGGACATGGCTGCAAAAGCACCCACCCATGTGTGATTGCCAGTGATTGGTATACAGGTACATATTGGTATATATCTAGTAGCCGTTGACAGGTTAGATACAGCTTGATAGGGCAAGGCAAAGAAAAGAAACAGAATAAAGAAGTAAAGAAAAAGAAAGAAAAGAAACAGATCAGGAGAATACATTACAAATCATTGAATTCCAAGGGGAATGCATACAAACAAGCAGGGGAGGGACTGTGATGACAAACAAAATTTTCCTGGAAAGGATGAAGGTGTGCTAGTAAGCACTAATCAGACTTCCACAGTATTTTGTTAGTTGCCTGAAGATACTTTAGATATACCATGAAATATATCCTGAGATTCATTCAGTTAATTAAAAGAGCTCAGTCGCATCTTTAAGGCTAATTATTTGGGGGGGGGGGGGACATAAGGCTTTGGAAACAGAATTGGGTTTTGCAAAGGCATGAATGGTGTAATGAAATATGGAATATGGTAATTAATGATAAACTGACGACAGAAATAAAAATTAAAAAGGGTTAATGAAAGCAAATGAATATAATGAAATTTGGGAAGATTTTGTAAAAGTAGTACTGATAGAAGGCAAAGGCTGTAAACCCAATCAAGATTATATGAATTTCTGGAGGGGATGTGGGTATAATTGAAGTATATTATATATTAGTAATTGTTATAGTATGTGCATGATGGTAGCATTGGTCTCCAGGGTGGTGGGTGCACTCTTTCATTTATTCTTTTTTAAATTGTGTTCTTTTATATTACTGTTGTTGTAATTGTATTTATGGTATTTTCCTGTCTAAAAAAAAGTAAAAAGGGGGGAGTAAAAAAAAAGCCTTCAACTGTTATCTACCTTATCAGATACTAGTGTGAAATAAATTTTCTGTTCATCTGAAGAACACTCAGTCTCTCAATAAAATCATTTTTGTAGTCTTAAAAATGCAGCCAAACTCTTTCATCACTTCCTTAATAAAGATTAAAAAGGTACCTTTATGTAATCATAAAAAACAAAAACAGGCATGCTGGTCCATGAGGGGAGGAAATCTAAAATTCACAGTTGAACTATCTTCTGTTAGGACCAAACACAATGCCACAAAAATGGGCAAGTTTTGCTCTTCTCCCACACTCTTCAGCAGGCTAGATGATGCAAAAAGGGTAGGGGAAGAAAACGTCCAGAAATGTGGCCAGATGTGATGGTCCATGAGTTTTCTAGACAAGGCTGTGCCTGTATTTTGTTGCAGAAATGAGATCCAAACTCAATAGGAGGAACATTCCCTTTGTAGGTTTTAACCTCTAGGTGGCACTATGGTATAGCAGAGTTACACAATCACAGGAAAGAGGTTTCTTTCCATTATCAGAAAAAAAAAGTCCTATTATTCATTTTCTTTTTTTAAAGTGCAGTTTAGAAAAATAGGCATAATAAAGTGTCACTATGTGGTCTAAAGAATCTATAAACTGAGTATGGAATGACAAGTGCACAATAAATGCATTTAGATGACTACTAAATTTGTTCATCTGTGAGAGGCAAATCATGTTGCAAGTTACAATATTCAAAGGAGTACCAGAAGCTAGGGAGTCTTGGCCCAATAGAAGGAGATGATCCAAATATGCCATTTTAGAAACAAAGGGCTGATCATATAAGAAAAAATTAACTTCACTGCAGCCAAATTCTATTGTTTTCTGCAGTTAAAACAAGTGGAGTGGATTTCCTGTAAGATATTTTAAAAAATAAAGAAATAAAATGGGATTAAAGCTAAAATCCTATACCGCTTATTTAAGTGTAATTTCCACTGCCACCAGTGGGAATTAATGTTGGGAAGACATGCATCGGATTGCACTGTAAGCCACTTTAGTATAGACTCTATAAAAGAAGGGAAGAAAATGTGTATAAGCCTGCTGCATGAGTTCTCTCCACATTTCCAGTGAGACACTGTAGCAGCCTCTCAAAAACATAGGAAATTCTGTTTTAATGAAAAGATACAAGTTCTTTGCACAGCAAGAGGGTGTCACTTCTCTTACTTGGATCATTCTATTGGTGCGTAATTTACGATTTCCTTGATCTCTGTTGGGTCAGGAGAAAAATTGGTACAGATTGTATACACATGCCATATGTAGCATGCAATACTCCCATAATATGGTGGGAGGGTAAAGCGCTGCAACTCATGAGTAGGAGTATGGAAGCTGACACCCTTCAGTTGTTTTGGACTACAACTCCCATAAACACAATGTCTGGCATTGTTGGCTGGGGCTGACAGAAGCTGAAGTTCAAAACATCTGGAGGATACCAGGTAGCTCAGAAAGCTGAGAAAGGATGTAAACATGATTCTAATATTTAAAGGCCAAGTAAGTTCATTTTATATTTATTTTTAAATATAGTATTATGCAGTAGTCATTAGAAAAGTTATCATAAGGTGCTTGTAACCACTTGGAAATGCGATAGCAACAAAGTCAGGCATAGGGGTTGGCCACTATTCCAACCCCTATACCTACCTGGCTTTCCAGAGAGCTATAGAGGGTTGCTACAAACAAGTTTGGGGGAAATCATTGCCCTTTTGCCCGATCTAGTGCGATAGCACTTAAGCAGCAATCATGGGTTATCTAAATCTACACATCGAGCATGTACCCAGGTACAGTTTTCTCAGAAGTCAATGTACTCTGAAGTAAGGATGCCTCTGTATGAAAGGGCTCTTGCAGTGATGTTTGTGGGATACAGAAAGCACTGCCAAATCTTTAAGGGCTCTCAGTCCTTTTGATGTGGGGTAATGGGCACAACGAGGCTACCCACACAAACCAGATTGGAATGTACTACAGGTACTACCAGCGAGTAATGTTCTCATGGAAGCTGTGGTCTCCATTTCTGTTTATTGCAAACTGGACAGCACCTACTCTTCTTACAGACATTACCTTTGCAGGAAAAGAGTGGGAAATTCACTACTTTCAGAGAAAAAGAATGGAAAAAGACTGAAGCAACAAAGATGATTTTGTCATAATTTTAACACTTGGAAAATCCAGTCAGGTATTCCTTGTATACATATGGGAAGGTGGTTCCAATATGCCATAGAAAATAGCATATATTTTCTAATTATGAACCATATTGAGTTCACACAGGAGGAAATGTATCTTGGGGATTTTGTAAAAGAAGGCCTTGCTGAATCTGGAAGCAGTAGCAGAAGGAAAATGAATAGGCTAAGAAAATAAGGCAATGGGCACCAAAGGAAAGAGAGTCACTGGCTAAAAGGAAGGTGGTGTCATAGAAGGGGAGGGTTTCAAGGCAGATGATGTGATCAGCACCACCAAAGGTGTGAAACAGTTCAGGAAAGCTTGAGGTCCAGCTTGGCAAAATCAGCCTATCATGGAAGCAAAATAATTGCAGCTATTATGACCTCCTCCCCCGTCCCCACCCCAAGTATATTGCTCTTTGAGCTGCAATTTGAATTCTCTTTATAACAGGGGATGAGATGACAAAGAAGGAATCTCTACCAGAACACTGCTGAGAACAGATTGACAGAGATCAAATCCTTCAGCTCTAATTTTAACAAGGCCACTCCTATCCCTTTGCTTCCTTCACTTCTGAGTTCTTCCCTGATTTTAAGCACAATTATCTTCCACCATTAATGAGGTTTTGAGATTACTTCTCACCTGCTCCATTCCACTAACTTCTTTCCACTCACTTCCAACTTCTTGAGCAGACTGTCCTCCAGCTGCAATCTATTCCAACTTACTTTTTACCTACTGTGCTGTATGCTATGCAACTGATTTGTACCATGCTTTCCGGTTATCTCCTTTGTCTAATTCTTAATAAGTCTTCTCAGTCATGATTCTTCTGTTTATCATATTATCCACTCTGATACATTTAATACGGTAATAAGGACATGGTCTCTTCTCCAATGTCTTTTCCCCTTCTTCATGTAAAGGAAATCATTTAAAAATTTAGTGTCAGTTCTTGCTAAAATGAAGCTTAAGATCTGTGATAATATTCGAGCATTGTTAGTGTTCTTCTAATGAAGAATTTGTGTGTGCATGTTTATGATATCAGTAATAACAGAAACTGAAACAGTATTATTCTTTTATTCTTATAAGGTACAAGAAGGGATCTGGTCACAAAGGGAAAGGTAAAACCAATACTAAGCTCAGTTGTGACAACTAGACTGTGGGTAACAAATTGGAAACAGCTATTAGGAACTACTGGAGAAGTATGGCTAAAAAAATGTGGTTGAAGGGCAGAGTGTGAATCCCTAAAAAAAACAAAAAAACCCTTTGTTATTCTGTTTTACTAATGTTGCATCTGCATTATAAACTGGAATTATTTCAGTTTATACAATTTATTTCTATGCAAAACCTGTTTTTAAAAATCCTGAAGTCTAATGGTTGTTATATGATACCTAGGGTCCAATTAGATATGACCCACATTTTGGAACATAAGTAACAGCAAACTTAGGAGCAGAATGAGGTGGACAATTTCAAGTAGAGAACGGGTAGTTAGAAAGGACATGCTCAACTGTTCCTTAGTATTAAAAATAATGAAATGAACAAATGGGGAGGTGGAAGAATCTACAACTGTTGGAGTTCCATTGTCAATAATATTCTACCTCAACAGTATTTTATTTATTTTTCGATTTATATCCTGCCTTTTTCCTACAAAGGGCTCAAGGCAGCTTACATCTCCTCCATCTTATCCCCACAACAACAACCCTGTGAGGTAGGTTGGGCTGAGAGTCTGTGACTGGCCCAAAGTCTCCCAGTTGCCTCCCCCCTCCCATTTTTCCTTCAGCAAGAATAGTCTTTTCAAAGTTAGATACTTGCATTTTCTCTGGTAGTTCTTTGATCTTGGTACAAATTTACTCATGTGGTTGATAGTCTCTGTAGACAGAAGCTAGTTACATCTTCTTGATCAGATATTTTTAATAACACTGATTATAAAGTCAAGTGTTTCCAACCAATTTTAGTAAGAAGATAACAGAGGATGATTGGAGCAATTGTTCATTTTCCATGAACAGTCTCCATTGGGATGGGGGAATCAGAGAGCTGCAGCTTTCTCCCAGCCCTCATCAGTGTCCATTAAGTTCATTAGGTGATAATCTGCAGATATAGAATTCAGTAGGCTAATGACCAGTTCTGTCCCACCCCTCCCCATCTGCTCAAGTTCCTGCTGTCTCTGCCTAGCCATATTCAGGAAGTGAATAAAAAGGAGGGGGTCATCTTCTTAGGCCCCTCTAATTTATAGACACAGGGTGCTCTTGGATATCTAGAAATCTATTACAACTAAGTGGTGAGTTCAAAAATGCTCACCACTTAGTAAGAAGACTGCAATTCTTGATCTTTTTAGCTCAAGATCTAGGTAGTTAACTTGCGTTTTAATAAGCTTCAAGTTACACTTCCACATAATATCCTCTACATGGACTACCAGAGATGACTCATCAAACACTTCAGCAGGTGCAGAATGCAGCAGCCTCTCTACTGCTAAGCAGTTTATCAAAAGCTCAGGAATACAGCATGACAGTGTTCAAGTTAGGACACCACTGAAATCAATTTACAATCCTTATGAGATCCTGAACTACTTAGTTTATAGCTTAGAGGCGATAAACGATTAGAGAGACTCATAAGCCAGTTTACTCAGATTGCTTTTAATACACATTTGTATCACATCACCACAAACTCCATCTAACCACAGTTCTGAGAGGTAGATCAATCTCATTATCAACCTTTGATGGACCTGGCTGTTCCAATGTGTGTGTGTGTGCAAGAGAGAGGGAATGAACACAACATGACACGTCAGTAATGACCTCTCTTCAGCCTCTACATGAACTGATGATATTTATACAACAAAAGGAAAAATATGAGATGGCAAAGCTCCCCGTGGGAAAAAATGAGTGATCTTTGCAGATGTACAAGATATTAACCTTTCATACAACTGAGTGGAGAACCATAAATATGATCAAATGTCAATTCACTGGTGGGGAGAAGTTTGCACCAATTTTCAGTGTGCACATGCACACATACAGGACCTTCCTGACTGGCCTTCTAAACAGAAGCACTCATGAAGGCAAAGTCTCATTTTGTTAAGAGAAATGGCAGGGATTAACTAGCCTAGAAATATACAGGTGCAAGAGTATTGCTCACTTCAGCAGAAAACAGCTCCTGAACCAGTGTGTGAAACAAAGGGGAAAAAATGAAATGTGATTCCATCAATTCCAAAACTGACCAGAATAAACTTGAACTGACTATGACAGGGGGTAAAGCATGGTCCTAGACTAAGGTCCAAATCCTGCAAGGAGCACTGACACTTATCACAGTCAGTGGATCACTGGTGGGTATCAGTCACATCTTTGATAAGAAGTAAAACCCCAGGGTGGTCAGCAGCTTCTGACAAGACAGAATCTTGGATCAGCTGGTCTGAAGCAAAGACTCATTTCAAGAACCAGCTACTTCAATATAGGGAGAGCAAGCATTTTTGTCAAGGGCCTTCTAGAATGGGCACATTTGGGAGTCACAATACAAGATCAACTGCCAGTCAGTCTCAACCCACTGCAAGGAGTTTGTAGCAGATCCACTTCCTAACATGCCCTTTGGCCACAGCATTTCAGGGTTTAACACAGGATTTTCTTTTTACAGCACAAAACCAAACCTGAAATGTAATTGTTGCTAAATCGGTGCTGACTCAAGTGCACAGTTTTCATAGCTATCAGTGCTATTGCCATGCCATGTCTAGCACCAATAACAATGTTAATAATAAGAAATATGGCAAGCCATACCCATAGTCTGGACAGTAAATAGAGAGACCAGTACTCCCCATGGTACTTTAATTACGTATTTTCAAAAGAGTTATGTTCAATAGAATATTTTCAACACTGCCCATTCAGTCAAGGGCTTTTCCCTGCAACAATACTGATTTGCTGGAAGACCCTACAATTTACTTATGACCAATAGTGTTTGCCTATAATTTTTTGCCCCCTGTTGCCCGAGTCCCTAAGTAGCATTCTGTTCCGCCAAAAAATGCATATTGCTTAAATGCTCGTACTACTTCACAAGATGTAGACCACCATGCTCTGGAAGAGAATTTCTAAGACAGCTCTACTTTTCCCTAAGATACTTCAGAAACCAATGGCTGATTAGAGAGCAAAACAAAATTGTTACTGTTCTTCTCTTGAAAAAGCCCTACACAACACATCTTCTGCCTGCTAGGAGCCTCCCTCAGTCTCTTGGCTATGTGGCAGTCTCCTTGAGTTTGGTCTGGACTGCCCCTGGCCTCTTGGCATTTTAGGATAAGATCCACGTTCTCTGGTCTTGGCCTTTTCCCATCGCCTGCTATCCTGCATGGCATGTTGACCTTGCCACTTGGCAGGTCCCCTGTGCTCAATACGGCTAACCTCCACATTGTCTTCCTCTCCATTTTGACTCTTCTGCATTGGTGCCCATTTCCCCACAATGTTTTTCTCTTCTCTCATATATGTTCTCTCTTTGGCATGTAAAATGCTACTGGCACACAGCCCTTTTTTATCTGTGAAAGAAGACACCTGGTCTCCATTACAGGATTTCTGGAAGTCTTGGTTATATTTCCCACAGCTCCATTGCCCTCTTCCCTTCCTCCGGTTTGACCTCCCAGTGAAGGCTCTGGATTCTCCCTCAGCAGTGAGAAGATGACTTTCTGCTGATATTTCCAGTGACTTGTAATGCTGTTGCCATCCAGGGCCCCGTAAAGATGGATTTTCTTCTCGAGTCCTCTCTCTTTTGCTATGGTGATGTAAGGTAATAGGTGGTCTCCCTGACTCTTCAGGTTCATTCTTCACTGGAACAGCCTTTCCAGTTTCCTGAGTGTATTTTGTGCCTGTTGGTGGCTTCAACTCCTCAGCATCTGTGACGCTTTCAGAAGTGGTTATACCCTCATGATCAGTGGCACCTGAAGGCTGAGAAGAGAAGCTAAGATGTAGTACAGAAAACACACAGACTTGACACAGTTTGATTCCTAGCCTATGAATGGAAAAGATGTACAAAAGGAGCTAAAATATGTCAAATACAAATACAAGACCTTTTTATTCAAACAGTATTTTAATAATCTTTAATATTTATAGTTTTAATTATGCAGCCAGTGTGTTTCCAAGTTTTAATTGTAATTGTAATTCTATTTGTTTTATTTATTTGTGTTGTGAGCTATCCCAAGGCTGTGTAGCAATGGGGACAGCATATAAAAACTTTAAATAAATAAATAATCCATGGGCTTGGTTCCTACAATGAATGCCTCACCACAGTTTACTGCAAAATGCTGCTAGAAATAGGAGTTAACACATCTTTAAGGAACTTGCTAAGATGTAAATATCAAAGCCCTCTCTTGTGGTTCCATATGGAACAATGTCAGCAAGCAAAAGCTGCCAGCTGCTTTCTCAGGAAAGATTACTTCTTCACCTATTGTGGAAATGATACTTCATTCTTCTTTCAATATGACTTTTTGTGATATTCTCTCAGTAACTTTTTATAGTCACTAACCTTTTGCAAGCTAATGAAGTAGCGATTCTTCTCTGCTTCAGGGTCAATGATACCTCCTTTTTCTTGTTGTCTCTGGTAAATTAGGCGCAGTTGCTCTCTGTGCAGCAATGTCTGTGTGTCAGGATGATACACCTCCTGATAGGAAAATATCCATTATGGTAATCAGGCAACTAGCAAGAAAATAGTCTTCTGGCTCTGCACTACACTACACCTTCTGGCTACCCAAACTGGCCCAGAGTATGGTCAGAGGGCACATAAGGCATTGACCATGTTGAAGCTAAGCAGGTCTGCGGATGGCCTGAGCTTGGAGGGGAGACCACCTGGGAACCACATGGAGCCACCTTTAGTTCCACTAAAGAGAAAAGGTGGAATATAAATACAATAAATGAACAAATACAAGTTTGCTATGTGTCTTTTTGAAGGGTCCACATTGCAAGCAAAGTATGCAAGAAACACCATTTTCCCCTAAGGACAAGGTGTGGACAATTACAGTCATTCATACATAGATACTAAATTCAAAGTATCCATTTTTAAACCCCTAACTAAAGCTGTTACATAATGTGCAATGGGAATCACAAAGCACCAGAAGATGGAGCAAGGAAGAGACTGTTTCTGTGTTACAATTGCAAATGCTTTGCCCCTCAATTTCTTCAAACAGGTCAGATTTCATTCATCAGCTGTCAATTAGGATGGAGGAAAAATCAACTTTTTTTTAGCACCCATCTAACCAATCAGGAGCAGGAACAGAGACCACCACATAGGTGTTTAGAGGGAAATCAAAGGTTCCTTCTGCACGCTTTCTCACCATTGGCTGCTGTGGGAGTGGTGCAGCTTGCAGCACTGCGAGGTTGTATACTAGAGGCTTCCTGCACACAGGGCACTGCACTTCAATATCCTGTACATGGAAAGTTAACAACAGCAAGCATCTTAGGTTTGAGATAAATTGAAACATAGAGTATTAAATTACTGCCAGCATACTCCACCCTAGAAGGTAGCAATTTCCTAATAAATTAGCCCTGATCTTGAGTGCTTTAGCACTCAAGGCCAAAGTAATTAGCAAAAGGAAAACTCCTTACTACACAATGTTACTGGGACTGCTTAGATCAAATGTGTGCAACAGATGTCCTACAGACCACATGGGACCTTTGTGACATGGTCCTGAACTGTCTTTTTTTAAATGGAAAAATGGCAATTGAGTGCTAAGGGTCAACTTTGGCCTGTAAGCAAACTAAATTTTACTCCTTTAGTGCTCTATGGTGCTCCAGATGCTATTTTCACTTTTTTATTAAAATATTTCTTGGGATATGCCACAGACTACAGCACCTCAAATGGGCTCCAAGGGCTGAAAAGGTCTGAAACCTCCTGAGGTTGCACACCTGTTTCCTATAGTCTGAGCTCAACACCAAGGTTTCCTGAGTGCTACTTTTATTTCATGGCATAGATGTCTGCCATTAAATTTTTCTTCTTAGATACTTCTAAATCTTCCTAATATAGCAGCTTACATAAAATTAATGTAAAGTGTTCCACTTTGGAAAGTCATCACCAAGAAACTTACACACAAATCGTTGAGACTGGGGGACAGAAGGTAATTCTATTTCTTGTATAACTTTTATATACAAAAGAGCATTGTTGCCCAGAGGCAAAATTATTCTTTCCTCCTCCCACCATTGGCAGAATAGCTGTTGATCCATTCATACTCTTTCTTATCAGACATGTGTCCTTCACAGAGAGAGCATACATATTGTTTATTCATTCATGCTGCCGCTGTTAAGACCATCTATAGAACTGTATTATTTTAATAATGGCTGGAGCAGGAATAGATGTATTGTTTATCTCCCAGGATCCTTAAACCAGTTTCTCAGACTTTGCTTATTGATCACAGTGCTGTTACCACTGAGAAAAGAACTTACAAATGAGAAAGTATGCATGACAAAGGACATGGGGTAACTAAGTGACATCTAGCCTGGAAATTTTTTTCCATAGGTCAACATGTCACAATTGGAAAGATTGCTGCAGACTCTGAAACCATCTCTGGGGAAATCAATAGATAGTTAGAAGCTGTTGGGATGGAAAGAAAATGGAACAGTACCTCTGTTGGCATAAGTGTCAATGGCTGTGTTCTCTCCTTCCTCTGTAAACGAATCTCCTTCTCCATATGCTCTGTATAACTTGCAAGGCAACGTGAATGGAAGTAGTGGTAGCATGGAGTTTTAGTGAAAGCTTCATTCTCCTGCACAGTGCAAGGTAAATATTTTTTATGAATAGGCCAGCTTGCATGTCATGGCAGCAAATCATGGTGTGATTTGCCAGGAAATGTGCTGCATCTAAGTTAACTGATTTGGTTTAATTGGAAGTTGTCAGCATGACATGTGAACTCAGACTAAAAGGTTGTTTAGGACCTAAATAACTCAGTGGTTAATCCAACAACAAACCACAGGTTAACTGCTGCATTGTTTAACCCTTAAGCAACTCATTGGTCTGAGTTGACATGTCATGCTCATACTGACAAAACTGGCCAACTGGAGGTTGTTTACAGAATGCTGAAGTGGCTCACAGGTAGCATGTGTCCTCACAAACTGCAAATTAAGTGACTCAGTTTGCCACTGTGATCTGTGCACTGAGTTATTAAGTCCAACACTGTGTCTTTTCAGAATACAGCTCTCTCTGTGTTATTTTCTAGTTCTACATCTACAATATGTAAATAATAGTTTGGAGCCAAAGAGTTACATGCTGTATACTACATGTACAAGTACAAGGATTCCCTGCATTACATCCCCAGTGCAGAATTTTGACCTCCACAGACTATGAAAAGCTGTTCTTGAGGATGGGACAGTGCACTCCAGAATATCATATAATGTGCCACACTGGAGTGTGCATCAATGCATGCTAAAGTATGGTGAAAGTAAAACTGGCAATCTTCTCATAAATGAGAATAGAAGGCATAATGGACTTTACATCCAAGTAGGACTGCCTTACCTTACAGGGTAGAAGCAAAGATTACTGTTGAAATATACCGTATTTTTCCGACTATTAAGACGCCCCCATGTATAGGATGCCCTCCCTCAGTTTTACCGATCTCTGAGCAAGCAAGCTGCTGCTGTTGTGTGCGCGCCTGCTGCCTCCCCTTGCACGCCCACCTCCCCTCCTCGCACACCCACGATCATGCCAGTCTCCCCCCCACCCCAAGTGTGCCCGCAGTTCTCCTCTCCACCCTCTGTGTATAAGATGTCCCTCCATTTTTAGGTAAATATTTTAAAGAAAAAGTATTGTCTTATAAACGGAAAACTATGGTATATGAAATGCTCTTGTTGATATTATAGAAATGTTGTATTACAGAAATGCTCTTTTAATGTTGTTACAATATACAAGCAAGTACCTTGAGAAGCTAGGGAGCAGGAATCCTGTGACCTTAGTTCTCAAGATGTTGAAATTGCCCCTTCATCTCTGGTAATGATGCCTTCTCGACAATTGCATAGTTAAACTGCTATACTTTAGAACATGTAACACATGCTAGGCTGTTAAATCTCTGGTCTTATCTGGCAGAAAATTCTGAAAAATCAGAAACACTACAAAACCCTCCAATTGCTGCTTAGGTTGGGCATGCATGCCTGTGCATCCCTATACACAATATTTTTCTGTGGCTGTTAGTGACCATCATGTTGGCTTTCTTGTCCATCACCACTAAGTTCCAAAGTTTGTAGCATCACAACTTTTCCTATTAAAAAGGCAAACTAATTTAATTTCACATTTTCAGGAAGACAGGAAGTGGACACCCTGACAAAGAACTTACCTTCTTTTGCAAGATATAATTACCTTGCAAAAAACTGTTACAGCATAAAAATTAAGATGAAAAACTGAATCACTTCCTTAGCTTGAGATAAAACATGCTGGAAAACTTAGGACAAAAGTTAATTCTGCCATTATATAGCATCAAATCCAAACATGCTTCATACCTCACCATTAAACAGACCTTATGACACCAACATACTTTGTTTTTTGTGCCTCTAGCTATAAAATCTCATCTGATTCCCTCTCCTGCCAGAAGTGGATCACTATACATATCCCAACAGGTTCTCATTCTGACTTTCTTCATGAATGAGCCCCAGCATTGTAGTATTGCACATTTTCTTCATATCAGTGATTTAAATTTCTCTGGATCTGAATATATGAGATGCCAGTCCAGTATGCCCTTACCTGAAAGCCATACAGGCAAATTACACACTGCCCATGAGGGACATTGTTGTCAGTAAGAATTTCCTTTCCCTTCTGTAAAGAGAGGTAGAGGCAGTCTATTAGTCTATCACACTAAACCCATAAATAGCCCAAGCCAGAACTAGCCCGCCACCAATAGGTCTGGACAACTTATCAGACCTAACTTCTTCCCTATGTCTTCTCTCTTACCTCTATTAGCTCATATAACATAGGTGTGCCCAGTCGGGCTTCAGTAACACTTTGAAGTGTTTGTGAAATCCTAGAATGGGAGCAAAGAAATATTATGTCAGAGAAAAAGGTAAAAATCAATGTTGGAAGAGATAAGATGGCAACATTTAAAGGGATAGCTAAATCAGCCAATTGCAGTCACAAACCGAATGCCCACACAGGTACAAAATTAATCTAATGGGCCACGACTTCCAATTATGACAACTGAAGGGCTAAAATGATTGTAAGATGTGCCATATGATTAAACTACTGTTACTATGGAACAAGAAGAGTGAAGTCACTTCATACATGCAGATTGCCATTGCCACAAGATGAGTGTCCCAGTGGCCTTGGTAATGCAAGACTCCACTCAACTTACTCCATGACTGAAATGCAATTCCTTCCTCATTTGGTGAACTGCAATGGCACTTGGGATTGCCTGGCTTTTCAGAATCAGGACACTTATGGTTTATGAAAACTCAGATGTGCAGAAACAGAGAGACTGAGGACTTTGTTTTGGATGAAGGCAAGCATGTCTTTATGCCTCAAAATATATTTTATTTTATTTTATTTTATTTTATTTTATTTATGAATGAATGAATGAATGAATGAAGCTTCTATGCTGCCCCACTTACCGAAGCCTTGGGGCAGCTCACATCAATCAATAAATAATCACAATATAAAAATAATATAATTTGAGTCGACCGGGCCAAGGATATTAAATAAATAAATAATATTAACAATTAAAATGACATTTAAATAAAAAGGTCTTCACCTGGCACCGAAAAATGAATAACGACGGTGCCAGGCGGACCTCTCTGGGGAGCGCATTCCATAGATTGGGCACCACCGCAGTGAAAGCCCTCCTCCGAGTACTTACCCTCCTAATATCCTTCACAGAGGGTTCCCGTGATATTAGTTCCTTATCTCTTGGTTCATCAGTCAATAACTTCTTCCAGAAAGGTCTTAAATGTATCCCCCCCTGCCCACAACCTCTATCAACTCAAAAGCACATTTGATATAGATGGCTACAATTTGCAGTCTGGCCATGCAAATTCCTTCTCATCTTCCCAACACAAGTAACACAGAAACAGCTTGACCACCTCTCCTCTATAGGATAGCTCTAAACAAAGCAAAAAATGTATAATACAATTTCTTGTACAGGGACAAAGCAAGTTGTCAGAAACAATTTTTCAAATAAGAATGTGCAACAGATGAAACAATCACTTGTAGTGAATTGAAAGACTGAATTTATCAGGGTGCACTTACTTTTGGATTTGCTCATCAGAGAGCCCTCTAGGATTCAGAATAGCTATCTTTGGCACTTCTTTTGGATACTAAGAAAGAAAGAAAAGAAAGCTATGTAAAAATGAACAACACATTCACATGCCATAGTGAAAGACCACAGGGGGCTTTTACCTGAGGAGGCACAGACAGCACAAGAGTGAAGCAGACATACTGAGAGTCTTGGTCCTCTGCAGTTGCTGGATGAAGTGTGATGGAAATTTCACAGGGCACAGACCTAGGGTTGGAGAAAGGCTGGGTCATAAGAGCACTAACTGGGGAAAAATGGAACAGAAAGAATGAAGCAGGTGCCATATTGTTCTTTCTTCTCTCAGATTCAAAGGCAGCTACAGTGTGCATATAACAGCCTTGATGCATATTCTGCTTGGGTCAAGTTGGTGGATAATAAATGAAACAAACAAACACACTGTGTTCTCACTAAGGTGACATTCAGAATATAGCTATTCAACATCAGAAGGAAAGAGAAGATGTAACAAAGACTTCTGGGTCAACTTGAATCATTAAGTGCAAATATTCTGAAAGTCTACAAGAAATATTCTGAAATTTAACTCCAAAATGGTATAAAGAAAAGAGATTTATCTGAACCCTCCACACTAAGAATGAGTCTATAGAAGTTCTGAAAATTACAGAAGTAATCAAGACTGTTACATCATGACTGGAAAACAGGTAGCTTTCTAGATGGATCCAGTTCAGGGCACCTTTGATTCTGATCTAGCCCCCATATGACAATTATACTTTAATATAAAGTCTATGTGTCACATGGAAGGAGAAAGTCTTCCTCAAGAATACAGCTGACCTTCCTATCACACTATGCCCGTGATTACCCCCCTGCCCCACACAGCTGTTCAGCTTGCACAGAAAGTCTTCCATTGTCTTTATGAGGAGGCTTTCTGTGTGGGTAAGTTATGATTGTGTGGCTGATCCTTCCACCATTGGCATACAGGTCTAAGAAGATTAGCCATTAAAGAAGTTGGCCATGTGGCTAAAAGTGTTTTCCTACTCATGCTTTACATCTGAGAACCAGAAATGCATTTGACAATGCTGCAATACCTGCCATTTCCTTTGGATACATGTAGTTCATCCAAATAGATGGACTCCAAGACTTCAATCTCTGAAGTGAGAGCCCTGAAAAGAAAAAAAGTGATGTTTTCTCCAAGTCTCTCCATCTGAACAGCACAAGGTACAGTAACTTAAACTGCCCCCAAGCTAGCAGAAAATATGACTAGTAGCTCCTGACTGGACTGAAGCAAGTCACTGGAGCTTTTAGCTCTGTTGACTTGCTCTGGTAATGAGCATTTCTGCTCACTGCCAGGTTTATTTCAGGAATTGCTAGTTTTTATTGCATTAGGAATCCATTCAGCTGCCATAACCAACCTACAGGAGGCGCAACATTTTTACAGCATTACTGTAGCAAGCACATTCCTCCTAACAGTTATCATGCAAACTGCTCTTAAAGCAACAGGGAACATAAAAACATTAGAAAAATCATGATAATTAGTATTTACAAACATGTTGCCCATTCCTAAATCTGGTAGCAATCCAATTAAAAAACTGCAGTGAGAAAACACTAAATGCTTAGCTGAAAGGGGAAAAAAAAAACAAAACAAAACTGGGGGATAGCAAGGCCTCCAAAGTCAACACTGGCACAACAAAATGTGTAAATTTGTTGTTGCTGCTGCTCATAAAAATTAAAACACACACACACATCTATTTGTGATAGATCTCTTCTAGAATTCCATCTTAGTTGGTAGTTAACCAGAAGGAATTGTCTCTTTTCATTCCGTAATTCAAGAGTTACAGTCTTATACAATGAGAAACAAGCAGAAACAGAGCTATAATACGTCTTTGTTGTTGTACAGAGTATGTTTATAATATAAATGAAGAAAAATGGTTTCAAATATGGAGTTAGAGCTGAGTATTAGCTAGAGCAGCTGAAGAGATAAGTTCTCAGAATCAGTATGTGTGATTTGAGCGAGAAATGAACACTGATTTCAAACTGTTAAAAAAGGGGGGGATTTGGTCAAAAAGACCAAGGAAAGGAGAAATAAAGAACTGACTGAACAGAGCAAGCTTGTTATTAAGGTTGGATACAGATTCCTGCTCACCTAGTTCCATTTCTGTGAAAAGACAAAAACTGTCACCTTTCTCCTTCTTCTGGGTGTGCCGTGACAAACAACATATAGAGTTGTACGTCCTTTTATTTCAACGGGTCTACTTTAAATAGGTCTGACACTGGAAAGAACCCGACAACGACAAAAGCCCTTCGAGGATTAGATAAAACAAACCAACCAGCGTGGAAAGATGAAGCCTATGAGCAAAAAACGCCTGGATAAAGTACAGAAGGCTCATCCAGTTCCATCCCCGAGGAAAACGGAGACTACAAAAGAATACAACACATTCACTCTCTTACCAATCCACCGCCTCCTCCGACTCTTCCACATCGCCAGCCGCCGCCATCTTGCCTGTGCAGAAACGGAAGCACCTCGAGTCTGGCCAAGCTCGCTTCCGGCGCCGGTAATTGCTAGGCAACCGCGCGGAGACGCCATCGCCCGGCGCCTGCGCCAACGGCGAGCTAACTGACTGGCTGGGATCCCGCGCTTCAGCCTCGTCGTCTCCTCCCGCCCCAGCAGCGCCGGCGGCATCCAGCTGACTCCGCAGACGCGGCGCATCCTTTCGTCAGCCCGGGTGAGGGGATGTGGAATGGAGGCCTGGGTGGCCGATGGAGCCGGTGCCCTGCTGGGACCCTAAACACGACCCGCGCCAATTCTGTTGAGTTCAGCGGAGTTTAAGGTAAGCGGGAAGGGGACTGCAGGCCCCGCTGAACTGGATAAAACCGTTTTCTTTGCAAGAAGTCTTGTATAGGATTGTACTATCGAAATGACAAAAGAAGCTTCTGCGACATCTTGCGCTATAATCCTTTGCATACTTCGACAGAAACAAATCCTGCAATTCCTAGCATTTCCCAGCCAGGATGCTGGGAGCTGTAAAACCATTTTTCTGTCTAAACATGCATGGGATTGTACCTTAAGGTGCCACACAAGCTTCTTTTGTTGTTTCGACAGTGCAATTCCAGTTCAGTGAATTAACTAACTTCTGACTTCCTCCCCCATGCTTTCTATAAAGAGCATTTCGGGGACTGTTACGAAAGTATGACCCCCACTCTAATTTCAACAGTGATGAACACCTATGGAATTTGATTTGGCTACTTAAAGACTAACACCAAAGGGGTGTAGTGTGAAAACTTATAAATGTGGAAGTCTTTTCAGTGTTTTGTAGTAGAGTCTTTTCTTTTTAAAGCATTTTAGTGACATTGGATCCCCAAATCCCATCAAATTTCTAGAGGCAGGATAATAAACTTTCAAGAAGAAGGATTCCAAAACCAAAGTGAGGGAAGGTACTGTATGCCAGGATCACAGTGAGAAGGTGAAGCCAAGACTGGGAAAAATTATTCTGGAATACTCTGGCTTGTGTGGCAAGGGAGTTTGAATCTTTATGAAAGGTCCAGTTAATTCTCAGCAACGGACATGAATCTAATGATGAAACAAAATCTTTGTTATAAGAGGGGGTACAGCATGATTTGTGATGATGTGGTGATTTGAAATGTGAAGCAGTTGATGAGAACAGATGGGAGATGGCTATTAAAAGGAAGGTATAGCTGAAGATTTGTTATGAATGGATGGTAGCAAGAGGATGATACGGGAGGGGAGCAAAAGAACTTAGTTTCCATCTTTGGACTTTCAGGTAGCAAACCTCCAATTGCCAACCCCAAATTTCCATCATGGAACAGTATCATGTGTTGGAGATAATTGGAGAAGGCTCTTTTGGAAAGGTGTACAAAGGACGTCGCAAATACAGTGCACAGGTAAGAGCAGAAGAGAAGAGAGAGGGTGGCCTTCAGCAAGCTGGTGATATAAGAAGTACATGTCTAAGGCTAGAGTGGGCTTTGTTCCACAATTCATTTTTCAGGGACAGAAAAGCAGGTAGAGGGGAAAGTACCATACAACATCTTTCCTAACTTCCTTTTAACACTTTGACAGATCGTGGCTTTGAAGTTTATCCCCAAAGTGGGTCGGTCACAGAAAGAGCTGAAGAACTTGCAGCGAGAGATTGAGATCATGAGAGGGCTTCATCACCCTAACATTGTCCAGATGCTTGACAGTTTTGAGACTGATAAAGAGGTGAAGTGTTTTCTGGGAATCTGTTTTAAGTGTGGGAGGTAGAAAAAAGTGCGCATCACTGGCCATGTGCAGGTCCCTGAGGAGCAGCAAGTCTGAAAGCTGTTAGAGGGTCTATGGCATTCCTGTTCTCTACTAGTAAGGTCCTAGGAAAGGTGATTCAAGAGTCACCTATGAATAGGAGAACTATCTAAAATATACATCCAATCTGGCTGTGGCTACTTGTTTATGCAACTATACCTGGAAATTCATGCGTTGAGATCTATCAGCACAATGGCATCTCCAGGGAATGTTCCAGCACACCCACCTCTCAGAGTGTTGACCCTTCCTTAGCAAGCTTGCTCAGTTATATAATCACAATGTGATCATTCCTGCTGAACTCTCTTCTCTTAATTGTGGCTTTCTGATGCTCTCGAACAGTGCCAAAATAGTTTCGGTCATAACTTAATTTCCCTCTCTACAAACTATGTAAATGTTCTGACTGGACTTCTGGTTTGGCTCTTGTGCTTCAGGTGGTGGTAGTGACAGATTATGCTGAAGGGGAGCTCTTCCAGATCCTTGAGGATGATGGAAACTTACCTGAGGAGCAGGTAACTGTGACTCAAAGAGTGGGATTTGATACTGGCATAAGCAGGAGAATTACTTCAGCAAGGAAAGAGTATCAGCGTGTTAGGGTGGTCAGATCCTGCTACTCAGTGCACTTGCTTCCTGTGTACTTAGCATGAATTGTACCTCCTGAAGAACAGGTGAGTTGTCAGAAGATGGAGATGGGCAAATATCCCAATCTCTAAAAAGTGGAAAAATATGTCTCTGGGTGACAACAGACCTTGAAACTAGGAAGAATACTAGAACTGATGATAAAGTAGTAATTCTACAAGCATCTTGATTTGGGATGGATAGATGTGTCAACCTCAGTCTTACCAAGATGGTCCATTTTTTCAGATCAAGACTATTCCATCCATTTTCTATAAATGCTAGCACTGTAAAAACTAAGTAAAGCCATATGAGAATTCATAAACATTTTTCTAATGTACACATTTTCTGCACTTTTTGAAATATTCACATTTTTGTCCAGATACTTTATATTGTAGAAGTACTCTTTTGTGCATGCTTTTCTCAAATATATGCATTTTGTGTGCACTTTGCTCTTAGATGCACATTTTTGTGCACATTGAGGCAAACTGCATTGGAAGCTTGCATATTTGTGCATTTGGAGCACATTTGCTGAAAGGCACAGGGGGTGCCAGTTGAGTAGATTCCTAAATCCCTTCAATGTAGTGAATTTCTTATCTATATTGATAGTAATAACAGTGCACTAGTTAGTCAAAGCCAGCACAGATTATGAAGAATAAATCTAGTGCTGCCTATCTTATTTCTCTTTACGTTTAGTTTATGCTGTGGATATAATTTATCTTAATTTCAGCAAAGCAGTTGACAAAATTCCCCATGATATTGTGGTTAGCAACCTGGGCTAAATATGAGCTAAATGACAGTATTGACTTGTGCACTTATAGTTGATTAGTAAGCTAAAAGCTTAGAAAGATCATTAATGGTTCCTCATCAAACTGCATAGATGTTTCAAGTGGGGGTTGCAGGACTCTGTCCTTATCATGGGTTTCTTTAGTATGTTTACTAGTGACTTAGATGAAGGGCTAGAGGAAATCCTTGTCACATTTGGAGATGATACAAAACTAGAGCAAATGGCTTGCTCTGAAAACTTAGAAACAGATTCAAAATGACCTTGACTGAACTACCACAGTCCTCTGGAAAGAGTGGCAACTGCAGGAGCTGCTCCAGTCCTCCTCCTCCTGTGTGTGGCCCAGTAAGGAAGAGGCAGGTGACACAGGCAGGGTGATGCACCTTGAGATTGAATTAACGGTGCAGTGGGTGGTGGGCCACATGCTGACTGTGGGAGTACTGAACAGGGAGAATGGAGATCATGATAAAGTAAAAACCATTTGATTGTCAAGTAGATCAAGGTAAAAGCTTGTGACATGGTAATCACATACGATTGCTTGTCGTGTTGTGAGAATGCAGCCATTGAGTTCCATGTGTTTGTGTCTCTTGGGGCAGGAACTATGATCCAAAGTTAAGGTACATCAGCAGAGATAATAAAAAGAATAGAGATTTTATGCTGGATCTGAGGCACATCTCCCCAGTAGTACGTGGCCTTTGCTAAGTGTCAGATTGGCCATTTCTCTCTCAGGTACAGGGTATTGCTTCTCAGTTGGTCTCTGCACTTTACTACCTGCACTCACATCGCATCCTGCACCGGGATATGAAACCCCAGAACATCCTACTGGGAAAAGGGGGTATAATCAAGCTCTGTGACTTTGGGTAAGTGCCTTATGATTTCATTTTCCATACTAGCTCCAGGCCTTGGTACTGAAAGATCTCAATTAATTTTTCTTCTTTTTTGGAAAGCTTTGCCCGTGCAATGAGTATTCATACAATGGTGTTGACATCTATCAAAGGCACGCCACTTTACATGTCTCCTGAACTAGTGGAAGAGAAGCCCTATGACCATACAGCTGACCTCTGGTCAGTGGGGTGTATTTTGTATGAGCTGTATGTTGGGACGCCACCCTTCTACACTAACAGCATATTCCAGTTGGTCAGCCTGATCGTCAAGGATCCTATCAAGTGGCCTAAAAATATGAGTCCCCATTTCAAGGTAGCTGTTTGTATTTTTTTAACCTCTTTTTATTTCAGAAGGGTGCTCAAGGCAGATTTATATATTGTTTTCTTATTCTCATCTGCACAGCAGATTTGGATGATAGGTTGTCTTGCTCAGAGCTAAAATGGTTTTTGATTCAAGGATTTAGGATTTATCCATTGTGACCTTCCATATTTAAATCCAGCCATCTCTGTTTATCTTGTTGCACTGTATGTACCTGTATTTGGGGTTCTTTCTTCTCTTGCAAAGTTGACAGATTTAGGGTGCAATCCCATGTGTGTTTAGACAGAAAAAGTTCTTCCAACTCCCATCTGTGATACAGGGAGAGGTGCAGAACTTTTTCTGGCTTAACATGAATTGGATTTCACCCTTAGAATTATTACACTCATGCCTTAAAATGCTGTTGAGTCTCCTGTTGTTGGTCTGCATGTATGAAATTCAGAAATTTAGTTTTAAATGAACTTCTGTCAGGTTTTTAATCTGAAGATGTATTTTAAACGTGTCAATATTGAATGAATTAAGGAATAGATACAATCCAGTAAATCTCAACTTGCATTTTTTGTCACCTATGAACAACACGTGCTTTCTGAAGCACAGTTTTAGTACCCCCTCACTTGCTATTCCTTAGAGGTGTACGAATTTAGAAATGGCCTTTTCCCCTTTTAACCTCTTCTCCTTGCATTTACGAGGATGTCTCTTTAGTCACAAACAACAGAACAAATTAAATTCTTTGCCTCATTTCCATTCTCCAGGCCCTGGCAAAATTTATGAGGTCCAGAGATTGCCTCATCAATTTAATTGGCACTGGAATTTTGTCATTGTGACTGTATCAGAGCTTGCAACTAGCTCATGTGAGGCAGAAAAGGCAAACAGTCAAGAAAAATCCTGATTGTGCTTCCACGGCTGAGCCAACAACACTAATATGGGGTGTGTCACAATATGATACATAGGGTTCTGCTCAAGTTAGGTTCAGAAAATATCAGTCCCTGTGCATGTATAAGAATCTGAAACTAGTTCACTTGAGGCAGAATCTTCAGACAAAGCCTTTGTGTAATGTGGCATAGTCCCTATGTGTTGCACAGGCTTCAGCAAAAGTAGAGCAGTCAGGGTATATCTTGTCATCTTATTTTTCCTGCTTCATCTTAGCTAGTTCCAACCCTGTATCTGCAGACCAGAACCAATATTTTTCTAACCTTAACCCTATCTTGGAGCTTATCCCAAATTCTGTTATTCAATCTCCCCATGGATTTAGAAATGAGGACTAAAGGCAGCACACTCAGGCTTTCTGTTGGGGGCTGCCCCCTTTTGTCCCCCATGTGAATTAGTTCCAGGCACTTCCACATGCACAGGAACTGATAGGTTCCAAATCCTAACACTAACCTATTTTCAGTTGAACCCTATGTATCACATTGTGTCATATACCCCCTATAAGTTTTTTCAGCTTCTGCAAAGGAAGCAGAGTTGGGGGTTTTCTTGTGGGCTTGGTTTCTCAAACTCACTGGGACTTGTTTCAAGCATGGTGACTGATTTTTCCCTAACCCCATCCCTAACCTGGAGCTTATCCTGAACCCTAACTGTATTCTATTTCCCCACATGCTAGGAAATCAGGAGTAAAAGCAGCACACTGGGGGTTTCTTTGCCAGCTCACCCTTTCTCCCTTATGAAGAAGTTCCAAGTGCTTATACATGCATGTGGACTGATAGTTTCTGTTAGTTTAGTGCTAACCTTACCTGGAGCTCAGTCCTAGATGTAATATTTGATAAAGTCCCCATGTGTTTTGCAGGCTTCAGTAAACAGTGCAGTCAGAGTTTTTCTTGCCAGCTCATGTTTTCTCCCTCATATGAACTAATTCCAGGCTCCTATCCATTCATGGGGACTGATATTTTCAAAACCCAACCCTAGGTTGAGCAGAACCCTTTGTGTTATACTGTGAGATACTTCCCATAATTTTCATCAGCTCCTGCAGATACGGTATGCACAAGGTTTGGGCATCAGCTCAGTTTTTCTGCCTCATCTGTGCTCGTTCCAAGGTGTACTACTTCCACTTTACTAAGTGTGACCCTAACTCTAAGCTGGGGCTTCTACTCAACCCTACCATGGTTGTATCTCCCCAGGCATTTGCGAATGAGGAGTGAAGAAAGAACGCTCAGGGTTTTTCTGGCCAGCTTGCTTCTTCTCTCGCATAACAAGAGATTCCAGGCCCTTTTACATGCACAGGGATGGATATTTTCTGAACACTAACCCTAGCCAGTGCCAAACCCTATGTGTAACACTGTGGTATAGTCCACATGTCTTTTGCAGGCTTCAGCAAAGGCTGTGCAGCTTGCCTTTTTTTCTTCATATGAACTGGTTCCGTGCACAGGGACTGATATTTTCCTAACCCTAAACTGGGAAGAACAGTATGTGTCACACTGTGATATACTTTCCACGAGTTTTCTTGGCTTCAGCAAATGTAGTGTGGTCAGGGTTTTTATTTTTTGGTTTTAGCTTACTTTTTCAGCCTGATCTGAGCTCATTTCAAGGTGTTCTATATCCTGAGGGACTGATATTTTCTGGACCCTAACCTTTACCTGGAGGTTATCCTGAACCCTACCACCGTTGTGTCTTCCCATGCCTTTGGGATGTAGGAGTGGAGCCTGCACACTCAGTGTTTTTCGTTGCAGCTCACATTTTCTGCTTCATGTGAGTTAGTTCTAGACTCCTAGATATCCACAGAGATTGATATTTTCCAAACACCATGCCAATCTTGATCTTATCCATAGCATTTACATTGTGTTATACTCCCTATGCATTCATTAAACTTTAGCAAAGTCAACACTCTCAGGGTCATTGTTGATAGTTTACTTTTTCTGCCATGTAAATTAGCTCCAGGTTCTTAGACCAGAATTTAATATGTTCTTAACCTGAACTCCATTCCAAAGCTTATATTGTGGCATACTCCCCATGCAGTTTCCCACATACGTAATAACATTTTTTTTAACCTGCCAGCCTCATTCTTTCTAGCATCCCCATCACTCTGGGTTTGGTGCCAATGCACCATAAAGTAAGTTTGGGAGAAACCCTTTCAGAATCCATCCATCCTAGCATCTTCCAACTTCATCTTGTCCTTGGTCAGGTTCAAGCTGAACCAAGGTGAAGTCTATGAACACGCCCAGACTCCTGGTTGCACAAACAGCAACCTTCCCCATCAGATACAGCACAAAGAGCAGCTGAGGGGCATGAAAGAGGGGCCTTGTGAGCAGACTCCCCAGGCACCATTTCTGGTGACTCACCTTCTTTTCTCTCTGCTTCTACTGGTGGCAGCAGTACCAGCCATGGAAGAGGGGCAATATGAATGGGTACACCAGGTGCCATTCCTAGCAACTAATCTTCTTCCTCAACCACTGTTTTTGGCAGTGGCAGCAGCTGGTGCAGAAGAGGGTGCTGCTTGCACAGTGTGTGACACTCAGTTCCTGACAAGTGCCCTGTGAATGCTGGGAACACTCACCAGGAACTTGCACTCGGGTCGGCTGCAAAGTGGAACCTTTTTGTGAGGTCTTCCTATAATAGCCCCTCCAAAGTGCCCCAGCAGCACATTGGCGTAGCTGTCACTGGTCTACCATCCTTTAAGAATTGGTATTTTAGGTGGCATAAATATGTATAAATCTTTTCATATTTTGTAGGGGGTGTTGGTATATTTGAGGTGCTCAGGTGCCTCTAGGACTTCCAGAAAGACAAGTTCTGGAAATACTCTGACTCACTTTCTTCAAGCACTTTCTTATGACAATAGTCAAAACAAAAGGAATTTGTTTATGGAGGGGTTTTTGGCAGGTCTAAACTAGGTTGTTTTGCCATATCCCAAAGGTGCTTATGAAATCTCCCAAAACAGCCTGACAAAACCTTGGTTAAACAAGAACACTTAATTTTGGTAGCTGTCAAAATAACGTGTTTGAGAAAAGGTTCTGAGAAAAAAAAAGAGGGAGAAAATAACAGTGGCAACCAAAATGGGGTCATCATTGGGGTGGAGAAAGGAGACAAGATGAGTTCAGCCACCAAATCCCTTAGGATACCAGTGGGAGGACTGAGGGGAAGGAGTGGGGGTGGGCAGAAACTATGGCGAGCCTTATTGTTCTATGTACAACCCATTCTGCATAGCTTATTCACAGGGTGGGTTGCCCTGTCACCCTGTGGAGAGAGTATGGATATGCAGGTAACCTTCTTTCATCACTGCATAGAGCTTCTTGCAAGGTCTGCTGATGAAGGACCCTCGTCAGCGCTTGTCCTGGCCGGAGCTGCTCTATCATCCTTTCATTGCTGGACGAGTAACTGGTGAGTAATGGCTCCCATTCTTTCTGCCATTCCCTTGTGTGGCTTTTGTGCTTACTTGCTTTTCTTTGCAGAACCCAATCCAGGCAAACCTGCATACTAACCTCTTGCACCTTTTGCAGTGATTGAAGATGCAGCAGATCAAGGCATTGCCAACCCATTCACCAGCAAACTTCCTCCTGAATTGCAGGCTCTGAAAGAGCAACAGACACACTCATTGGCCCCTCACAGCGGCCAGTCAAAGATCCTGAGGAAGGCACGGCAGAAAATGGCTCAGGAAGCTCAGAGAAAGGTAAGTGGCCTGGCAAGGTCCCTTGTGAGATGCTGGGACTTGCTCCATGATACTGTTTTCTTTTTAAATTCAGTGGTACCGTGGCTCATGAACGCCTCAGTTCATGACCAAATCAGGGCGTGAACAGAAATTTTATAAGAATTTTGTCACAGGTCGCGAACTCTGCATTGGGTGACGATCGCGAGCGCACCCGCCTTCCCTGCATGGGCGCGATCGCGGTTGTACGAGGGGCCAGAGATGGCCGCGATTGCACCTGTGTTCCCTGCCTGAGTGCACCTGCACCTGCCTCCTCCCACCCCTCCGCACAACTGCTGCGGGGGAGATGGCTGCAGTCTTTGTTGTTCTTTGTCACTTTGCTTCACATTTTTGTGACTAAAAAAAAAATAGTTGCAGAACGGATTAACCTTATTTACATTGACCCTTATGGGGAAATTTGACTTGGCTCATGACCAATTTGGGTCATGACCAGAGTCCTGGAATGAATTAAGTCCGTGAGCCAAGGTACCACTGTACTGTTTTTCTTTTTACAGGGGTTGGGGAAATCTAAGACTTTGCTTAAGGAAGAAACCACAGAAGGAGTCCAGAGCCACCCACACAAAGCAAACGTTTTGGATACCGATCCCAGAGAAGAGAATCAGGCAGTTCCCAGCAATGGAGGACAGAGACATTCTATTCTAGGAGAAATAGGATTAGAATCGGAGCAAAAAGAGCCATCCCCTACACCTCGGTGAGGATAAGGATATGTTGAGGGTGGAGATACCATGTTACCATGTACCCTGGCTTCAGCCTTTCATCCCTCTTCTTCATGGACAGAGAGAACCGGATTACACATGATTATGAGCAAGAGTTCCCTGAGAGGAGGCCAGAAGGCGGCAGAGCAGAAGCACGAGGTAGACACAGCATCAATACTGTAGATCTGGAGGCAGAGGTAAGCCTATGGCCAGGCACCCTAATCCTTTGCCATTGCAGAAAGGAGGTCTTGGTCTCAAGTTCATCGTGCTCTTCACTGCCTCCCTTAGGAGATGGATAGTGATGAAGAGTGGCAATACCTGATAGATGCCACAGATCCTGCACACATGCAGCTGAGTGCCCCACTGAGCCTTTTACAAGACCCTGCCTTTGTGCAACGTATCCACACATGTTTCAAAGATTCTGGCCAGCAGGTAATTGGTATGGTGGGGCTGTGAACACACTCTTAGTAGATGCTGTAGGCTAGTCCTTGAGAAGCTGAGCTAGAAATCCTACAAGGAGAAGGGGGAAGGAATTGGTGAAACCCTTCAACTGCTATATCTCTTTGGCAGTTTGGACCATTTAAATAGTATCTGCAGGCATCAGGTGAACTACAGATGGAGAGACTGATGGGTAAGTTTGAAAGATGAAGAAAATTCTTATGAATTGACATGGTGAAAGGTGCTGTAGGGAAAACAAGGTGCAGAGGAGGGACAACTTGGCGGCACTGAGATGCTGTTAAGATAGAGTGCTTGTAGAATCACTGTGTTGCATGATTAACGTTAGGGCACTGTAGTGGGTGAAGGAGTAGTCTAAGGGTAATGCCATTGCCTCTGGCATGGGACTGTATACTGAGAAGAGCTTGTGTAGATGGATCCCTCCTCCTTGTACAGGTCCTCGAGGGAATGCTCGAAGGAGCCTCCCATCTTCGTCCTGCCCTCCATGTCATTGGCAACTTGTTAGGGACTCGTTGTAACTCTGAGCTGCTGTGCACCTTCTGCAGTGACATAGATCTTACCCAGTTCCTGATGCAGCTAGTAGGAAACATCCTGGACAGCATCAGCATTAAGCAGGTAGGGAAAAGGTACTGTTTAAGAGGTTAGTTTTTATTTTAAAGGGTCGGAAACTTGGGATGGAAAGCAGCCAGTACTTTATATGTATGTATCTAGTTACCCTTGTGGGACTCTAATCCAGACTTAATATATTTTGAATGTGTTCATTCACCGGAAAAAATGTTCAATATGCATCTCATACAATCAGGAAAGTCCTATATGGAGCTAGGAAGAAGATGTATGGGCAATGGACAGGGATTTCTATTAAGGAGGTTGTATGAATAATTTCTGACTGCTGCTAATAAAGTCTGACTGCTAGAAGCTTCTGTAGTATCTGAACTTTTCTTGGATAGTTCCTGCATGTTTTAAAACTGTGTTTAAAACTCAGTGTAAGATTGTTAGGAAGCCAGTTTCTTTGTCTGATTCACCTTTAGCACTACATGGCCTGTTAAATTTTCATGAAAATAGCTTTAGCTGTACAGTATTTTTGCAGATTCTCTACATCTGGAGAGAGTCTGAAATCTGGCACAGAATTCAGCCCACTTCTTTCAGACTTTAGTTAGTTTTTCTTGTCCCCTTTGCTGTCCAAACAGAGATGAATTTTTGAATTACTGTTTCTTTCCATGGGATTGCCAGCCAGCCAGAACCAAGTCCTCAGGGACACATACCTCTTGGTCTCTTCCTACAGCAACCCTGGCACATCACTCTGCTGATAGACCTAATTGCTGTGATGTCAGCCTTCTTTGCCAGTGATTTCAACCAAGAGAAGGGAGGAAAAAAGCAGAGGTAAGGAACTTGCTGGGTGGATAGGATATGTGGGGAAGTATGCTAGTATATTCTGTGTGCAGGAGTATGGTGAGCAGACAAAATTCAGGCAAGAATGGATGAACAGGGCCAGGACACCATCTGAAAGGACTTCCATTCTCTGGTTTGAGCCTTGTGCTGTCAGTTAGCTTGAGAATTGGACATGGCAAACATTGCCTCTGAGTAGATGTCTGCCTTTATATACGAACTGAACTGATCAGACTATGGGGAATTTGAGGGCATGAGCTGAGCTAGCTATTGTGTTTCAAGGCTAATCTCATATCTCTAACCCATAAACACAAATGCTTTTCTAGTTTGCAGGCATTTCACAACTCTGCCAATCAGTTCCTAGTCCTATTGCCCGCTTTGCTGTCTCAACCCACAGACAAAGAAGGCAAGCTGCGAGAACAAAGCCTCATGGTAAAAGACCATTTCTGACCTGCTGCTTTTGATTTACTGGACTAAATCCCACTCCATCTCTCACTCCATCGTCATGTTGCATTTCATTATGTATGCACTATGTATGTATGCACTATGGTTTAATTGTGACTGGGTTCATATGGCATAGCAACTCACTGTGGGTAGGTAGCCTTGGTGAGTTGTTGTGTTGTGTGAACTTGGACTGCTTCTCACAGAGTGGTTTATCTGGGGGGCAACAAGCACCCTGACTATCCATGGCTTGTTCTAAGGCGTGGTAGACTCATAGCATATTGGGTTGTTGTCTGAACCTGGTAGATCATTCCCATCCTGGCTCCAGAGAAGCACTGAGCTCTTGTTGAGCTTGCTGGTGACAGGTGCTCCAGTGATGCCTGAAAGGCTGTTTGGAGCACTCATTGCTGACTTGATTTCCCTACACCACTCGCAACCCCTTTTTGGGTTGTTGACACTGCTTTTCCTCCTTTTTTCTTCTGGAGTCTTTTTATAAGGACTCCCATTGACAACCCCTTCAAAGTGGCACATTCTCCGTTCCCACCATCTTTTCCACACTTCTCCCGGCCTCTATCTCTTGTAGAAAGGTAAGATGGACAATCTCCCCTCCCTTTGTGTGAGTGCTTTTGAAAGCTATTTGTTTGTTTAAGGAGAACCTTTGACAGGGATAAACAGGGTTTGTAAACATGGCTGCCTGGTTAAAGGGGCAAAAATGCCTTGAGCTGGAAAGGGCTTTTGATGACAACAAGCCAGCCTGACAACTTGAACTTTTTCTAGGGGTTGTGGTCCCCACAGTGGCTTGTTGTATCATCTGAATCTGGGCCACTCACCTCATTGCACATACTTGGACTGAGCTAGCAACTTGCCCTACAGGAGCAGCAAAATCTTTTAAATCCTGCTATTGTCCAGCACCCTCCCCTCACCATTGCCCTGCTAAAACGCTTTTTAAAGAGAATCCAGAGTTTTGACAAGTAACTGTCAAGGATGTGAAAACTTATTTTGTTAAAAAAAAAGTAAATATGTTCATTTTCCCAGGTATGTAGAGTCTCAGGAAGTACAAATTGTGCTGCACCCTGAGGACTGTCAAGGTAAAAAAAAAGATTTTGCTGCAAAGGGGGTATAAATCATACCCACCCCTTTTTGTGAGTAAAATCACTCATATATTTTGTTCCTCTTGACAGCTTAACTTTTGACCACTGTCAAGAGAAACCAGAGGAGGGGGGAAGTATTTACAGCTTCTTTTCTACAATGTCCAAGGTTTATACCTGCTGCATCTTGGCAGTAAGTACCCTCCTAGGACACTGCCCCAGCCAAAGCTTCAAATCCCTGCAGTCACTTAACTGCAAACTTCTGCAGTTGTGCAAATGGAACTGTTTTTTTTTAACAGAGAAGGAACTTATTTGCACAGATGGTGTAAGGTTTTTTTTGTGCCAAAAAAAGTGTTCTGCCATTCACTGACAGCCTTGTCAAGGCACTGCTCAGGCACCTTGAAATGACTGTCAGTGGCTGCCAGAAGAGGGACTACAAAAGCTATCTGTCAAACTGGCTTTCATGATCTTAAGGAAAAATATAGGGTAAAGTGCAAAAAATTTCGGAAAGCAGAAATGGCTCAAATTCACAACAGGGAGAGAGGAGATAAATCTGTCCTGCCATAATATCCCTGAGATACCCAGTGGAGGATGAGGAAGGAAGGGTATAAAAACCCATGGGGAGCCTACTTATCTGTTTAGTTAACAGCTAGCCTACCTTTGCTTATTATCAGAGGGGATTGACATGATGAGCAAACATTCCCATTCAGTTGTTTACCATGGATGACCTCGACAAAAAACCTATGGTTTGTGAGCTCTGATCCATGGTTAACAATCCATAGTTAAACCACAGTGTAAGGTTTGCATGTAATGACAACCCATAACTAAACAGCAATACATGATTCAACTGCAACGTATTCTCTGGGTCATTACATGCGAACCTGGTCAATGTGGCCGAATTGTAGTGCTTTGTAATATGTCAGATCTTCCTTTTGTGTATGGAAGATTGGACTTTAAATCAGGGAAGAATATAAGAGTCCTGATGGATCAGACCAAAAGTCCATCTAGTTCCTCATCTTATTTCCTGCATTATTTCCTGCCTTCCAGAAGGAAGCCCCAGTAAAGCAGAAAGGCAATGGCCTTCTCCCACTATTGTTTCCCAGCTGTTATTATTCAGTGCCATACTTGCTTTGGATCTAGAGCTTTCAAGTAACCATCATGGCCAAAAGCCATTAATGAGCCTAAGTATTCTCCGTGAATTAGTCCAGTCCCCTTTTAAACCTATCTAAGCCAATGGCCATTGTAGCAGCAAATTTCATATTGTGTGGAATGCTCTATTCTCCAATTAGTATAATCAGAGACAAATCTCTCCTAAGAAAGCAAACCTAGGAGCATTGTATGTCGCTCCCTGGAAATATCACCTGTATCATCTAAGGGTCAAACAAGCCTTCATTAACCATTAGACCAAAATAGAAAATAGTTATGATATAGAAAAATTTCATTGTTCATGGGTCTTTAATTATGTTGAGAATAATATTTTATATACTTGAGCAGAGGAAGGGCTATGAAGATAATGGAGCATCCTCTTGTGAAATTGGTTTTCCATATCTCAGATTATCTTGATAGGTCCTTCCTGTGTCTTCTATAATTTTCCAGCATTTTATTTTCAAAGGGTTGTTATCAGGGCTGAGCAGAACAGTTGAGCCCAGAGGTAAAACTAGTTTCTTGATTCTACATATTGGTTCTTTGCCAGTTTATCCAAGAATCAAATTAGCTTATGCACCTCATCTTTCAATAAATATTGAAAATATTAATTTAATATTTCAAAATCAGTTTGTTTGCTCAAACCTCTGGGTCCATTACAATTCATCTGATTTCAACAGCGCAGCTTTAGTATATCTATCTAGAGAATATCCCTCCAGCCCTAACACTATCTCTTCTAATTCTGCTCCATTTGCACTGTAACAACAGCCCTTATTTCTTACCCTTACAGTGCTTCACCTGCTTGTGTGAGAGCATGGATAACACCTGCCCCTCCATCTCCGTCCCCTTTTACACCAGCCTGCTTGAGGATCATCACCTGCTGCTGAATGCACTTTGCCAAGGTGCCAGCTGTGAGTACCCAGCTCAAGAGGGTAACAAATGTGGTAGAAAAACACCCATCTGACTGAATGTTTGGGATAGTGCAGAATAGTCCCCAAAATATCTCCCCATCTAAAATCTTTTGCACTTCTGTTTGTGGCTATTTACAGCCACCATGATCCTCTCATTTTACTATATCATTTTTAATTGTGATTCCAGCTATTCAAGGATCGTATTGTGAAATTTATGACATCACTGTGCTGCATAGCCAATCACATGGGGGCAGTTGAAGCTGTATTGCACTCACTAAAGGGGACTGAAAGTATGTATCCTCATTGCTATCTTGCCTTGTTGTACTGTTCTAAAACTGCTATTGTACAACATGGCTAGAGCATGTGTTTCAGCTCGGTACCTGGCATTCTCTGTCTTGCTATGCTGCACTGTGGTGATTTCATTGTAGAGCAGCGTGGCAAGGTAGAGAGCATCACCCTGTTTGCTTTGGCAAGAGGAATGTTTTGCCTCTCTTCAACTTTCCCTGTAAAATCACAAAGAGAGAGAAATCTTGGGATGGATTGCAAAAATATTTCTGTAAATCAGCCATCCATTTCAACTTGGCTCTAATTTTGATCTTTCTTCCTTACTGTTTTAGCCATGATCCTCCAGTTCTGCCAGTGCTTCTCAGTTCTCCTTTTTCTACTGATGTCCCTAGTCTGGATGTACTTTCCAGTGCAATCCTTGACCTTGTCTTTCACTTAAATTGAGGAGGCTATGAATGTTAAGGGAAAATGCAAGCCCTTTTACTTCTTCCCCTGCTTGTTAGTTATGGTTTCTGTATGTCACTGTTTTATTGGATGCCCCCTCCTGGTTTTAAAAAAATTAAACAATCCCCACATTTCACTGTTTGAGATACAGTTCTTTTTCTCTGAATCGCTGCCTAAATATTTTCTGATGCGTTTTTCACCATTAATAAATTAAGTCCATTTTAATGTAAAATTAAGTTTTTTATGTAAGAAAATTATAAGCGTTTCTGTTAAATTTAAATAATATAATACAAATGGCACTTTACTGCAATTTTGGACAAGAGTACATATTATCCCTTAGATTATTATAATGTGAACAGTTGAAAAGATAACTTTCTCTTCTCAGTTGGTATGCAAGTGAAAATGGATAGGTAGGGGCACATGTCAGATCTATTCGGAGGATATTCCAGTGGAAGGCAATGAGACAGGAGGGTCTTTTTATCTGTTTATGGGATCCAGGGCTAAGCAAATCCTTGCTGGTGGAAAAACTACTTAGGAACCTGATTTGATTACTATAGTGTTGGACAAGATTTGATTTCAGGCTTTCTGGCTATGATTTATTTTGAAACATTTATTGCCATTTTATTAGAATTGTTTCCTTCTGCAGTTCACTTGATTAATAACAGAGAGACAGAACTTTCCAGAGTTTCAGCTTGAAGTGCTTTCATTTACAGAAGCTCATTTTATGCTGAGCATCTGCAGCATTCATCATTTGCATACTTGAATTTTTGTTCTCTGTGTCCAGGCATGTAAGGTCACAGAACTTTGAGCAGTTTTAGAAAGAGTTACATCATTATGTAATGGTGCGTTGCCTCTTTGTATTGCCAGGAAGAGCCTTGGTCCAAATTTACATTGCAATTTATGAACAAACACTGAGTCACTTTTTGAAATAATTCTGGAATGCCATCGCAGCATTAGCATACCTGCTCAGCTTTGTGATTTCCTCTGCAAATACAACACCTATTTGTTGTTTTGTATTTATCGTGTGTGATTGGGTCTTTCATTGAAATGTGATGCAAAACTCCCATTATAATATCCAACTGACTAATGAAACACATGGTTTTTTCCAGCTAGGATTGTCTTTTATTTGAGCTTGTATTGCAGCCCTCTCTGATTTCATCAGACATTCTGATAAATTTGTAATGGACATCTTTGTTATTTTTTTGAAGTTCTCTTTTACTACATAGTGTCATCAGGCAGTCCTGAAGAATAAATATTTTAATTGTGCAACTGGAAGTGATTTATTCCACTTATTGGAACAGAAAAACAATTTTGTGGATGAGCATTTCTTCTGTTGTTCCATATTTAATCTAAGGCAGGAATGGTCATGGGAAGGTTAGCTGAAAACAGCACTTTTAATTTATCTGAAAAGGGCTTGTTTGTTCTGAAATCACGTGCACTTCCACTGGCTTAAACAATAGACAGTGGGGTGGGGTGGGGTGGGGATTCACATCATGGTACAATATATTGAAAAGCTCTGCAGCATTCAAAAACTGTTTGACAGCAGAGTTTGTATTGAAAGTTTGCTGTGGAATATAGATTGCTAATTTTCAACTGTCAACATAAATATGGATTTTGGAATGAACTAAGCATGTCTTCTTCTGATGGAGGATTCCTAACACTACCACAAAGAAAACATTCTACAGCGATTCTGTTTGCTTCATTTTTGCTAAATGATTTTCTCTGGTAGGGAAATTAAAGAAGAATCAGTTGGAAAACACAGGAGGGTTAGGAGTTAAAGCAAATAATGCCCAGACCCTGTGTAAAGTTCTGTGAATGAGACATAGCAATGACACAATAAAGGCCTCATCTGGAAGCACCCTCTATTAGCAATGGGTCCTCGTAGTGTTTGAGGACACAGTCATAGTTTGCTTTGATTCAGGACTTGGCTCACCTTCTTTTGGAGAAGTACAATATAAGCAATTACCATTTTCAACAAAACATACCAATCTTTGCTGGAGGTGCCAGTTGCCATTTTTCTCTCCCTCTCATTTGTTCAACATCTCTACTCTTGAACTGTTCAAGTCTGAGTCACTTGACAGTCTGGTTTTGCTTGCAGGCAATGGAAGGGGTCATATGATATGCTACCCCACACTGTGCCACAAGCCACAGTGTGGATTGTTTGCCCCAGGGCTCATTATGTACCTGGTCAGGCACATTATGGGTCCATGCCCATCTTCTTGATCCTATCACAGGTACCCCAGGTACCCCAAAGGAGCACTGAGGTTTCCTCCCTCCCTATTCCTGTTATGAGCCTTTCTAGGCTAACCAAAAATTGCTTCTCAAGCTGGCTTTTGTGATTCCTCTATTCCATCTCTGAACAAGATCTGCAGGATTTTTGATGGTAGGCCTCATTCATTTTGCCACTGTTTTGGCATTTTGCATGTACATACAAGGCCCTTCCATCCCTCCAACATCATGCTTCTGGAAACAAAGAGGAGAACCATTATCCTCTTTTTGATGCTGCAGCTGAGTTCTGAGTCATTTAGTGGTTTTGATCATGTGGAAAAGGATTGTCTCTTTACCACTGCAGACCTGGATCCAGTTCTAAAGTCTAAATTATGAGTGGACATGACTGTCAAACAAATTATTTATTAGTCAAATTTACATGCTGCTTTCCACAGAGGGATCAAAGAAGTGAGTATTAAATACAGTGGCCCCAGAACAACAATGAATTATAGCAATAAAACAACATAATACAAAATTAATCAACAGGAAAACCTCACATACCATAGTTGGTTGGGTCAAGAAAAGCCTTTTGTGAACAGACGCATTTTAAATAGATTTCTAAATCAGCGGTTCCCAAACTTTTTTGGTCATGGAACGTTTCTGAGGACATTTTTCCCCACAGAACCCTAACTGTATCCCTGATTTTACTAAGCATTGTGAACCCACAAAGTTCTTCCTTCTCTCATCTGCTCTTATTGCCTGAGTGCTCTGCATAATGGAGTAGGTTTGGAAATAAAGAGAAATCATTTTGAATATAACATATGAATAAAGGGATTATCTGGTAATATCCCAAATAAATTCTCTGGATTATTCCTAACAGTATGCAATAGAGTCCTAGGAACCAAATGACATGATGCATTTCCTTGTTTGCTGCTTGGAAGCCAACTGACAATTGAACAGTTGACCTTGTGTGGTTTCATTTTAACATCCGTTTTAAATTTGATTTTTCCAGGAACCCCTACAAGATTTTTGTGGAACCCTGGGATTCCGCAGAACACAGTTTGGGAACTGCTGTTCTAAACATCAGAACTGTGGGGGAGATGTCTAATGTCAATTGGCAAAGCATTTGCTAGGATGGGTGCAGCAACACCAAATGTTCTGCTCTACGTACCCCTGAGGTGTATGTACAGAACTGCCCCCTCTGATGATTGCAGAGATTGGGCAGGGCCATAAGGTGTGCAGTGATCCCTAAAGTAGCCTGGTCCTAAGTTTTTGAGGGGTTTATAGCTTAACGATTGGACCTTACTCTTGACACAGTAGCTTAATGTGAAACTCTCCTTGATCCCTCTGAGCCTGAGCCTGCACTATGTAAACACGAGGCAGGACCAGTCTTAACTTTGCATACCTGCACATATCTCAGTGTAAGAAGTATTTTTCCCATCTCTGTTTGGTGCATCTAATCTTGCGGGTGTAATCTGTTTGTTCTTTCCCCGTCCCTCTTCTAATAGTGTCCCCGAAAGAAGGAAGCCTAGCACTGGAGTGGAATCAGAGCTTGGCAGTTGCCTTTACATCTGCCCTGGCAGCATCCTGTGGCATCCCAGGAGGGCACAGCACATGTCACAGAGCTAAAAAGAAGGTAGGAGTTCCCTTGGCATTCATGCTTCTGCAAAGTTAGTTAATACAACCCTATCAACCAGTAATGGTGTTAGCACTGATTGTAAGAGGATTCTTCTTCTCCTTAGTACTGATAATCATCCATATTCCTCTAGTACAGAGGTGGGCAACTTGTGGCCCTTCAGATGTGCTGGCCTGCCAGTCCCATCAGCTGTAGAAAGCATAGCCATTGAAGAGGGAAGTTGCAGGCCACACACATCTGAAGGGCCAAACATAGCCTATCCTTGTTGGAACAGAAAAAGATACTGCTTGCTGTTTATCACCCAGCAGGAGATGTGTGGCTACTTTGAATTTCCTTTCATCACTGAAATCCTTGCTACATCCTTGATAAAGCCCAGATCTGAGTTCCTTGGTATGCACAGAGGGATTTTTAATACTGAATTCAGCTGCTTTTGATGTGAGAGGCAACTGAACAAGTTGTCAGATTGTATGGAATGAAACTCATCTAACTGATGATTTCAGGATTGTGATATAAGAGGAGTTCCCTCTTCTTTCCTTTCTCTTCATACCTGGACAACAATCAGAATGTCACAATATTCAGAGCCTTAAATTGAAAGCCTCCACTGGGTTTCCTTGCAGATCTCCCAACGAATAGCTGAGAAGCTCACAGAGAAAGATAACCAGCTGCTGCCAAGTCTTTTCTCAGGAGTTGAGTGCCCAGCCTCTTTCCTGAATGGGCTAAAGGTAACATAGTTCCCTGTGTTCCTTTAGAGTCTGTGAGGACTGAGAACAGATACCCAGGTCACTTTGCCCTTAAATGCAAGAGCATGAATGCCCTTTCACCCTGAAACAATGCTTCGGTGGTCTACTTTTGCTGTCTTTCTCTTATCCAGGTTCTGTATGCCTGTTGTCATGTCAGTCAGACTCTGTGCCATCACTTAGCAACTCCAGAAGTGCTGAGTTCCCTGGTTCACTACCTCCAGGGCAAGGTATTTATTTATTCTTCCACAACAAAGAGCTGCCTCATCATGGACAGATATGAGATCTCGGTCCTAAGATTGCTCCAGAGTGTGCACTGTAGGAAAAAAGTAGGCAGGATTTAGGAATTGAAGAAGCTACCTTCTACCAGGTCAGCCTGATTGTCCATCTAGTCTATTACTGACAACTCAGAGGGGCAGTAGTTGCTACCTGATTGTTTTCAACAGGAAATGGTTCCAGAGGCTTCAGGGTTTGAGAGTTCATAAGCAGGGAATTGGAAATAGTATTGAAGAGGAAGTGTGGTGGCATAGGAGAGACAGTACAAAGAGAGAGATGTGATTGGCAAGTAGTTATAGGGAAAGCCATGGCCTTTCAAATGAAGCATTGTGAGAGAAACCATAGGCATTCCCCAGGTTGACTGGATATGGCAGACATCCAAAACTGCCCCCCCTCCAGAAGTGTGACATGCCCTGCCTTCCACTAGTGCAGCCATGCTGGCTGGGGATGATGAAAGTTGAAGCCCAACAAACCTAGAGGGCAACAAGTAGGAGAAGACTGTGATGTGGAATGGAAAGCTAATTGTGTGTAGTAAAAGGTTTTGGTGCTGAGCTTTGTCTTTTAAAAAGGTCCCACTAGCTGAAGTGGCACAAGCACAGTCTGTTGAAGCCTCCCTGAGACTCTTCTCTTTGCTGCTCTTTCAGCTTCAGCTCCTCACACCTCTGTAAGTTTTGTGTCAGCAACTTTATACTTTTTTTCACCTTGACTATTTGACAGTGGCAGAGACTGCACCATTGGCACTGACTGACAGAAAGCAGGTGGCCCTCAGTAAAGATTGCTCATGCTTATGTGTGGAGGCACTTGATGTAAACGGGGACTGAACTGTAAACCTTTAGCTAGTTCCCACACATTTCTTGCTTTAAGCAGTATTCCCCCATCAAAGAATAGGTCAAGCCAAGAGATCTTCTGCAGGACTGAAATGCACATTGTGTTGTATTCTGCTCTGCAAACAGACATGCTCTCTGAATGTCTGCTGTGGATGTCTAGTCTTACTTGCCAGTAGAGCTGATCTGATGGTAGAACATAAGTTGTGGGGGCAGCACAGAAGTGCCATTGATTGATTGATTGATTGATTGATTGATTGATTTGAGACTATTTAAACCTCCTCTTTAGTCAGTGCTCCCAGAGTGGTTTGCATGTGATCAGTAGTCTCAGAGGAAAAAGAATGAAGAGGAAAGTGAAGACAAATTCCTAAATCTACAAAGGCTGCAATCCATACAAATTTATCATTTATAAATAAATGTATAAATTTATTTAGTGAATTTATCACTAAATTCAGTAGGACTCACTGAATTTAGTGGGACATACTGCTGAGGACACATGCTTAGGATTGGCAGTGCAAAATTGCTTCTCTCAGATGTCAAGTTAATGCTCAGTACTTGCTGAAACAGGTATTAAAGTTTGGGTTTTGTTGAAAAAAGCCACATAGGATAAGCACAGTATGTAATGTGCAAGGATACTACAAGGACATTCAGACTTTATTTAAGAAAAAGAAAAAAATCAGGCATGTAATGTGCCCTCGCAATTTAGAAACACCTGACCTGGTGCAAGTTTAATAGTGAGGATGAAATCTAGAAATTTGATTTAGCTGTTTGTAATTTTGAAGTGAACTGTAAGTGGCATTTCATGTGGGTAAATGCAACCCTCATATAGCGAAGGTTCTGTGCTAATGTGGTTGTTCTGTGAAATGATGGTCAAGTAGACTGCCCCAAGGGGGGCTGAAGTTGGCCTTGAAAAATTAAGATTCCTTCTCGGATGTATCCATCTGACTGTTAGAGCAAAGATACCCCATGCAGCACCAATTCCATTCTCTCTGCCAGTGTATGAACTATGACATTCTGTACAACAGTTTTTTATGGGGAGCATTCGATGATAATGTTTTATATGGTCTAGAGTAAAATGTGCCTCTCATTTGAATCTTTGTCCCACCTCAGGTATCAGAAGTGTTGGAAAAATGTTTTCTGATTTTAAGAGGCTCCTAAGAATGAGTGGAGTCACTTTCTAATTGGGTAGTGCTGATCCTACTGCCCCGCTGTAGCACCTACAAGCTGTAAAGGAGGACAAATTTAAAGCACTGTCTTTGTTTATGCTCTTATTTGAATATTATCTGTGGCCAACCAGGAGTTAATGTGGGCCTAGATTTTATGCAAACCCAAGTGCGCAGGCTTTTATATTCCTTGAAGTCTCTGCTGCATATAGACTCTTACTTCCCAGTTCCCTTGTTGAAATGGTAACTGCAGAGCTCTTTCTTTGAGGTAGCTATTTGTGGGAACCGGAGCGGTCAAATAATTGTATAACCCACACAGATGGGGGCTTTGGCATTATCTGTCCCATTGTTATAATACTGTTGTTTCTTGGTGGTATTTTAGGTATGATGCTGTGCTAAAAGAGACAATAGAGCTTTTCAACCATGAGGCAACTACTTCCATCCTAGTAAGTTATCCTGCCTGTCAACAGGCTCTGTGATTTAGAATTTTCTATATCAAGACACCCCATGGGCAGGATCTAACTGTCACCAGGTTCAGCTGTTGATATTTTACCCAGGGAAAAAGCCAGCCACACTACCTGATGGCAAGTAAGAGTAAAACTGCTCTTTCTGTAGCCATTTGGAGAGACTTTGTGCAGAACCGAGTCTGCTGTTCCCAAACACTGCAGTAAGCATGTAGCAGGTCCTCCTGGGCTGTATAGAATGGGGTAATCTGGCAGTTACTATACCAAACTGGGGTGATCACAATTGGATCCCTGCAAGCCCTGAAGGAAGAAGCAGTCCACTGATTCTTGTGTAGAATCTAATAACCAGATCCACATCCAGTGCAAGTCAGAATGCATTCTAGCTAGTTCTGCACCCAGCAGGGTAAAACTAGCTTTTTATGCAGTGGTACAGAGGTTTCTGTTGAGGTTTCTATTCTTGTTCAGAGTGCTGCAGGATTGCTGCTGACCTATTTCATCCAGTATGGTGCTATGGTGAAACTCAGGCGAGACGATGCCTTGGCAGCAATAGCCACTGCATTTACAGAACCCGCAGAGGTAAGAAACCATCAATGTACAGCTTGGAACAAAACCAGACATAGTGCCCTTTGACTGCATCATGCCTGCCATTCTGTATAGTGTCTGACTCTGAGCTCAAACACTCCTCACTGGCTTAGACTGAACACTTTTCTTATGTTTTCCAGCTCTGTCTACCACCCCCCATGGGAGCTGGTTTCTATGATGGGCTCCTGCTCTTGCTGTTGCACCTGTTAAGCCAGGTATAGACTCCCTTACATGTCCTACCAAGCAGATGTGTTGTATTGCTTAGGAAAAGTCCACAAATGACCCAGAAAGTAGGTCAGGAAAGTCTGGAAATGCCTTTGCTGCCAGACAGAGGGAGACAAAGAAATGGGCTACCCATTTCTTGTAGTCTCTGATTTTGCATATTATCACATTATTTTTTTCTGAGCACTTGCTTGGATTAGAAGATTGCTGGGAGAGAGCTTGTAGTGTCCTCCTTAACATAAAAGCAGGGGAATCTCAGGATATTTTAGAATTGACTGTCACCTATTAGATAATAGATGGCAATTTGTGCTATGGTTTAGTTATGTAGATCCTTAAATTCCCTAGCAAGATGTGGAAGCCAGTTCAGACCCTGGCCTTTGTGGGCATAGTGGCTACCTCAGCTAAGGACGCTTAGCTGATGCGGCATTTATTCCATTTGGATTTCCAAATCACTGCTTTTTAGTTACTGTTTGGAGGACAGGTCTAGTCTGGAAGCTTTTGAGTGAGGAGGGAAATGAGACCAGCTGCAGAGGGCATATCCAGGTATTTGATGCTAAGCCAAATCACTGGCTGCATTGCAATGCAAGGCAAAGAATTCTAGTCCCGGTCTGACAGGTCTGAGAGCTGTCCTGCTTCTTCTGCCAGGGCGATGCAGCAGTGGTGTGGGACTTTGCTAGCTCAGAACTTTGGAGCGTTGTGTGGCATCGCTTTGCCATGGTGCTCCACTTGACCACTCAGGCTCCAGTGATGGAAGGAGAGACCCCAAGGACTGGCCAGCATTCCCCAGAGCCACACTGGAACCTCATCTCACCACAAGGTATAAAGATAGCCTTCCTTTTAGTAGAATTCTGGGTTAGCCTGAGAATGTTGGTCACTTGAGAATCTTTTCCACCTATGTGCATATTAGACTGTGTGTAAGCATGGCCACCATCTCTCCATGATGCCAGCCTGCACTGCAGCAGTCAGCTTTAGGGTGGGAAGGGCAAGGGAGCATTGAATGATTGGATGCGAGATGCTTGCTCTCCCTTCCTGCCCAATAGGAGCCTTGGTATTCCTCAGCTTAGCACTCTTCGTCTTCATGCGAGAGCCTCACCAGTGTCTGCTCCAGCTGGCCCAGCCCAATGGAGTTATCATGGCAACCCTGAACAAGCTGCTTGAACCTGACTTCCTTGAGCACTTGGCCCAGACGTGAGTTGTGACAATCTAGTGTTGAGTTGCAGAAGCAACAGAATGAACACTGTTGTTACATTCTATAGGAGTTGTTTTTACAGAGGAGGTATTGCATTGGCACACACTTCTCACTTGTTCAAACAGTTCATTTCATCTGGCATGGCCAGTCTTCCCACCCTGATCCTGGTCTTTGTCTTGTTCCTCTCCTTTCTCACAGCTACATTTTTTTACAATAAAACTGCCTGCACAGAAGGAAGAGGGAGATAGTATGTCTCTTCTGAATCTTTTATGATCATTATCAGTCTTGGAAATATTCAATATGTGCAGTGAAAGTTGGCTTTTTAGGAAGCTTGGCTTGCACACTAAAAGCAAAGTGTCTGGGATATATAGTTGTCAGTAAGATGTTTAAACAGGCAGATGGCTTGGGCTGGAAAACGGGTTACTAAATGGGTTCTGCCTGGTTCCCTAATGCTCCCCCAGCTCCTAGTACCACTATTCCAATCTATGCATGCCTTAGTTTTTGCAGTCTACATTATAATCATTGTCAGTGTGTTTGTATCCATAGCTTTAAATACTGTACTCACACTGAGTTGTATGTATTAAGCTATTTGTGCAGATTTACACAGTGTAGTTTGAACATGTTTGCTTCTTTGACTCAAAAGGTATGTAGCAGTTTGGCTCACAAGCAAGTACTGCCTGGTTCAAGCCATCCCTTAAAAATATGCATGTAGTAGCTGAAGGCTAAGACATGGAACATTCCTTATACCAAGTCATATCATTAGTCTTGCTGGGCTGACTAGCAGTGGTGCTCCAGGGTTTCAACTTGGAGAGTCTTTTCCAGCCCTACCAGGAGATGTTAGGAAGTGAACATGGGGCTGCTTACACTGAGCTAGAGACCTTCTCTTAGCATTTCACTGCAACAAAAATATACTTCAGTCCTGGAACTTAACTGCTGACTTACTGCTGCTTCCCCCACTGCCCTATGACTTCTAGGCAGGTGCAGGAAGATGGTGAACCAGAGCTGGTGCCCGCTGTCGTGCTCCAAGTCTGCCAGCTCTTTTGTTTTCCCTTTGCTCTGGATATGGACCCTGAAATTTTACAGCTTATCATGACAAGTCTGAAGGATTATGAAATACCTGCCCGATTACTCCAGGTAAAGTTTCCATCTTACATTCCCATAAATTAAAGCACAGTGATACTCATTTTCAGACAAAAAAATTCTTACAACTCCCTGAATGCCCCAGCTAGCCACACATAGAATAATAACCTTGGGCACTAGAAAGAGATGCCAGTAGGGAAGGATCTTGCCTGTCCACTTCAGGGATCATCAGGGATGCAAGTTATATTGTAACATCAGTTCAGCTCCAGAGAAATGAACGTATTTACCTTGCTTCAAAGTGGCTATGCTAGTAAAAGTGCACCAAAACCAAAATAGCTTTTAATAAATTAACCTGTATGGTGGAGGTGGTTGCAAGGATGTGTAGAGATGGAAATGCCACCTCTATCAAAGCAGAAGAGGATTTACCATCCCACTGCCCACACAGAAAATAATTGATCTGCGTTTTCTTGCCTTTTTAGGTCTGTACTCACACTCTTCCCTTCTCTGAGACTGAGTTGCCACTGAGTCTCCTGTGTCACTTGGTACTGAGTGATGAAGAGGTCATTGAGCAGGTGGTAGGAGTAGCTTCCTCCAAGCACACCATTGCCTTCTTGTCAGCTGTTCTGCTATCTGACCAGACAACCCTGACTGCAGACCTGTTGTCCCTCCTTGCCCATGTAGCTCGGGCTGGTGCAACCCACCTGCCTTTCCTGCAGAAGCTTTTCTATGGGTCAGACTCTGCCTCCCAGCCACTGAGCCGCCTGCTGTGCCACCAGGAGCCTGTAGTTCGTGCCAGGACCTGCACCCTTGTAGGCAACCTGCTGCGCCACAGACAGGGCTTTCCTCAGGTGCTGCAGGGCCAACTTGGGCTGTTGGAATGTCTGCTGGAACATCTTTCAGATGAGAATGAACATGTCCGCCGCTCAGCCAGTTTTGCTGTTGGCAATGCAGCCTACCAGGCTGGTCCTCTCATGCAGGCCCTCAGCAAAGCCGTGCCCTGGGTAGTTCAGCTCCTGAGCGATCCTCAGGCCAAGACCCGTTGCAATGCAGCTTCAGCACTGGGTAACTTGGGCCAGCAGTCAGCAGAGGTGGAGGATTTGCTGATCCAGAGCAGAGCACCTGATCTTCTGTTGCATGTGGCCTGCCATGACTCCCAGCCTGCTGTGCAAGAGGCAGCGCTTATTGCTCTTCGCTCCATGGGCCGGCAGCCCAGGATCCACCAGGTACCAAACTCGGCAACTCTGGAGGAGTGGGTAGTGGATTCAATAGACCTCTAACAGCCAGCTGGGGCAGGGTCTTATCACTCAGCAGCCAGGTAAACATGATGGGTGGTAATATATATAGTGCATAGTGAAAGGCTGCCTGCAGGGGGGGCTACTTGATGGTTAAGAATGGCAAACAACTTGTGGGCTAGGGCAACTTGAAGAATGACAAGCAACCCATGGGGTGGTGGAAATCACACAAAGTTTGGAGCGCTCCTCATCTTGGCTCCTGAAACAGCCACTTTGTGCAGGCAAGAGTATTCTCTGTTGTTGTAACTGCACCTATTCAGATCTTTCTGAAACAGTTATACGTGATTGATCCTCAGACCTTACTGCTGGGATTACCAGTGGGTCACATTTTGCATGAGAGGTAACTGTGTTAACATCAAGTGTTCCTGTATTGACCTTTGAAACCATGGTCACCTTTGTCTTTACTAGACATCTGAGATACAAGAGAGCTTTACTTGACAGTAAACTCATATTTCCTAGTTGGTGACTTGGGGATGGTCCTAAAAATAAGCAACCTTGAGTCAATTATTTAGGACAGCAGTAGGAAACCTGGTGTACTCCACATTTGACAACATGTTGACTAACCTTTTGGTCATGTTGGCTTCTGTGAATTGTAGTCCAAAAGTACTACTCCTCCCAGGTTGCCTACTCATGCTGTAGGGAAAATAGGTTATGCAGTGTTGCAGGTTATAACTGTCACAATTTTCTTCCTAGGTGCTGGTCTCACTCAGAGCAAGTGAGAAGCTGGAAGCACTCTCCCTTAGAGAGTCTCGGACTAGTGCCTATAGCAACCTGCGGCCCTCAACAACAAAGCACTGCAAAAAATTAATCCATCTCCTGCAACCTGTGCATAGCGCCTGAGAATTTGGAAGAGGACATCCCTGTCCCTATTTCTCCTTCCCATCTTCTGAACCTTGGAGAATCAAATACTATTGTAGCTATTTTTAGGAGTGTTCTTCAGTGTGCCTTAATGTCTGGGGGCTTTTTCCTTTTTAACTGAAGTTGAAAAAAGCCATTCCAGAGATCTGTAAACTTCTTTGTGGCATCTGAATGGGGAAAGTGTGCTTGTTCAGTAAGGACATAATCCAAATGGACTTGTGCAACTGACAGGCTGTTTGTACTGTACCTGTTTCCTGTTGTAAAACTTCAAGAAAAAAGCCAGATGCACTGTTGCCTAAGTGAAGAGAGCACTGTATAGTTCATGTGTAAGAACAATTATAACCTAGCTCTAGTACTCCCAACAGCAAGTGCTTTGGAATGTTGGTCTTCCATACAGTTCATTCTTCTGAAACTTTCATCCTTCCCCCTTAAATATGAAAGGTAGAAAACCATCATTCCTGCTTAAAAGAGCAAACATCAGTATTGCTCACCAAAAGGCCTCCCTTTCTTTGAGGTTTGCTGGTTAACTTATGGGACAAAAGCTAAGAGCATCTTGGAGTAGGAACAGCTAGCTTCTGTCCGGACTCCTGATCAGTCTTAATACGTTGCATCCATCATTTGTCATCAAAGACTCCAGTATCTTATTTATTGAGGATTTTGCTATGAACATGGCCGGGTTGGTCTTTTGACTTAATATTTTCTAGTATGCCTTTGTAATAAAAGCTGGTTTCTTTCCTAAGTAGTATGCTTATGTATGTGCCACAGAGGAAGTTAATAGGTTATTTCACTATCTGTGCCAACCATATTCTATAGACAAAATGTATGATCCATTTAAAGTACTGTTACAAAACTGTACATTTGGTATGATGATGTTCCACGGTTTGATAAAGTAATACGAAGGTAACATAGCCAGGGACAAGTTCCACAGAATTCAGTAGGACTTCAGCATAGACACAAACTGCACATCAGAGCTGCAATGCTATGCTCATTTATCTTGAAGTAAGTTCCCATGAGCATTAGATGACTTCTGAGTATGCATATGAATGGATCATCCATGAGGTATTTTTGAATAGGCAGTTAAAGGAAAGTTAGCTGTAGCCCTCTACCACTTCACCTAGATGCCTAACCTAAAATGACACCCATTGTTAACATGGTTTAAAAACTCTTGTGTTGCATCAGTGATAGGAAGTAAAGGTAAATAGCAGTGGTATGATAGTTTCTCAAGCTGATTGGTCTGCTGTCATTAGGAGAGATTTCTGATTTTCAGTAGGACTATGGCTAAAATGAAGCAGCAGTTGCCACTGCATTCTTACTTCATGAAGAAGGAACAGGACTTAAATGAGAAGAGTGAAATATACAGATTGGAAATCCATATTCTCTCCAGAATTTTGCATTTAAGTCCTCAAAATTAGGTTTTACTGTGTGATGGAGAAGCTGCTACTTTTGTGTGTCCTCACTTTTCCCAGGCAGCTCATTTTCACAGCTCAGGACTGGCTTTCTAACTCCAAAACCATTGGATTAATGTGTTTCTTGAACTGTGTGATGCTTTTAAGCCAATTAGTCCCCCGTTGTCATCCCCCCACACACTTTTCTTTAAACAGTTGTCATTTCAGAGCAGAGAGGAAAAGGGCATGGCAGTGGTGGTTTTTTTCCTTTCAGTTCATGTAGGTTTTGCCCTTAAAAATGGAACTCAGAGTATTATTGTACAAACCTTTGGTTACGTACTTTTCTATATCGGAAGTTTTTGTTTTTTGTTGTACATCTGAAGCAAAGTGCTATTAGCAGCTACACAGTTAAGCCTGATCCACTCAAATGTTTTAATTAGAATGGAAAGATGATATGGAAACTTGCATTCTTCTAGAAGCTATCTTTTGGCAAGATTTCTAATTGCTGTCAGGTGAAAGCTGCTGAGGAATATCTGCCTAACATAGAACCTGCTCTGATCTCACATGAGCAGAAGTGAGATTGTAGACTGTAGCAGGCAGGACAGGCTCTCCTGACCTCCAGAAAGTCTCCTAACACACACTAATGCTTTATAGTACTAGCAGCAGTATGCATGTACAAAAGAGAGTTGGAATTTAGGTACATAAGCCCCAAATAATGTCACACTTGCCAGTAATCACACAGGTTGAAGAAACTGTAAGTGTATACCCATATGGTTGAAATTCCTAATTTTCACAAACAGCAGAAGAAGCAGTAACTCTGTCACACCTCTTCCACAAGACTGCAGGTGGGAGTTCACTAGAAGTAGTAGTTCCCTGTATATAAGAAACTAGTTGCCAGGGAAAATCCTAGTCTAGAAGCTTTCTCACAGTGTGCTACTGTGGAAGTTACATCTAACTGTACAAAACCTCACCTGCAATAGTACAGTAAAGCACAGGCTTCCTACTTCAGCTGCTTTTTGTGAGAACTGGATATGAAACTATAGGATAAAAGCAGAGACTCCTGTAACATTACTGTTTTCCTGTTTGTGCTAGCTAGCCAATTTCTGAGCACCTGCCACAACCATCTGATTTAAGTTAAAAGAGCTTTAGAGAACAGCCCTATGGTCCTGGGGTAAGCATCTCAGGAACCACAGGTTGATTCAGAAAATGCCTTCCATGTTTGAAAGAAAGATGTAGTTGAAGATCTGATCCTAGCCCCATGCTGTCAGTCCAGAGGAAAAGCCTGCCAGCTGCCTTTTCAAGGGGAAGTTGGCAGGGAGAAGAGGAGGCTAAAGAAGGCAGGATCTGATTTATCCTGAACCTTCTTCCCCACCCTTTCCAAAGGGCACTTGTTAGACAGACTTTGCAGTCTGGCTAGCAGAAACAGGATAGAGCAGAGGAGAGGATGCAAAAATTGCATAAGAATCTTGGAAACCTCCAAGTTCAGAGGCTTCTGAGGGGTGAGAGAACAATCAGTTGAGCTGTAGCACATGCCCAAAGGAATACAGGCCTTGACACAAATACATAGAACAGCCACCCCTCCATAGGCTAAAAATGTCAGTCAGTCTCCAAGTCAAGAGAAATGGTAAGAGGGAAGGCGCAAGTTAAGGCTTCTAGCAGACAGGCTAAGAACAGTTAGATCCTTTAACCCAAAATTCACATCTTTGAACTTTTTTTAATTAAAAAGACTACATCTTGTTTTTAAATATTTAGCCATAGAATAAACACTGCTACATAGTTCAAAGCCTTCCACCTTCCCTAGGCAGAATCAGTAATTTCTGATACCTGTATTAGGAGGTCCCTATGCTGAAGCAACATAGCACTGCTGCCACCAAAGGAAAGGAAGAAAACTTAAGAGCTCCAGAGAGAAATACCAACATATAAACATGCCTCCTGCACCAGAAAGGGAAAGGCAAGGGTTCTGGTTTTTGAGAGGGGAGGCAACATTTGTGCTCAGGACACAACACAAAGGCAGGCAAGCTCCACACTCAGTGCCACGCAGCTGCCCGTTTCCAAAGTGCAGACATTAAGAGGAAGCTGTTTTTAACAGCCATCCCTCCACCAGGATTTGACTGGGAAGGGGGCCAAGCAACACAGGACAGAAACGGAACCAACTCTGGTCAACAAAATCATCTGTCTAGGTGACCCTAAAAATGTACTCCTGCAAGACTGAAAGGAGTCCAATACAGGAAACAATCCCAATACAAAGAGAAGGGGTGACGGATGGCTCAGCCACCAATGCATCCGGAAGGAAGCATAAGGAACAGCTGGGGTCTTGCAGCTGTGCTTGGAATTCCTTTGGCTGCCACTCACATGGAGAGAAAACACCTTAATTTTTCTGAAGGAACTTGCAGAAATATAACTCAAAGGCAAAAGCTTCCAGGGCAAACTTTCACATGTTCACAGCCTGCATATGGAAACCTAAGCTGCAGTTTCTCCTGAGAGAATGCAAAGAATGACAGGGATTGCCTAGAAGCACCCATCTTGTATGCATTAGTACAGCAAGAGAGTGACCAATTTATAATGCTGTTCTTGCCCCTTTAGAAAGAAGACTTATCCCTGGGAGCAAAACGGTATCTACAGAGCTGAGAAGGCTATTGCCAGAGGCAGATCTTCACCTTGCACTGTGCAAACGATACCCATGCTGACATGGGGCAGCTAATTAAAACTTTACTGTTGCACCTTAAAATCAACTTTTGAAGGATTCATCCACAAAACATCAATTTTTTAAAACTATATTCTATTAAGCTGGGCAGGTAGCATCCTCTACAGCCACCAGTGTAGGACAGTAGTCTCCTTTGCAGGCAGGGGAATAGAACAATCCCCCACACCCAATCCTTTCTCCTGAGAACACAAGTGGGCATACTACAATTAGCAAAGAGGGAAACCTTGAGAGTCTCAAAAATGAAGGTGTAAGTAGATAGGGCTAGAGAGACAAAGTACTGTCTCGCATAATTTCTAAAGCTGCTTTCTCCCCAAGTCAAGACTGAGGGCAGCAGAAGATGGTGTTCTCCCCAAGGTACATCACAGGGTAAAGCTGGCTCAGCCAGGCCTTCAAAATAGAAATAAGGAACAAGGAGGAATAAGGGTATTTTGCATGTAAAGTGCAGCAGCAGCAGCAGAAGGGGGAAAGGCCTGCAGTATATCTCCAATTCAGTTCTATTTTTCCAGGTATGGAAGAGGCTTCATACAGTAGTTCAGAATCCAAAAGACTGAGCTACCCCATACTGAAGCCCAGGTCAGATGGATTGTATATGCATCACTGTGTTGAAGAAATTAGGCTGGGATTTTAAAATAACGGAGGAGGGCTTAGTCCTTGGAAATGCAGCTGCTATTTTGTGCAAGGTGGGTATGTTGTCCCTCCTATTCTGGCAGCAAAAGTATTTTACCACTTGTCATTTTTTGAAGCCCAGTTTCCCCTCCCAAAACAAGTTTCTAACTAAAAAAGACCATCCCAACCTGTTCCTCCATACAACCAATTCCCCTGTTCAACTAAACAACCAAGGGTTCCATCAAGTTATTTACAGTTTAGGCCCTTCTGTTGTCACCCCCATCCAATAAAAATGTTTTACTTCCTACTGGTGCATAGGGATGAGCAGTGGGCATGTTCAACAGGTCTATCCAGCTGAAGATGCAGCGTGCAAAGAAAACAAAGATGAAGAGACAAAGATGGACAAACTGCAGAACCAGACCAAAAGACTGCATCATCACTAGGAAGCATGGGCTGGACACAGTGTCCTGTTGGGAAGGCCAACATCAGGAGGAGAAGGAGGGCAGCAACGACGATGCACTATTCCAGACATAACACTGTGCATGTGGATGCTCTGTCATCCCCGGTCAGTATAGATCACACTCTGCCATGTGTCTGTTTGTCCTTCCTTGCAGCTACGGAAATACAGGGGAGCCATGAGACCTATGAGCTGGGCGATGGTTCTTCTTCAGGAGGGAGGGAAGATGTGGCTGGAGCCTCTGTCTCTCCAGAAAGGCCTAGCTCTGCATCCATCTGCTCCAACTCTTGCTGGTCAAGTAGCTCGAAGTCATCCGCTTCTTCCTCATCGCCAGGTAAAGAGGCAGCTCCCACCTCCTCACTTTCAGACAGCTGAGCTTGGAAGCTGAGTCTCTCCTCAGGCTCAGTGGGCAGGAACTCAGAGAGGGAAGGCCCCTCGCTGTCCTCAGAGGAGTGGAGCAGGGCTGACAAGGTGTTCTGCACTACCGTACTGATAGCTGTGGTGACGATCTCTTGGCTCAGCGAATCGATGCGCAACCCCAGACCTTGTGCAGAGGCATCCTGTGGTTCAGCAGCCCCTCCTGCCGCTGCCTGCACATTCCCATTGAAATGCGTATTTACAAAATGCAGGGGGGAGGCCAGGCCCAAGATGGATGTGTCCAAGCTCCCTGTTGCTGCTGCTACCTCTTCCTCAGTGGAGTCCAGCTGATGGATCATGTGGACAGGCACCGCAAAGTTGTCATCCTCACTAGGTGGTCCCAAGTCTCTGGAATGAAACTCCTCCACGGAGGGGAACTCTGCCATATCCTTGGAGAAGGACTCTTCTGGCTCACTAGGAAGGCTCTGCTGATCCAGATCTGAAAAGCATCATACCACAAGGGAGTTAGCCTCCAGGGCCCTCTGCTGCAAATCCTCAACCCTCATTCCAGCTCAATTGTTTGCCCAAGCATGGTTTTTGGACTGCTTTATATTATACAAAGCCAAAGATGAATAGACTAATTTGTCATTTTGTTCCACCTTCTTTGACGTCGCCTGGCTGTGTTCTTTCCCACCCCCTCTGTCTGACACTCCTCCATAGCACAGGGCAATAATTGGTATACTACAGTTATGCCGCCCGATTTAAAATCACTAGTCATGCAGATGAGCGCACTGCTGCTTTTCTTCCTTATTCTATCATCTCTTCACTACAAAGGTGATATTAGTTTAATGAGAATGAACATTATACAGTGGTACCTTGCCAACAGTGGCTCACAAACTGAATTCGTTCCATGACTCTGGTCACAACCCCAATTGGTCGTGAGCCAAGTCAAATTTCCCCATAAGGTTCAATGTAAATAAGGTTAATCTGTTCTGTAACCATTTTTTAAATCACAAAAATTTGAAACAAAGTAACAAAGCACAACAAAGATCATGGCCATCTCCTTGTCCCCCCCTCCCGGGCACAATCGCGGCCATCTCCCCTCCACCAGCACAACCGTGATCGCACCTGTCTTCCCTGCACGAGCGCAACCATGATTGCGGCCACAGATGGGCATGATCGCGGTCATGCTCGGGCAGGGAAGATGGACATGATCGCAGCCATCACCTTCCCCCACTGAGCACGACTGCGATCGTGCCCAAGCAGGGAAGACGGAAGCCGTTGCGATCATCACCCGATGCGGAGTTCGCAACCTGAGGCAAAATTTTTCTGAAATTTCAGTTTGCGACCCAATTTGGTTGTGAACTAAGGCATTTGTGAGCCAAGGTAGCACTGTATTAACTAAGAGTGATACAAATTTGGAAATACCCAATCTACACTTCATTTCTGCTATAAACTCATCAGGTTACCTTAAGCAAGCCACTATTGTCTTAGTGTCCGCTCCCCCATACAATTATTATTGACATACCTTACAAGGCTGTTGTAAAGCTAACAAGAAAATAAATGTGAAGTGCCTGATTATTCTACTATATACTACATTCCACCTGCTCCTTCACTGGCAGGGCCTCAAAGGAACAGCTCAGCATGCTGTTGCACTGGGAGTGACTGCTACTGTTAAAATGAGTTTTTCTGGAACAAGAGGCAGCATTTTGGATTTCCACATGTACTGAATCTAGTAGTAATACCGCATTACCACTAGTTACTACAGCATCAGACTAGCTGCTATATAAAATACAGGCTTTCCTGTTCAGAAAACTTATAGCTTATATTAAAAGGAGTTTGACAAATGAACAGAACTAGTCAGGTGGCAATAAGCTGTTTGTAAAGTAGGACTAAACTGAATAAGGAAACATTTTGAAGAAGTGGGTCTTTTTGGTTTAGAGTATATAGTGACTAAACCATCTCCTGCCTTAGACTGTTGTAAGATAACAAGGATTACACAAAGCTGTCTAAATAGCCCAGTCACATGGCATGGGACACAACCAATGCCCCGAGGTCAAATTCCTCTCCAGCTGTAAAAGCTACTAGAACCCAAATACTTAAAGACCCCATCCCCCATGCAGGTCTTTCCAAGTCCAGAGAGACAATATTCCTGCCCACAAACTTCATTTCATACATTGACACCCAGCTGGTATGGGGTTTTTGGGTGTGTTGAGTAGGAAAATGGCACCTTCAGACACGTCTGTCAGCTGTGGTGTGGTAGCTCTAGAGACCGTGAAGCCTCCACTCTCCAAGATAGAGGCCTCTTCATCTGAGAGCTCAGAGTCTGTGATTGCCAAAGCCAGAGCTGTCTTCTTTACATCCACCTGCAAAAAGGAACAAAGTGAGGCTATTCTTCCAAAGCTAAATAGTGCTTGTAGCCAATAACTTCAAAGGACACTGTTCCCTTTGCAGTGCAGCTACAAATCCAACTTGATAGGCTAGAATCTCCATCATGAGGGGATGCTAATGCAATGCTTGAAGCCAGAATTTGTTCTATCCTTTATTTTATTAATCCTTACAGTGATTCTCTTAAATCAGGGATGCAGGGCCTCAGGCCTGGTACCCAAATCCAGCCATCTGGTATTCCCCAAGTGCCCCCAGCCGCTTTCTTATCACTGATTGTTTGGGGGTTTCCTGGCTTTGTGCTTCTCCTTATGCTAAAAGGTATAAAAGCCACTCGTAAAGTTTAAGCTTCTGGCAAGAAGGACTTTAAGCTAAAATATAATGTTTTGTTATGTTAGCCATTGTGTCTTTGTCTGTGGCCTGACATGCCACTAAAATTCAGTACCCCAAAAATCCAGAATGAAATTTGGTACTTATGCTGAAAGAGGTTCAAAACTGTTATTTAAGATAGTCTTTTGTTCCTATACTACAAGGGAGAAAAATCTGTAAAATGTCACCAGACCACTGCTGGGAAGAATAGATCATATATTTTTTTAAAATCCACAGGGTATTTCACAGGGTTGTCATTGTGAGGATAAAATGGAGTGAAGGAGGACTCTGTAAGCCACCTTGGGTATCTCACAAGAGGAAAAAAGGCAGAATATAACTATAATAAACATAGACACATAATCCTGAATGAAAGGGGCTAAAACTCTTTTAGCAGAAAGAGAATTTATAACAGAATTAAGAACATGGAAAACCTATCATCTTTAAGAACTGTCAGCAAAGAAATTTATGTGAGGTGGGTTTACGTCATGTTTCAAATGCACTACATGATTCACTTTTTTCCTAAATGGAAAAAAATGCAAGAATTTAAAAAAGAAAAAAACTGACCCTGTTTGTGGTTGCAACTATAAACTCTAAGTAAAATTTTGTTCAGAATAATATGATCCCCTGTAAAGGAACTATTGTCTTGGGACATGTGATTATTCTGCATCACCTTTTTAAGTAGAATTGTACTTAACATACTGTTGTGCCTCAAACATCTAATACATTGACCTCTCAGTGACTGAGCCCATGGACTTGAGCCCAGAGCCAACAAACTTGCCACCTGGGTTATGCATGTAACTGGTACTGTCAAAATAAGGGAAACGGACATTGTACAAGTCGTCCTAACCCTTCCCTCAAAACCATGAGAAACCAATTGCCCATGGCTTGGAAGAAAAGGTGACAGAGGTGGAAAGCAACCAGGTATTTATTTATTTTATTTATTTATTTAGAAAATTTCTATGCCGCCCCATTTGCCGAAGCCTCGGGGTGGCTTACAAATAAATCAATTAAAATACTATAAATTAACAATATAAAACAAGTTAACAATATAAAATAAATATTTCCACAGCTTAAAGTTCCAAAGGCTAGAGGGCTGGGGAAGCAAGCTTCTAATTTTTTGATCCCATGGAGGAGTGTTCTTAGGAATGAAATCCCATGTCTTCATGCACCCCTTGCACTTACCACTGGAGAATAGCCAGATAGTTCCGCCTCACTCTCACTTTCTGTCTCTGCCATTGACTCACTGCCAGCTTCTGGCTCACTCTTTCCTTGACGTTCTGTGGAGCAGAACAAAAGAAATGTTCCATGGGACACTTGTGCAGATAGCTTCACCAAAAGCAGACTAAAAGAAGGATTTCTCAGAAGCACCAAACAGTCTGGGCTTCTACTGGGAGACACAGACCTCTGGCTCTTCCAGCCCCTGCTCCCACCAGATGTTTTGCATAGTCTGGATAATCCAGCACAGTCTGGATAAGAGTTGCTGGGTCTCCTATCAAAAATAATGCATGTCAGGTAATAGGGAGCTATCATCTTACTTTTCTTTTCATGTTTAAGATGCAAGGTCTCCACTTTCATGCTGTAGTCCAGTTTCATCAGGATGGGCTCCAAACGGGTGTACATCCTCTGGATAAGCTCATGGTACACTACCAATGGCCACAGCAAGATACTGAGCACTGAGAAGTGGAGAAAGCCCAGAGTGTGTTAGAAATTAACATTCCCTGGGGCAAAGAGGCATCCCATGTCACCTGCCAAAGATGCCCAAGGCCAAGCCCCTTCCACAGCTCCTTTCTGGGCCCAGTCACTGTCCTGCTGATCTCAGAACTGTACAAACTGCCAAACATGACTCTGGAAATACCATCAGGTAGACCAAGCTATGAAAGAGGCACAGCTCAAGCTGACTCATACAATGAGTCCTACTACAATTTGACATGGACAGAAACAGAAAAACGAAATAGGCTTGAAGTAAGATTTAACAAGATATAGAAACAATCTTAGCAGATACTTCCATTTGCAGTCTGAAAAGACAGCAAATGGCTCACAACCCTCTTCTTAGAATCATGTTTTCTTGCAGAAATAAGAGTTGCCCTAGATCCATAGGTGTCATTATGTGAAGGCCTCTATTATTTGCTTTATAGCAAGGGTTACAAGTGCATTGGGAGGCAGGAAGGGACTGTATTAAGTATTGTTTTTAAGTTTTAGAAAGAAGGTTCTTGGACGTAACTGTGGCAGCCTATATAACAACTTTCTTAAGCCACATACCTAATTTTAAGTACCATGAAGGACTTAGTGATACTCACAGACAATGCAGGAGATCATGATTCCTGGAACATAGTGCCCTACAATTGCTAGGATCAAGCATCCTGAGCAGATCCTGGCACAGAACTGGAGGAACAAGACAAAGACCAAGAATGAAAATTTAGCAAGCTGGAGGCATTCTCAGTGCAGCCCATGCAAGAAGCTATCTATGAAATGGTTTGAGGTTAGTTCCTAATCCCAAGATCCTTTAATAACAGATTGCATTCAGCCATAAACCTGTCTTACAAGCTCCATGACCATAACATGCCATAATGGCTGGCCACAGTTTTGCTTCAGTGTGCTGTCAATTGGGTAGGCTGATTGATGCCCAGAAGTAACTAGCAAACGGGCACACGGCTACCTCCAAGTAATTTTTCTTGAGTCAGTCACAGTACTTTGGAAGTAGTACTGGAAGAGATCTGCTTATTGCAAATATATGTCTGAACCACATCTCAGGAAATAATATGTTTGCACTTCCCTCCACCCTCAGCACCTTGCCTTCCAATTAACCTTAAATATATAGGCTAAGGCACTGCTTACTCCTCCAAGACACACTGCTGTTAATATGCAGAGATGGTTTCTTGCAATTTATGCAAGGCACTACGGCAAGAAGTTTGAAGTTCTGAAATTTTATTCAGAAGGTTTTATTCTGAATAAAATAAAATTTATATTTAATTGTATTGATATTTATGTTTGCAAGCCACCCTGAGGCTTTGGCGAATGGGGCAAAATATAAGTTTACTAAATAAATAAATAAATAATAAGGTGCCTAGAGTTTTATATCACAATAGATGCAGAGTTGCTGCAAGCAATCATTCCACTCCTTTTTCTCTCCTCTAAACATTTACTGAGGCAAATTATGCACTAACATCATAGTGGAGTGCTTGTCCGCCTTTAAAAAGGAGGGGAGAAGAGGAGGCTTCCAACACGGAGATATCACATGCTGCATTTTGGACTGCTAAGCATTACAGATGGAAAGAGGAGTAAGAAGAGGCATGGAGCTGTGACTCTCCATAAACTATGTAGCAGTATCAACGTATCAGTCTGGCCTAGGGGTATGTCTGCACAGTTCCTGGGTAATGTTGGGAAGAGCTGGGGATTACCTGAACCTTCTCTGGAGTGAGGTACTTGGTTAAAATTCCATTCCTGTTTGTTTCCACATATACTGAAAACTATGATCTTCCTTTAAATTTGTGATTTGAAACCACACTTATATCACATGATTTTGTCTACACAGAATACTTGCTTCTTACTACACTAAAGCTATAACAGAAGGAAAATCATCTTATTTTGTTTCTGTCAGGAGGAAATATAAATTACCAAACCATAACCAGGATTTTTGTTTATTTTTTGTAGAAAGGAGCCATGCCGGGATTTCTTTGTATGAAAAGTTCTGCTGATTTCCTGCTTACCTTGGCAGGGTTTTGCCTCTTGTATTGCAATAGTTCCTGCAGGTACAGCCTGAAGGTAATCCAGCTCTCAGCCAAGCACCGACAGAGCTCTGGGACACTGAGCAGATGAGGCTGTGCTCCTGCCATTTCACTATCCCTGCAGCAATGAAAACAATATATCAACAGCTAGCCCTTCCAGGAGTACTGCTATATGATGAATAAAGGAGCCACATGCAACAGAGAATCACTTTTTGTGGACAAAATTGACAGTAATTTAACTAAGCAGCTGTGAAACATTATAACCCATGCTCCAACAGAAGACACAGCATTCCTTCCTTCCTTGGGAACTTCCAGCTCCCAAACTTACAATATTTCAGGATAATCATTCATTTACTTCTACACATTTCTAGAGCTTGAAAACAGTCACATTTGACCTGTTGAGGTAGGGCAATAACTGAGAAGTCCTTCACACTGCTGCTCCTGAACCTGCTAAGTCAAATATCTATGCTAAAAGAGAACAAATTCTCAAAAGCATTTTTTAAGGTCACAACATAGATCCGGAATGAATATGTGGCCCTCCAGATATTGTTAGACTGCAACTCTCATTATCCTTCACCCTTGGGTATGTTACTTTGGCTGATGGAAATTGTAGTATCACAACATATGGAAGGCCACAAGTTGCTTAGCCCTGGCATTGAACCAAGCACTAAGCCATTGGTAGAAAAGATCCCTGTGCCCAGAACTATATGAAGAGCAACCCACCTGTCTCCTTCCAGTTCTTCCAAGGGTTGTGCTGTAGCAGAAATAGAAATGCAAATCATTCAGTAAGTGTAAAAAAAAGATGACAGTTTAAATTCTAGGAGCATGTGCTGCTAGATGTTTTTTTCCTTCATCAGTCAACCTGCAAATGCAGATGAGAAAGAGCAGCAAAAGTTGCATCTTGAAAGTTCAAAACACCACAGGTACTGAGGGGAAGTGAGAGTTTCCTTGAAACTGCTGGAAGTACTGCCCAGATGTCATGACAGACTCATAAAGTAATGCATTAGTGGTACACTCAACCACAGAAGATCTAGTTTTAATGTACAGAAACAAGAATTTTATGTATTGAAACACAGGGACTCCAAGGGACACGCAGAGAACTGGCCACCCAATTACAAAAGAATATAGTCCAGACTCAGCTGATGTTCATAGAACACTGGAACCTCTTTTGCTAGAGCTAACTGCTTTCTCATGTGCAGTTACCAAACAATAAAGTCCTGGGAGAATCACTAGACCTAAGGAGACAGGGCTGTCAGTACAGTCTGGTGTGTGAGAATGTCATGTTGTTTCTTGATTTTTTAAAAGCAGATCTCCAGACCTTGTAGTAAAAGAAACTTGAAAAGGTTTTCAATAGGCTGCAGTATGCAGGTGCACCTGTGTCTACCTGTAGTTTCACCAGAACCTCATTTTATATTTACAGATCCTCACCCTGCAAAACCACCTAAACTGGTTCAGAAGTCATCAACATTGAGAAAGCTTATACTACATAAACTGTATGTTTATTCATGTAACTCAAGTTGGATGTAGGACTGTTGCAGAAGCTGGGTTGCCTTGGCATTGAGCATAAACAAAACTCCTGGCACTGCAAAGCCACTTAAAAGCATGGCCAGTAGTTTCAGTTTTCCTAACCTAGTTTACATAAGGTTGTGAAGAAGCTCCTTTGAAGCAGAGATATGAGGCTAGAATTCAAAGCTCATCAGATCTGACTAGCTGATGCAGCTGGCACACAGTCCTGTTATTTATAAAATGCTGTATGCTGCACACAGTCCCTACAAACGACAGTGCCCGGGGTTAGCTCAGGGCTGCCCCCTGGGCCATAAACACAGAGTTGGCAAGCTAGTGAAGAGTGCACTGGAGCAGCAGAAAACAATCTTGTTAAGTTTGTGACCTAGATTCCAGGTAATCAGTCCCAACTGCGATCTCCCCCTGCCAACACAGACTCTGGTGCGTACTTGGGCACTGCAGACACCACTTCCCACAGGAGTCCATTCTAACACCATGAAAGGCTACTATTGTTAACATAGCAGCCGGCTGCAAGACCATTTAGTGCAGCTATGAATACACTGAGTTCTGTGCTAGCATGCTATAGATATAGCCAGGGTGCTAGACACAGACATCACATACTGGGGCAGCAGCAACGTGACAGGTTTACACCAACCTGCTTTGCACCTCCTAATGCATGAACCAGAAGTGTGATGCAACACACATGTGCCAGCTCTGTAATCCCGCTGCTTCTGCTACTTGCCTAACGATACTCTCTCCTCGTGCATATTTTTACAGGTCTGGATGATCCAGAAGAAGCATCAATGCACCAGAAGTGCTACCACAGTAAGTTATCAACCCTGATTGCACACTGAAAATTGGATGCTCTCAGAGAAGCCAAGACCACAATGTTAACATTCACTGTAAAACTGAACAGCTAAACGCTCCATTGCAGAACTACAAGAAGAAGCACAGCAGGAAAAAGAAAAGGCAACAGGATGCCCAGAGGCAAAGCCTCTCTACAGATATAGCGCTAGCATGCAACATGTAAATACTGACCAAAAATAACTGCTTTGTTTGGTCCTGCAAACAGGAAAGGAGCAGCATTTGTATTTGACCCACAGCCTTGTCCAGATGATTCATAACTGTATCTCTACACAATCTGCCTGATCTCTAACCTGGAATACAGAATCTGAAATAGGATGTCAATATTGATTGCTTCTAGGAAAGGCAGCCTGTACAGCTGGTTTTGTATAGATCAAAAGATTGAACTGGTTTTGTTCAATAAAGTAAGGAGGCAGACATGTTTAAAGTTCTCAGCAAGAGTTCATAAAGCAACCCTCAGCCCACCTTGGCTAATCGAGTATTTTGTGTTATGTAACACTATTGCAACACTGCTATTTACCAGCGGACAACTAAACTATAACAGGCTCAGCTTAGATAATTTTTAACATAAAATCAAGGTCTCCAGGTCCAATTGCTTTAAAAAGAATTGCTCTAACACAAGAAAGTAAAAACAAAGGGAGAGAGATATCAGTGGTGTTTTGCATCCATTTGTCATGTGTGAAAAATTCATGAACTCAAGTTGGCAGGATATGTCTCATTTAGTAATATGGGCTTTCTAGAATTTTCTCCTATGAAAATTAAACTAAATTGCATGGGGTTTTGCATCAGAAAAATCTCAGATGCCCTAGAAAGTGATCTAACTTAGCATATTTATTTTTTTTTATAAAGAACAAATAAAATAATGTTGAAAAGTGTTCCATGATCATTTTTGTTCTAATATGTGACACATATTTGAGCTGAAGAGAGAAAAACTAAAACACATGTAATAATGATTTATGTATCATATAATGTAGAAATATTTATTAGACCATTAATGTAAAAACAGAGGGCTATCATAGTCCTTCATGGCTTAATTAACCCTCACCAAGTTGATGGCTGGGTTCAGATGACATGACAACCTCTTACTGGGGGTTGCACATGCAAAACTGTGCCCATGGGTGCTGCAACTAATCATAGGTTAAATAATCACGGTGAGCTGCAACATATCATGAAAACCAAGCCAGGAACATGTACTTCTCTTTTTTAAATTCAGTGAATTTAAAAAACAATGATACTAAACATTGTTATCACACTAATAAAGTTTAGCAAATCAAAGAACAGTGCATAGTATATCAATGAGCACACATCTGTATTTCTGAAACTGCCAAACAACATATTTCAAATTGGCATACATTCATTGTTACTCATGAACGTACAGAATGGAAAGAAAAAATAAAAGCACTGGAAAATTTTCCACTCTACATCACTGGTCTTACTTCCAAAGAAGGATACAAGACATCAACAGCAATCAGATTATTTAAAATGCAGTGTTTTAATGAGTACTGTTTGACACAATTCACGTTTCCTCCTTCCTAAGGAATTTCCTTGCCAGAACAGAGTTTAAGATGTGAGTTCTAAGCACAGCCATATGCATTATGCCAATTCATCATTAAATCCAGACTGCAGACTCCCTCTGACATCTTTGCAGTTGACCGTTTATGGCATTATACATATTGTTCAATGAAAGTTGTTTTTGCACAGCCTGTAACAGCCATAAACTGCATACAAAGTGCCACTTGCTATGGCCTTTCTCCTAAGAAGTAACCAAGGAGTTCATTCAAGACAAAAAGACATCAGTTTCTAAAGTTGCTAAAATGCAACCGCTACATAATGAACTTACAGCAGGTATATTTGAGGAGGGAAGGGAAGGCATTATGGGTCATAACACAGTTGCCTGGTTTATTTATTAATTTATTATTTATTAGATTTATATCCCACCTTTTTCCTTCCCTAAACTCAAGAAGGCTGACATAATTCTCCTCTTCCACTCCATCTCATCCTCACAACAATCACTCTGTGAGGTAGGTTGGGCTGAAAGTCTGAGACTGATCAAGTGTCACCCAGTGAGGTTCATGGCTGAGTGAGGACTAGAACCCAAATTGCCTGTGTCCCACTCCTGCACTCTTAACCACAACACCACATTGGCTCTAACTAAGGCATTTTTGATAGCACCGCTTTAATAAATCTAGCATTTATTAAGACTAGAAAGCAATGGTTTCTGCAATCCTTTTGAACCAGAAACCAAACATTATGCTTTGTACAAAATATGTTGTTACAGTTTATCTTACTTTTCTCATCTGGCTGCATCATTTACTATAAACTGACAAGAGCTGAGATATATACAGAAACAGAGAAGACCAACCAAGTGCCTTTAGTCTGAGGAGCTACCATTTTTAATAGCTTCATAAATGAACTAGATCGGGCTATGCAAGACAGCAGAAATGCACCAATTCCTTCTTGGGCATAATAAAAGTAAGTTGGACACATGCTATTTCAAGAAGCCAACAACTACAACTCCTTACCATTAGCTAGTCTCGTAGTACCAGCACTCCTGGACAAGGAACAACATCGTTTGTTACTTCTTATTGAGTTGATAAAACACTGCAGCAGTAATGAACTGTACTTGCAAGGGTGTGAGAACCAATGATAGCACCTGTCTATGAACTATGACACTTCCCTCATTTGTACTACCATCTCTATTCTCACTCACCTGAGAAATCCAATAGGAACTGGGGCTTCCATTTCTCCAGCAGAAGAACTCCAATAAGACCAATGCTTAGGAGGAACAGAGGACGCAACGAAGTGGAGGAAAACAGCCTGGAAAGTCAGAAAGACTAAAATTAAAAACGAATACTAAGAAAAATGTTGCAAGGGAGCATGACTAGGGGTGCACACATTTCTAGCAGATTTTTGCAGCTAGTTGCCTGCAGTCATTACAAACTTTTCCCCTGAGTATACACACAGAACTTCAGGTATCTGGGCAGCTTCCTCCATTCACACTGACTTTAGAGAAGGTCAAGTCTCACACACTGCTTCTGACCTTTCTCAAAATCTCAACCCTTCTCAAGTCCTCTTGTCTTAGAAAGACGGCTCTTTTTTCCAAGTCCTCTCAGGCAGTAGAGGGCTCTTGATCAGTTTACTTCTGGATGGCTGGAGGAATGCAACTGACAGAATGAAACCAAAGAGTTTAAATTATCTAAATTTTGCAGACACCTAGCAAAATGTGACCTTTACAATAGTCAATGTAAGCAATGTGACTATAACTAACTATAATCACATTGCTTTGCTGCAGACAACTGGCCAGAATATCCAGTTGCAAAATATTATTTTTAAAGCAAAGAAAACATTCCAGTTAATGGTTAAAGATACCACCTAGCCACATCAGATATATTAAAAACATTGTCTTGGATAAAAGGTCAACATTCTATACCTTAGAACAGTCCCAACTGCACACTTAATTTTATCACTTTGTAATGTTATGCATTTCATTTATATGTTATGTCCTGTCTTTCATATGAAAGACCTTACTGCAGGAGTTACAGAACCTAGAGCCCATAGGCAGCCCTCAAAAGCCTTAACTGTGCCTTCCCACACACCACTGCCCCTGATCTCTTTTGTCACTATCATTGAATTATGTTCTTTCTCCAAGATTGTCAATTTTACTCTTGTCATTGTGGCTTCTTCCAGCACTGTCGGAAGAAGTCAAAAGTCAAAATGGAAGCCTGAAACTAGAATAGTATGAACTGTTTCCTGAAATCCAAAGTGATCAGCATGCGTGCACACGTGTGTGTGTTTGAGAGAGAGAGAGAGAGAGAGAGAGAGAGAGAGAGATTTTGTTTTGTGGCACAGCTGTATCATGCTATGTTATATTGTACCAAAAACCTAAGTATATTTCAGATGGTTATTTCTAAGTTAAAAGAACTAGGTGAATGCCCTATCACCAAGAAAGATTACTTGGTGACATCTAGTAGCATTTATGAAATCAGCTCCTCAAAGAGGTGTGCCTGGCACTCACTCCTTTGGTGCCAGGTGAAAACCTTTTAATTTACCCAATATTTTAAGTTAGATTTGTATCCTCATTTTTATCATATTTTACTGTACCTCTGAATGAGATTTAGCTGTGATGGTGGTGGCAGGATGTTGTGCTGTTATTCTTTTAGGGCATTTATTAATGGGATTGTTGTTTCATAATACGTGTATTTAATATGTGTTTTATATTAATCATGAGTTTGTAAGCTGCCCAAGGAGCTTGTCTTTGAAAATGTACTATGAACCCCTGCATGGCTTCTGCCTCCAAATCTGCTCTGCTGATAGTCAGTCCATTGTCTGTAATAGTAAACAGGATGTTTTTCTTTCTAGTACTTTGCTGGGCTCTATGACTCAGACTTGTTAAATGTTGCTGTGTGCACATGAGTAGGGTAGGCAAAAAGGAAGGAATGTGCAAGCATCGCACTTCTCAGTGACTAAAGGCTTAACAGGAGGCTCAGCTACGCGTAGTGTGACTAGCCATGGGCAGGGCTTGCTCTGAGTCTTGGTATATTATCAGGAGTTAGCAAGCTCGGAGTTTTGAGCCAGGGACAGTGCAAACCATGGGGACCTATGCAAAGAGTACACAAAATCTAACTGAAAACACTCCTGGGTGAGCCTCCAGTTATCTGCAGTTGCTAGTAGCAGGCTTTGTTTGTTTGTTGCATTTGTATGCTGCACTCCATAGCCAAGAGGCTCTCTCGGCAGCTTACAATATATTGCATTATATTAAAAATAAGAATAGAACAAATTAGTACAACAAATAATAAATCAATACAAATAAATCAATACAAACAATAGGAACAGGCATTCTTATAATAATAAAAACACATTAAAGCTGTCTATTTATAAAAACAATCTTATCTCAGACCAAGTCCTGGAGGTGCTTTTGGCCCTTCTCGTGCAACAGGAGAGGTGTTTATACTATGAGAGTGAAGCAGGAGTCACTTGAAACTGCACCCAAGATGCAATGCAAAGTTCTACATCCTAAGCCAGAGTTTGGCAACTGCTTGCCCTCCAGATATTTTGGTCTACAAATGTAATCAGCCCCAGACAGCACAGCCAAGAGTGAGACATGACAGGCCTAAACATGTAGAGAGCCAGAAGTTGCCCACCCTGGCCTAATCTATAGCTGCCTTCATTTTCAGATCAAGCCCAGAGGACACTCTAACATCTCCTCACTGCAAAGTCCTCTTGGGTCCACATGGAAATGAATCAGTCCATGGCTACACTGGGGCCACAGAAAGCAGCTTTTACCTGTTATATGTCCACTGCTGCACTCAAATGGACACATCTCTTTTATTTAAGAAAAAGGTCAGAGATCAGTAATAAAGCATGTGCTTTGTAGGCTAAGAGTCTAGGGTTCAAATTCTAGGGTTCAAATTGGTATCACCAGATGCAAGGATTTCAGACAGCATGGCTGCAAAAGACATCCACTGCTTGCAACCCGAGGTTTCGGCAAGGGGCGGCATAGAAATGTTATAATAATAATAATAATAATAATAATAACAACAACAACAACAACAACAACAACAACCCACCCCCAGAATGCTATTGGGCAGATAAAAATATAAAAAACAAATCTACCTCTGAAAATGGAGAGCTGCTGTTTGTCAGAAGCTGAATGTGCTGTCTAGCTACTTATAAGACAACATCATATGCAGAATGTTTATTGAGATAAATATGCGAGAGGTATGTGTATGTAGAACATGCATTTTTCAGACATTTAGGGTGACATTTAATGATCAGACAAACTTAGCAGCAGGTAGGGTGTAGTCATTTCTTCACCAAGCGGCTGACCAACATCCTTCTACTTTTGACATGTGATCCTTCCTTGAACTATAATTATAATCAGAGGTTCCTATTATGAATCTGTTTTATAGAGGATACTGAAAACAGTGCCAAAATATAGTGGTTAAACAAGTAGGACCATGCTACCTGAGATTTGCATCACATATTTTCAAACCTCTTACATCATTCATGTACGCTTGCAAGACTTCCATGTTCAACAATACTAATTTTTGCAAGTTTACATCCAGAAGCAAATTTATTCCTAGCTTCTTTTACTGAGTACTCCCAAGTTTTCTTTTAATGAGTATATTATCTAACATAGTATTTCCCCTCATAATACTGCCTCAGTAAGCCCAAGGAAAGTAAGTTTAGAATCACCACCTTCCTGCTCAGATATGAAGAACAATGTCATCTGGATTGGTCTGGGTCTATGTTATCTGAGGGACCCCCTACCCTTGTCTGAGCCTGCCCAAGTACTACGATCAGCAGCAGAGGCCTCACTCACTGGCCCACCAGCAAGAGCCATAAAACTGGTGGGTGCTACAAGTACGGCTTTCTCCGCAGAACTTCCTCCCTCGGAGATACATATGATCTCATCACTGTTGTCTCTTTTAAAATCCCTGAAGGTACATGTAATTGAAGGCAAACTCTGTATTACATGCTTTAAAATAATCAGCTGTTGCTCCTGAGTTTGTATATTTAATTGTATTTTTTATATTATAAGCTGTCTTGTGAAAGCAGTGTCCCTGAAAATCTTTTGATTAAACAAGGTTGCTATGTGTGAGAGAACATTTGGGAATTGGACGGGGGGAGAGTTAATTGCTTTGTCTATGATTGGAAGCCTTTACTTTTTTTTCTATGATATGTTGTCTCCAAATAGAAGTTTCTAGTTTGTTCAAAGGAAAATGATATTTAAATTGGGGAGAATGTGGTGTGCAGAAGTGTACTGTCAGCAAGCTTGCAAGTTTATAAACCCTTCTCCATATAGCTACTTTTCTCTCTTACACACTGTAAGGTTTCACCTGTGAAAAAGACTTTCTTCCAAGTCCTTCCATTTCCACACCATAACTTAATTGTATCAACTTTCTCTCCCATGCTGCTACCACTCAACTCCAAACTTGACCCAGCATTCCCTCTTGCCGATGATCCTGCCTTGATCTTTATTTCCACCATCCAAAATCTTTATTTGTTGTTTTGCACTGCTCAGCAATATATATATATTATTTACAGCCTTGAAGTGCACCACAAAGTTTCTCTGAGTGTGTGATTTCAGTTGGAGAAAGTGAGGTCCAACTCCCTGCTTGACCACAAAGTTCACTAACTGGCTTTTGGCAAGCTATCTCTTGGTTTAATTTACCACACAGGGTAGTTATAAGAATAAGTTGGAGGGAAAACCTATGAAGGTCATCCAAAGCTCCTTGGAGAAGGGGAGGACTACAAATATGATAAATAAGCATAACAGCAAAGGTTGACACCTGCTCCAAAGTAAGAACTAGCTAATCCTTAGACTGGAATAAAATGTATATTGTTTACTTCAAAAAGTTAGAAAATAAATAGCCTTCTATAGAGCTCTATTTACTTCTCACATTTTTGATTGGAGACCCATAGGGCTAACCTCTACCCTCCTTACACTTCCCACACATGCCCCTCAGCTCAAAGACAGGCACCTGTCTGCCATGAAGATTTCTCTGCAGACAGCTGAAAGATTGTGAGCAACAGCACGATTTTATGATTCACGTTTATTCAGAAGGAAACCAAACTTATTTTACCAGAACGTACGCTCAAGTAAGGACGCATGAGACAGCCTCAAGCCGAGGCATCCCTGGTATTGCGCAATCGCCTGGATGCCCACAGGCACCTGGGCTTTCTCCGCACCGAGAGAGGATCTACCGCCCACCATCGGCGTCGCCATCACGTTACAATTCTTTACCCGCATCAAGAACAGCTTCCCCCTACTCTAGAACGACTCCCCTTCTTCCAACACCTCTCCAGGATTCCTAACCGCCACCCTGGCTGCTGTTAGATGGCAAAAGCTCCCACCCCTCTCCTGCAGCCGCGATCCCCGGCCCAGTTCGCCTCCTTCCTAGGGCTCATCCTTCATCGCCCGCGCACCGAAGCCACCTCCTGCTTTTCTCACCATAACGCAGCTCCGAGGGAGACGGCCCCGGCCAGGCTTTGTGGCGGCCTTTCCCAGACCAGCAGCCGCTGAACGGCTGCTACTGTCGCCTCCCAGCCCCTCAGGCGCCGCCTCAACCGAGCGGCCAGAGCCAACACCTCCTGCTCCTCCTCCTCCTCCTCTTCGGCGTCGGCTGCGCAGCCACCGGGCCCGGGCATCGTCATCGCCTCCCCTTCTTCTGTCAACGGAACATCCGAGCCGCCGCCACCGCTCGCCATCGCTTCAGCCAGGGATCAGGAAGGGGTTGGTAGAGGAGCACGGAGCTCTCCTGACAGCCGCAACCGGAAGCCACCCTGTGCGTAAAATCAGATCACGTGCCCCAACCCCCCAGCACGTGAAGGAGGAACGTTTTCTTTACAGCGCGCATGCGCAAACTGTCCAAAGCGCCGTTCTTCAAGCGTAGAGATAGGAAAGAGAGCGGCAAATGTGGTTGTCCAGTGACATTTCCTGGTTTCTTTTGACACTTCTTTCCTTCTGCTTCAGAAGTAAGAGTAATCCGCAGAAAAGAATGAGAAAAACAGATTTTAATATAGTGAAGTTGTAGAATGACCATACGCACTCTTACTTCATGTGCAAATGTAATTATTTTTAAAAGGACAAGTATTTGTAGGTCAAGATAATCGCTGGCTACACGAGTAAAGAGGCAATGCGTTAGTACAAAGCGTCCTCTGCTTTTCTTGGAACTAATTACCTTTTTTTGGTTTGGGAGACTCTGTTTTGGAGATAGCAGGATGACTGTAAAATGGTTAGATCCGAAAGGAATTTTGTTTTGCTTTCTACTCCCTTTCACTGTATATTTCACTGTAGACTGAGGAATCCAATATTTCCTCAGGTAATTAGATCGAACATAGAATCGAGGTGGGCAACTTGTGTTCCTCCCAGAGGTTTTGGCCTAGAACTCTATTAAGAGCTATCAAAAGGTGAAAACTGATAGGTCTTGTAACTAAAACAACTGGAGAAACTCAAATTGCCTCCCCGATATAGGTTAAATCTTGTAATAAAGAATATAACATTGTGAAGTTTACTTACGTATGTGCTTCCCTCATCCTTCCTGCATGTACTTTCAAAAGCAAAAAAGGTTGTGCTTTGCTGCGCTGGAGTCTAGTACAGCAGAAAGCAACTTACTGTCTCCGGAACATTTGGACTACCGTTCCCATAATCCCGAGTCAGCATGGCTCATGCGGAATTTGGGAGTTGTAGTTAAAAATATAACATACTGTTTCGTGTATGGTTTTTAAGTGTGATTTGTATGTCCTTTTCCCCCCACTAATATCGTGAGCTGCCTGAGACGTCCATGCCAGTTTGTCCGAATTCTTTCAAGATCTCTAGGCTCGGGAATTAATGAAGGCCTGACTCATCCCAAAAGCAGCCGGACTGCCCTCCTATGGACAGCGGCCAGCTGAAAGGGGCGGCCGCGGAGAGACCCGCCTCCTTGCCCGCCCCAGGAACAGGAAGGCGAGAAGCGGCGCCGGGACCCTTCGCTCTTCCTTTGCGGCGGAGGCGCCACCAGCATCAGAGCTCGCCGAGGAGTTCTGTGTTCGCTGGGCCGCCCCTGCCCAGAAGCCGGGACAGCTGGAGCCCGCGGCGGGCGCCAACAAGGAGGTAGCCTCGCTCGACGGCCGCCTCGCGCTCCGCGTCATGGACTTGAACGGGCTCCTTCTGGACGAGGAGGGCGCATTCTCTCTGAGCGGCTTCCAGGAGTTCACGGTGAGCTTTCCCAGCCTAGTCGGTCCCTCCTCCTGGCCAGCTGGGCCGGCGAGGCGCCCGTCAGACAGTCGGGAGCGGAGGGCCCCAAGCCCCCCGCGCCCTGCTCTCTCGAGCTGTTCATGGCCACGTCCACGGCCTGCCGCTCAGTGACTCCCCGCCAGCCCCCGTGCGCGTTGCCTCAGAGGCGCGATAATTGGCCCCTGACGCTTCTTTGTCTGCTTCGCCGTAAACACGGGCTGCAGGCCCGGGGCGCTGCTGGGCACGGAAAACATCCGCGGTTCTTTCCCATGGAGGGGCGGGGGGGATGCAAATTCGTTTATATTAACTTACATATTCTCTAAGGTTTGTGTGTTTTAAAGGTTTCTGTCTCCCAAGGACACCCATATCTGGAGGGAATGTGTGGACGAGAGAGGAGGGCATTTGATTTAAGGGAAAAAAAAACCTTAGGCAGAATAGAAGTGAAGTATGATCTTCGTTTATTTTTAGTTAAATGCCCCTGGAGAGCAGGGTGGTGGGGCAGATGAATTTTTCTTTGCTTCACCAGCTTTCCCCAGTCTGGTGCCATTCAGTTTTGCTGACTTGTAGCTCTCATTATCCCCAGCAAGTATGTCTAAAGGTCAGGGGTATATTAAGAAATTCCTAACTGAAATGGTTATCACAGCCCCTGAACTCTCTGGGTCACTTTTAGGCAACCTGCTATTTTCTTAAGTCCCAAGATTCCATCTGAAACAGTAATAATACCAAAAGCTGGTAGGACAAGGATTATTGAGATGCTTTATGCTAGACTTCTCCAGCAGGGTGCTTTCCAGATGCTTTCATCTATGACTCCCTTCATGCTTGATCATTTGAAGGGCACCAGATTTATACTTTTATCTGGGACTATGTCCCAATGAACTTCATTAGTCTTCATTCTGAGAAGATATGCATAGGCTTAACTTTAGGTTTGTGGGTTTATTGCACAAATGGGGAATCCGGCTTTCCATATGGTGGACTACAGCTCCCATTGTCATTGCCCATTGGCCATCAAAACATGGAGGGCCATCTGTTACCTGGAGTTTAGCATCACCTGCAGGGATTGTAGGGCTGTACACTTACTCTTTTGTCCCTGTTTCTTGACGGAAACCAAACACAACATTCAAAAAGACAGAAGTGGGAGCAGAACCTCATTAGCTGATCTTAAAGCCCTGGGAAGGGAGGGTTATATGGAAGAAGAAATGCCAGGAGATACATAAACAGTGAGAGGTTCCTGCTTAAAATCCATCTCCCACAAACTTGAGTTCTATATTGCACTCTATCTGGTTTCATTCACTCAGTATTACTGCTGTCTAAAGCTCCAGTCCTGTGAGCATTTACCTAGAAGAAGCCCATTGAGGACAATAATATATATTTAAGAACATAAGAAAAGCCAAATTGGATGAGACCAAAGGTCCATCTAGTCTAGCCCTCCATACACAGAGTGCCAAACCAGCTGCCCACAGAATGGCTCAAACAAGATGGGTGCAAGACCTCTGTCTGCCCAAGTTCCTCAGCTAAAAGAGGTAACATACAGCCAGCAGGGCTAATGGACATGGATTGCCTCCTCCTTTTTGAATCTGTCCAGTCCTCTTTTAAAGGCATCCAAATGGGTGGCCATCACCACTTTCTATTGCAGCACTTTCCATTGCATAGTTGAACTATATGTTGTGTGAAGAAGTGTTTTTATCTGTCCTAAATCTCCCACCAGTCAGCTTCATGGGATGTCCCTGGGTTCAAGTGTTATAGAAGAGGGGAAACATGTCTCCATCTCCACTTTCTCCACACCATGCATTATTTTAAACACCTCTGTCATGTCTCCCCTTATTTGCCTTTTTTTCTAAACTAAATGGTCCCAGTAGTTGTAGCCACTCTACATAGGGGAGTTGCTCCAGTCCCTGATTATTTTAGTTGCCTTTTCTACCTTTTTCAACTCAATAATGTCCTTTTTCAGGTAAGGCAACCAGAACTGAACACAACGTTCTAAGCACAGTCATACCAAGATTTGTATAAGGAGAGGAAGATCTTGGCAGTGCTATTTTCTTTTCCATTCCTAATTATGCCTAGCATGGAGTTTGTCTTTTTCACAGCAGCTTTGCACTCGGCCAACATTTCATTTCTACTACTATCTCAAAATCCCTTTCTTGCTCAGTCAGTGCTAGCTCAGATTCCATCAGCTTATACTTGAACTTGGAATTATTTGCCCCAACATGCATTGCTTTACACTTGCTTACATTGACCTGCATTTTCTATTTTGATGCCAATTCTCCCTGCTTTGGAGCTTCTCATAATTCCTTTTGGTTTTGACCATCCTAAATAGGTTGGTGTCATCAGCAAACTTGGCCACTTCACTACTTACTCCTAATTCTAGATCAATTATGAATAGGTTGAAAAGTGTTGATCCTAATACAGAACCCTGTGAGTCTTCACTGGTTACATCTCTTCATTGAGAGAAATTGCCATTTATTCTCACCCTCTTTCTTCCGTTCTTTAATCAGTTAGTGATCCATAACTCCCTTCTCCCCCCCCCCCCCCCCCACAGCCTTTATTCCATAACTGCTCATTTTGCTTTGGAGCCTTTGGCAAGGGACACACGCATGATGGTTGGCTTGGAATCCTACATAATGTTGATGCGTATATTTCTACATTGTTTGGCCTAGTGTGTTGAATTAACTTCTTCAGTTGTGTGTGGATTGGGCAGGGGAGAAAAATTGAGAGTCCTAGTACTTGGTCCTCATTTGCCTGTCCTTTCAGTTTCTTCCCAGGCATCAACAGCTAAGTGATCGGGTACGCAAGCGACTTTACTATGGCTGGGATAAAGACAGCACGCTTGATAACATCTCAAGTCCAGTTGCAGGTGAGTTGGGTTTACAGATGTTGCAATTAAGCTTGGAAAGGAGGTGTGAGGGGAGGAAAGCCATGTCTGTATATGTGCATAAGCTCCCTTGAGCTTCTCCAACCTCTTTACCACCCCAAATGCAAGTAACATCACTTGAATTGTGTGCCAGCTCAAGATCATTTGTAACAATTGAGCTGTGTTGCTTTCC